CTTGAAGAAAAATAACCGATTCTGGAAAGCTAGCGTAAATTCCTGAGGAGTCAGGGAGGGCGAGCAGCGACAAGAATACTCAGGACAAGGCTGCAGCTGCGCTGGACTGCATTTGCGTTGGAAAAACCAGAAATTATGGATCAATATAATTACCAAACGTTCCAAAAAACTTACTACCCTTCCAGAAAGTGCAAAAAGCCTACGACACTCGGGATTCCCAAGCCGTCTCCGATCCAAGTACTAACCGAGCCCAACGTTGCTTAACTTGGCAGATCGGACGGGATGCCGTGCTTTCAACGTGGTATGGTCGTAGGCGAAGGGGGAGGGGGGAGATGCGGTCAAGAGAATTTGAGGGGTCCTCGGAAAGCCGGAAGGCTTCTTCTACCCTTCGCCTGTCCCTCCCTTCGCCTACGACCATACCACGTTGAAAGCACGGCATCCCGTCCGATCTGCCAAGTTAAACAACGTTGGGCTTGGTTAGTACTTGGATCGGAGACGGCTTGGGAATCCCGAGTGTCGTAGGCTTTTTGCACTTTTAGAGGTTATTACGGTCACTCAAAACGTAACGAATTTGCTTATTTTCGCCTTCGTTTTTTATTGCATTAATTTTTACACTTTTTAATAAAGCTTTGTCTTAGATACCTGCTGATCCTAATCATCCTCACCTAGCCCTTCATTCGATTCGCAAAATAAAATTTGTTGCGTTAAATAAATTGAGGGGTGAGAAACGGAATCTCAGTGCCAAAAACTTACTGGCAGCGCCACTTCCACGTTTGTCGCGTCACGTAATCAAATCTCGACACATTAATAGGATTGGGGCCCCGCAAAAAGAGCACCGAAAATCAATTGTTGTTGCGTGGAAATTGCTGTCATTGTTTTGTAAAATTCGCCGCAAAAAAACGGGGGGATTACGCAATGGAATTGGGTTCAACGGTTCAGACGCCAGCGGCATACGGTCGTCATTTCCGATTTTTCGTTTTTACTCGAAAAAATTTCAGAAAGGCGTGTCTAACAGCGATAATTGGGGAGGTATGGAGCTTTTCCTAGATAGGGCAAACAAGCAGAGATTCTTTGGGATATTGCGAAGTTCTGGGCAGCTAGCAGAGATCCTTGAGGAATTCCAACCAACTCTGACAAGGAGGCTATGATTCTTGAGGAGATTTTACTCGTTCGGGCGGGCGAGCAGATATTTTTAAGGAAGTTAGGAAGGGCGCAGGGATTCTTGTGAATTCCCAACGCGTTCTGGCATGCTAGCAGGGATCTTTGAGGATGTCGGGACTCTTCTAGCAATCGGGCAGAGATCCTTGAGGAATTGAAATTTGCTCTGGCAACCTAGCAAAGTTCCCTGGGGAAATCCAGCGCGCAGCGAGTCTTGAGCAGAGACTCTTGAGGAATTCTAGGAATTCTTTCCTGGCAAGCTAGCAGAGATTCCGTAGGAAATGTGCACTCGTTGTTGCAGGGTAGCAGAGGTCCATAAGGAAGTCAGAGTGGCTCTAGCGAGCTAACTAGCAGTGGTTATTTAGGAAATCTGGAGAACTTTCGGTTAATGCAAGTCATATATCCAAAACATTAGCATACAAGATGTACGTCAATAGGGGCGAATCGGAAATCAGACAGAAGGATTCCGGTGGGGAGGGCATAAGAAAGGGGGGATTAGAGAGAGAATGTCCTCCACTCCCTTCAGGGACTTCTTTTTTTGTGTTGAGATTCGATGGGGAAGAGAGAGAGAGAGAGAGCGAGAGAGAGAGCGAGAGAGCGAGAGAGAGAGAGCGAGAGTGCTAATGAGAAATTGGAGAATGGAGCAGGAAAATACCCGGGTGGCCCGCCGGGTGCCAACAATCAGATCAAATGGCAACCCGGGGCCCGCCAGGGCCCAGAAGAAATCAGATGAGGGCCCCCTCTCTAAAGCACAATTAGCCACTTACCCGCCCAAAAAAAGTTGCGAAAATTTGGGGAAAAACATGTTTTTTAAGGATTTTACTTCCGCTAAATTTATCCAAAATAATCGGCTGAAAATCGAGCGTTTTCTTGCTGTCCCTGCCCCTTTAACAGACTAGAAACCGATAAAAAGTGTCATTTGGCGTGTCTCGTGGTTGTCTAGGCCGAGCCAAGGTAGGGGTCGATTCTTATGCTTTCTAGTCCCTGTAAAGCCCAACACTCGTGGTATTTCGAAGAATTTGGCAGTGTGAAAAATCGGAAGATTCAGGGGCGTTGAATAGACGAATTGCACCTGTGCGTTCGTTTGGGGAATGAGGGAGTGAGAGAGAGAGAGAGAGAGAGAGAGAGATAATAATTAATCCGGCTCTCCTTGGAGAACGAAAATAATACAAAAGCAGATCGGGGGCCCAGGTTGACTCAACAGAGCAAAAATAATGATGCGGGATGGATTAACGATGTATAAAACGAGGGCTACAGCGGAAAGGCCAAGCTTAAAGCAGCTAAAAACGCGTAAAATGGCAAATATCGACTGGCCAGGATTCCTGAGTTAATTTTGAAACGAAGCCCTTGAAGCCGAGAAGCCGTATGATGAAAGAATTCGCAGTCTACCCGTTGATTTGAAGGGTTTCTCCCTGGTGAAGCCGTAGAAGGTTGCGTTTTGGTCGGGTTTTTGTTCCGAAAAAATAAGAAAGAAAGAGAGAGAGAGAGCGAGAGAGAGAGCGAAAGAGAGCGAGAGAGAGAGCGCGAGAGTGAAAGAGAGTGGGGGAGCGAGAGACAGAGAGAGAGAAACTTCGCAAATAATCCCTGTTTACTTGCCTCGATTTTCTGCAAATTGCGAATGTCACGCTCTCTATAAAAGTCGAGAGTTCAAAGCACAATTTCCGAGGGGCTAAAAAGTGGCCAAAAAATGGGTTTGGGAGGGGGATGAAAATAATATTTGGCGAGTGGGTGGAGGCATCTGCCATCTGATTGTCAAATTTGATTCGCCACCCTCGACCCCCGACCAAGGGAATTGGGTGCTTGACATCTCTTTCGGATCAAAATAACCGGCAGAGAAACAGCAAGAAATCTTGGAAGTACCTGCCTAAATACAAGTACCGGACCTGGGAAGAAATACCCCGAAAAGCTATTCGCAAGCCGAAATTATGGCGCTGGGGTTCGGTTATTTCCATTTGTCGGCATTTTTCGGGTCATCGGACATTTCAGGGGCGCCGGCATTTCGGAATTGTCGGGATTTCCGGTTGTCGGCCTGTTCGGGGCTGTCGACATTTCAGGGTTGTCGGCGTTCTCCTGGCTGTCATCCATTTTGGGGTGGTCGGGATTTCGTCGCTGTCGGCATTTCCCGGTTGACGGCATTTCCGGGCTATCGACATCTCGTTTTGGTCGGTATTTCCTGTATGTCGGGATTTCGTGCTTGTCGAGATTTTCTGAATGTCGGCATGTCCCGGTTGTCGGCCTGATCTGATGGTCGAAATTTTTGTGTTACCGACCATTTTGGGGCTGTCGGGATTTTGGGGGCCTGGGTTCCCGCGTTGTCGGCATTCTCCTGGTTGTCGGCATCTCCGGGGTTGTCGGCATTGTCTTCGTGCTCGGCATTCTACTGGTTTTCGGCCATTCCGGGGTTGTCGGCATTTTGTGGCTTTCGGCATTTTGGGGTTGGCCGGGATTTCTGTGGCAAACATAGATGAGAAAAGCTACAGTTTTGCCTCGGCCCTTCCTTGAGAGAGAGAGAGAAAGAGAGAGAGAGAGAGAGAGAGAGAGAGAGAGAGAGAGAGAGGTAGCGAGTAAAAGGGAGAGAGAGAGAGAGAGTGAGAGAGAGAGAGAGAGAGCGAGAGAGAGAGGTAGCAAGAAAGAGCGAGAGAGGTAGCGAGAAAGAGCGGGAGAGAGCGAGAGAAAGAGAAACAAAACACTCAAATCTACAGGTAACCAAAAAATTTTCGGTCCCTTTAAAATCTTTTTAAAGGTATCGGCAAGGCACATCCATGAATTTTTCTCCGATGTATGACGCAATTCTAAATATTTCACGTGCTCGTATTGTACCCGGATTCCATTTCATTCCACCTTACACGAGTCGACATTCCCTTCTTCCCCCTTCCCTTCCTCCCCAATTTTAGACATAAAATTTGATGAGTGCCCGATAACCGACCCCCTTCCCCCTCTGCTCTGCATACGCCATCGCCCCCCTTTTGGGGGTATCTGAATTTGGAGAAGCCGAGATTTTGGGGGCTGGTGTTTGTCTTCTCGATTCCGCCTTTCGACTCATAACTTTTCACACCTTGCAGAATTTTGGGTTTTTGATGGTTTTGACACTTTGAACCGAGGGGTTGACGGGTTGGGGGCAGATCAGCCTCCTTGATTTTCCTAACAAATCTCTGCCAGCTTGCCATTGTCTAATTTTCAAATGAACTCTGCTAGGCTGCCTTGTAAAGCGTTAATTTTTCTCAAATTATCTCCGCTAACTTGCCTTGAAAAGCGTCAATTTTCCTCAAAAAATCTCTGCTAGCCTGCCTTGCCAAGAAAGACTCAATCTCTCCGAACGTCTCTGCTAATTTGCCAATGCTATATTGCACACAAGCCTAGCCTGCTCGTACCCAAATTCTCAAAGAATCTCTGCTAGCTTGCCTTCAAAAAGCGTCAATTTTCCTATAATGATCTCTGCTAGCTTGCTCGATTCGCTATCTATTTTCCAGAGAATCTCTGCTCGCCTGCCAGTGCTTGAATTCCTAAATGACTTTTGCTAGTCTTTTAGTGTGTGTATTCTCAATTCCGCTTCAATTCCGAAACAATTTGTGCTAGCTTGTCGGTCCGGTACATGATAAATTGTCAACAAATTATCTCTGCTAGCCTGCCAAGTTCTTTACTTTGCTATTTTGTTCGCTACATTCCCAAATGAACCCTGCTAGCTTGCCCAGTCTGGTCCTAAACCTTTTACGATTTTTCCTTTTTATTTTCGAATTTTTTAAGAATTTTCAATTTATTTTGTTTAGAAAATGAAGCTTGATAAAAGCGAGCGTCGAGATTTGGGATGGCTCCTGCAAGTGCATCATATTTGTACCGTAAATATGTACGTGATATTCCTCCTTTGCGTCTTTATGAATCTCTACGTACTCTTGAGCCGGGAGGACACCATTTTCTACCTGCGTATCTATCATTTGGTAAGTGAAAATTGGCAGGAAAACCCCCTGAAAAATATTTTTAATTTGGATTAAGAACGGTTTCCAAAATCATCTTTTTATGAAAAATTTCGAGTAACCGTTATCATTTTAAATGGCTGAGGTAAATTGCTAAAACGTAAAATGACCAAAGCGATTTTTTAATCGTTCAAAAATTTAGTTAAATTAATTTAATTCGTATTCGACAGTTAGTGGGCCTGTTGATGGCCTGCTGTTCGGTGGTGATGATCGAATTTTTGTGGCGGACGAGGGGACTGCCGAAATTGGAGGAACCACATGAAATACCCACACCTGCCCTTGTTGGTGAGCAGCGTTTCTGGGCGGTTCTTCTCTGTTAACGGGGGTGAAAATTTTTAACGGGCGAAACCAATTTTTTTCCGGTAATTCCAACCTTGCAAAAACAATATAAGATAGTTTTTACAGAATTTTACCACATTTTCTGTTATCCCCCCCCCCCCCCCCGTTAATAGAGAAGCACGAAATTCTCTCCCAGTCGCAATGCCTTTAAATCCAATTTTCAGGCGCCATCGCCCTGACTATCGGGATTGCCATCGGATATCTCTATTTTATCGTCTTCAACTATTCATTTCAAGTCAGTTTTTTGGGAGATTCGGTGCATCGAATTACACGGCGTTATCTATTCCCAAGAATTAAATAGCGTAATCGTTTTACTATAAGTCTTATTTTATTTTTTTATCCATCTACATTCTGTACCGTAATCGAATCGGAAAAGGAGTTCACGAATTTCGTGTCGTAATCGATCGCATTGAATTAGCTAGCGTAATCAGTTGGCGAGCTTGGCGTATTATCTGGCGAAGTCGTTCAAATTGTATTGTGTTTTATTGGCCACCCAGAATTACCTACCGTAATCGATCGTAATTACGGTCTGGACGACTTAACTAGCGTAACTGATTGCTGAAGTCGACGTCGAAAGATTAATTTTGAAAAGGGTTTTTAAAACGCAAAATGCCGTAACCGATTAGTAGATTAATACAGCTTAATTATGTGTCGTAATCGATCTTGCATTTTTTGAGGAATGCGACAAACTAGTGGATGCCATCTACAACAGCGAGTTATGGATTGAGACCTGCTATGATCTATTAATGTCCGGATTCTCGGTCCTTTCGCTCATTTATATCGTTCAAAGGAGATATTATGGCGCTATCAATACGAGCCTTGATAAGGTTGGCCATTTTTGGATTTTTCTTTAAACAAATTGCAAATTTGATGAAAAATGAAAAAAATTTTTGGAAATTTTCGGGATTGACATTTTTAAATTTCCAGAATTATTTCTGGTACGCGAGCGATAAATAAAGCTAGAGAGAGAGAGAGAGAGAGAGAGAGAGAGAGAGAGAGAGTAAGTGAGAGAGGAAGATAGAGGGTGAGAGAGGAAGATAGAGACTGAGAGAGAGAGCGAGTGAGAGTGGGTGAGATAAAGTGCGAAATCCAAAAATTCTGAACTTGTTCAGGTTGGCCGCCTGTTCATCAACATCACCTTCTCAGTGGTGTGGATGAAAGTAGTTATCTACAAGGGATATTTGTCTCATAATGAATTATGTCAACGAAAAGAGTTGGAGGGATATTGGTGTCCGGTTATGAAGAGGCACTATGAATGTAATCCGGCTTATGACTTGGGCGGGACGAAGAAGATTTGGTGGGTTTTCGCGGGGATTTCCAAAGGGTATTTGCTCGCTTGCCCCGGAATGACGGCAAGACTCCGCAAATGGCCTTTGCTAGCATGCGTTGGCAATGGCATAAACGCCTATCTTTTAGGTATTACCTGAACAAAGGTCTCCTGAATACGGCCGTCATTTCGTGTGCCTCGGAATTCTTCCCGGTTCTACTCGTTTCCCATTGGTTATCATGTGGAGGGGCGGAGGAAAAGGCTGAAGATATTAGGAAAAGGGCCGAGGTACTGTAGCTCAAAATTGTTGAATCTTTAAAGGCACTGGGAAGGCACAGTTAAAGCGCCCGAAAGCAAAGCCTGCATGCAGCGTAGTCGCATCGTAAAGCGCTGCGCGCTGGAGAGGCAGCGGAGCCGCGGCACGCGACGCTTCTCCCCCGCATGCGCCGTAAAGGCGTACGCTACGCGTTGAAGGGGACGGACCACGATACGCCACGCCCACGCCGAGAGGCGGCGCAGTACGCTACGCGCCAGATCCTGGCACGCGACGCATCACGACGCGACGCCAGCGCCGTTGAGGCGTCGCGAGCGCCAGGTACTACACGCGACGTAGCACGATGCGCCAGGCGCAACGCACGCATGTGCACGCGGACGCCTGCCTGTAGTCGTTTAGGCAATGGTTATGAGCGCATTGCATGTCTCCGCGGTCAACAAATCCATAGCCCTTGCCTGGCGCCGCCCTTTAATACGTGGAATCTAATGACATACTTATCTAGCGTCGAATGGGTGTGAAAGGGCTGCTGAAGAATTTCTTCTCGGATATTTCGCGAGTGTACGGTGAGACGACTACTGACGTCCAACCCCTCCATCCACAGTAAGTTGCTGCGAGGCTTTTTCAGCTCACCATCGGTTCCATTTCCTGAGGAATCGCTGCTAGCTTGCCTGCCAAAACCCGAAAATCTCGGCGTGACTGGCTATCGATATCCTTTCACTTTAGCTACCTTCTGAAATGGTCATTCTGGGTTCTGTCATTTGTTGCAACCGTAACAGCAGCTGTCAAATGGATGACCTACTTTTACTATACCATTGGTTCGTTTACTTTCGTTGTCATTCACGTAATCGTATACGACATGAAATTCTTGTTTATCCATAGATTATGACAAAATTCTTCGTCTTCCGATTACCACACCAAATTTACCACCATACCACACCAAATTTTCTGTTTTTACCGCTTACAGTACCAAATTCCTACTTTTCTACCGGTTACGAAACAAAATGCTTCTGTTTTGATCGATTACGGTACCAAATTCCTGTTGTTCTAGCGCTTGCGAAGCCAAATTCTGATTTTTCTATTGATTACGACGTCAAATTATTGTTTTTCTATAGATTAGGCAAAAAATTCTGGTTTTTTGATCGATTATGATACAAAATTCATATTTTTCTGTTGATTACGACATCAAATTATTGGGTTTCTATCAATTACGACATCAAATCCTGTCTCCAGATTTTGATGCGCTCGTTGCCAAACACTGGCTCGCCGCCGATATCGTCGGGCTGTTTGCCAATTTCGTGATGACGCTTCTCTTTTTCTTGGTATGTGTCGGTTTTTTGTTTATATAGCAACGCCGGAAACCCAAAAAAAGGAAAATCAGCCATTTTTCAGCTGTACCTCTTCGCGCGTTCCGTATCTGATGAACGCCTTGATGCGCATCATAAAGCCCATGCCAGAGGGGATATCACGATTCTTTTCGGATCGTGCGTCGTTCTATTTATCAAACTTGTTCTACAATCCGTTGAGGTGAGAGAGAGAGAGAGACAGCGTGAGAGAGGGAGCGAGAGAGAGACAGCGAGAGAGCGTGAGGGATCGAGAGAGAGAGCGAAAGAGAGGGAGCGAGAGAGAGAAACAGCGAGAGAGCGTGAGGGATCGAGAGAGAGAGCGAGCGAGAGAGAGATACAGAGAGCAAGAAAGCCAGAGAAAGAGCGATAGATAGATAGAGAGAGAGAGTGAGAGAGAGAGAGAGAGAGAGAGAGAGAGAGAAAGAAAGCGAGAGCAAGAAAGCCAGGGAGAGCGAGAGAGAGAGGGAGCGAAAGAGAGAGAGAGAGAGAGCGTGTGGGAGAAGCAGAAACTGGTCCCTCAAAAGTTAAACGATCCGTGCCGTTTCAGCTCGAATACCAGCGTGTCGACGGGTTCATCAAGCAAGAGGAAGCCATCATACAAATCGTGTCGTTGCTCCTCACTCATGTAGGTATCCAAGGTTTTCAACAGCTTTTTATGCCATTTTTGATCGAAATGAATCAAAGAAAAACCGCAGTTCCGGGACACGACTATTAGCGGAATTGAGGGTGCATCAAATAGATTAGAGCGTCCAGTTTGGAGGAGTAATTCAGGGGCCATAAATGGTCTCTGCGCTCCCGGTCGCCAATCAAAATATTGTCTTTTCCCTGGGTCATAAAAAGGCAAATTGATAAATGGGAATCCGGGAATGGCCCATCCGTGAAATTCTAGAAGGAGAAAGAGAGAGATGGAGATATAGAGCGAGAGTGACAGAGACAGCGAGTGAGAGAGACAGCGATAGAGAGCGACAGCGAGAGAGAGAGAGAGCGGCAGAGAGAGGGAGAGAGGAGAGAGGGAAAGATGGAGATATGGAGCGAGAGAGACAGAGACAGCGAGTGAGAGAGACAGCGATAGAGAGCGACAGCGAGAAAGAGAGAGAGCGGCAAAGAGAGGGAGAGAGGAGAGAGAGAGAGGGAGGGAGCGAGCGGGAAAGAGAGGGAGAGAGAGGGAGATATGGAGATATAAGGCGAGAGAGACAGAGACAGCGAGTGAGAGAGACAGCGATAGAGAGCGACAGCGAGAAAGAGAGATAGACAAGAGCGACAGAGCGAGACAGAGAGAGAGAGAGAGAGAGAGAGAGAGAGAGAGAGAAATAAAGTAATCCTAGCCTTTCCAGACTTGCCAATGGCTACAGTACTTTGCAATCCGGCGTATTCTCTCGATGTCGGATCGAGATTTCGTGTCCACGAAGGCATTTTTGCCCGTTGCTGGTAAGGTATCTCCCCCTAAATCTGACTTGGATGCGTCGCAAACTTATGTTCCTAGAGTTTGAAAATTAAGCCTATTGTAATCTCAAAACTTTAGATTTAGAGCATTCAAAAATTCAAGTGCGATATCAGAGAAAAAAAAGAATTTTTCAGGCGTGGCCGGCCTCGTAATCGCGTGGGTTCAATTCGGGTATACGTTCTTCGACACATCACTCATCAAATACCAGCTGACCGACGAGACATTCAGGTATCCCCTCCCTGCCACTGTCCCTTTAGTATGTCTAGATTCTCGTCGACAACCCTTATCTGCATGATATTCACGCAGACAATATTCCCCGCCGACTATCTATTCCATTTCACCGTTTCTGGCTGCTATTTGGAGATGCTGCAACGGTATGTTGGTCTTGAGCGGTTTGGGAACGCTAAAAATTGTGTTTTTGTCATTTGTTTTACACAGATATCGATTTTTCACTTGGCGGCTCCTTTAGAAAGCCAGAGCTCTGGATTTCGAAAACGTGTCGGCCGTTTTGAAGGGCCCGGAAACCGAAAAAAAATCGAGATTTCTGATCCCTCACTTGCCTCCTATGGTTTTTTGGCTTGCCTGTACCTTTAAACCTCAAAATAACGGGTTTTCATTATCCGCATTATCCGCAATTTAAAGATGTCTTTAAATTCCCCAAATTCAAAATTATATTTCAATGCTTTCTGACATTTTAGTGGGTCCGAAAAGCCTAAAAATCTTGCTTTTCAGCGCGACTTTGTGAGCTATGGATTTTTTGGCTTGACGGTACCTTTAAAAGTCCAAAAATCGGCTTGTGAGTTTATCTTCGGTTTTTTAGGCAATGGGGGGCACAAAAAAACCGATGGCATGGCCAGCCAGGGGGGGTTGGCTTTTGGAATCACGGTCCCTTTAAAAGCTCGAGGGCTTTTAGAGCGGCCTGGAGCCGAACGGTCATGGATTTTGCACTTTATTATTATTTATTCTCACACAAGGTTAACAAGGTCAACGCTTACAGTATGAGGAATCGAGCGTAAATAGCGTGAAGGAGGGGATAGATAAATAAAGGGAAATTAGGATTAATAAGATTCTGAAGATGTGGAAGAGGGGAATGGAACAGGAGACTAGATTGATGAGAACACGATCACAGTAGATAGGAGACGGGGATAAGGCGGGAAAGATGATTTTTGAAGGCTTTCTTAGACGGGCTATCAATGGCAGTTTGGGGGAATGAATTCCAGAGAGCAGCTACGCGAGTGGAGAAAAAAAGCTTTTGACACAGAGGTTTTTGGAGCCAGAATAGGACTAATTTTGGTTTTAAGTCCACGAGTTCGAGAGGGGGCGGCAGAAAAGAAAGTATTTTCAGAAATATTAGAAGGAATCTTGTGGAGATTGAATAGAAAAAGAAAATCCGCGGTCAGCCTCCTATTGTTCAATGGTTCGAGATTGAATTGAGTGCATGCCGAACGATAGGAGACGTACGGGACTTGGCACCGGTAGCATACACGTCGAGTGAAGTCTTTCTGAATTGTTTCTAGAGCAATCTGATCTTTTCTGAGCCAAGGGGATGAAACTACTGAGGCATATTCGATTATAGGCCTGATATAAACTAGATACAAATTTGGAATTTTACTACGAAAAATTTTGAAAATAAGAAAGGAGCAGCGAGCTGCTTTTTTCGTCACCTCTACCACATTTGGCGAGCAGCTGAAGTCATCGCATAGCAGGACACCCAGATCACGAATGCATTTTGATTGTGGGAGCGGGCTTCCATTTAGCGAATAAGTGTTCTTCGGATTTCTTCTGCCATAGTGTACAGAAGAGCACTTTGGGGCAGCGAGAGTCAGCTGATTTTCCGAGACCCAGGACTCGAGCTTAAGCAGCTGAGCAGACATATCAGATGGACTAGTGTTGGAAAAATGGGAGATTAGCTTTAGATCGTCCGCAAAGAGTAAACCATTCGGTAGATGTTGAGGATCATTTAGGTCATTTATGTATAGAATAAAAAGCAGGGGCCCGAGGACGGATCCTTGTGGAACAATAGACAATACTGGCGCAGGAATAGAGTATGAATCACCAACTCGAACGGTTTGTGAACGACCCACTAGCCAGTTTCTAATCCAGCCAAGAAGCGGGTCCGCGATTCCGTAGGTGGAAAGTTTTCGGAGTAGCCGGGAATGGCAGACGGTATCGAATGCCTTCGCGAAGTCGATATAGCAAACATCAGAAAAAAGTCCTTTCTGATCAGATATTAAGAGATTGTGCTGGTGAACTAGCAACTGGGCAGTTGTCGAGCGAGCTTTCAAGAAACCAAATTGGTTCTTCGATAAGAGTTTTTCATTTTCAAGGAACTCAGAGAGAGCCTTCCGAACAACCTTCTCCATGATTTTGCCGAAGGAGCTCGTCAAAGAGATCGGACGGTAGTTGACAGGTTCAGATTTCTTGCCTTTCTTAAATATGGGACAAATTATAGCTTTTTTCCAGCTGCAGGGCACAGCGCCAGTGTGGAAGCTTCTGCTGTAGATTAGAGAAAGGGGGAGGGATAGGGAACCAGCACATTCTTTTACAAAGAATGCTGGTACCGGGTCAGCAGTTTGGGTGAACTTGGGCTTAAGAGAGGTGACAATGGTCCGCTCTATAATATGAGGGCTAAAGTCGACAAACGATAGTAATTTGTTGGTTCTTATGGGCAAATAGGAAGGTACGGCGGGGCTGGTAGTGAATACTGAGGCAAATTGTGACTGCAGGGCATCAGCTTTTTCGGCATCAGTCACGGCCATCTCATGTTGAATAATAAAGAGTGGAGGAATTGCATTATCGGTAGAAGTCTTTGACCGAACGTAACCATAAAATTTCCTCAATGCTCCGATCCGACCTGCAGCGGATGACCTATCCACAAAATCCAGCTCTTTTTGTTCATTTTCTTGGCGTAGGGCAGTGTCAAGGTCCTTACAAGTACTAACTTACTTGCAGTTCCCTATACAAAGTCAATAAGGGCCGCCACAATACAAAAAAATCGGCTAAAAACGTTGATAAACTCGCACCGTTTTTTCAGCTACCTGCAGATGGGGTATTTCCAGTTGGGGACTCCGCGACTGTCCGTCAGTTCGCATGCACATGGTAAGATTTGGGGAATATTTCGAGTGTCCATAAAAGGATAGGGGGAGAGAGAGAGAGAGAGAGCGACAGAGAGAGCCAGAGAGAGCGAGAGCTAGAGAGTGGGCGAGAGAGATGGAGAGAGAGGGAGAGAGAGAGAGAGCGACAGAGAGAGCCAGAGAGAGCGAGAGCTAGAGAGTGGGCGAGAGAGATGGAGAGAGAGAGAGAGAGAGATAGATAGATAGATAGAACGAGTGGTTTGATAGCAATGTCGATATTCAGGCGGTCACGGCCATGGAGGACATCATGATGTCCACCACGGTCATGATGATCATCAACAAAATCATGGAAATGGAGGGTTGAAAGGGCCGCAGGCACCCATGGCTTCGATATTTCGAGCAGCAGCTATTATGGAGAGGAAGAGGAATGAGCAGGAGGTGAGGGGAAGGTCTTTAAAGGGACTGGGAAGGCACGCGGATGAGACACACGATGCGCACGCATTTGACAGGTTTTTCGTGTCGTAATCGATTACGCAATGGGAAACCGGCAGCGCGTTATGTACCGCGGCGCGGACCTTTTACATCAGATTTTTGCCCAAAAATCCACAAATTTGCTGCCCGAATGCCTTAGAAACGGTTACGACATGTAAATCGAACTCACTAAAAAATTAGGATTTAGAACTCGGACTCGTCTTCCGAGTCCTCGGCCGCCACACGGTCAGAAAGCGATTCACCGAGGTCGAGACGGAAGACATATTCTTATACACTTTCTGGTACACCATAATTTGGCCGTTTTCAATCGTTTGTACATAGGAATAAATCGTTCATTTCAGAAGGAATTGATGCTGGCTCTCTCGCCCTCTCTTTCTCTCTCTCTCTCTCTCTCTCTTGCTGTATCTCTCTCGCTGTCTCTATATCTCTCTCGCTCTCTTGACTCTCTCACCCTCCCTTTCTCTCTCACTCTCTCTCCCACTCTCTTTCTCTCTCTCTCCTATTTTCTGACCGGAAACCCAGTTTCATCATCGTTCCTCATAGTTCAAAATCAGAATTTCATTAAAACACCCTCAAAATGCCCCCATTTTCGGGCGTGATTATCAGTGAGCCTGGCGCAAATTAATCGGCTAATAATTCTTGAGGGGCAAGACATAATCGCCCTCTTTTCGTCTCCCCTTTCACGCCCGGCAATAATTCATTGATCTGTCTCCATTTCTGACCCCAGATGGCCATTTCCTAACCTTCTATTAATGCGTCAGCGGCTTGGATTCGTTATTTTACTAATCTTCTATTTTATTGCCAATTCAATTGCTGCTAACCGATGCGCAGATGGTGGGCAGAGAAATAATAGCCTTTTTAAGAGACTGGCAAGGCAAGACTGTGGATTTTTGGCTAGGGCCTTTCTCTGGGTACCTTTTCTACGATATGGCTCTCGCGATACGCAACCCACCGCGCCCCGCCGGCGAACCTTCGCAGAGTATCGCTGCCGATTCTGTTGGCCCTGGATGTTGGCGGGTCGCGACACGCAACGCGCCGCTACGGCTGGCCTGGATTGTAATCAATTAGCAATGGAAATCTGCCGCCGTCGGTCGCGCGTCGCGTCGCGCGTCGCGTCTCGCGGCCCCCTTAAAGGGGCTGGCAAGGAGAAACTAACGATTTCTGGCCATGGATTTTCAATGGGTGCAACTTCGACCGCGGCAAGCAACGCTTTACCGCCATAAAGTTGAGCGAATCCATCACGCCATGGAAAAGCGGCCGTCAGCGTTGCTTGTCGCGGCACGGCACTAGGGCCATGCCTTGTTCGCTTCTTTAGAAGTTGAGTCGGCGCACTCCCTTTAAAAATGTTGGCACGCTTCTTTTAAGGGACGAGCAAGCCGAATTATGGATCTCTTTTGCTATGGATTCAGCCGCACCGCGCCATCTTCCATTGCGTAATAGATTACACGGCCACTGTAGGGCGGGGCGGACTGATGGCGCGTCGAGGCATCGGCTGAATCCATCAAGAATCCATTGTAAAGAATCCCTAGTCGTTCCTTGCCTGGCCCTTTAAATTCCCTTCTTTAATTAAATATGATTTTGGCGAGTGGCGAAAGCCAGGCCCAATGGATTACGCGATAATTTTCTATTGCGTAATCGGTTAACAGGTTGGCGGTTTGAGTGACATGAAGAAAAAGAGAGAGAGAGAGAGAGAGAGCGCGCAAGAAAGAGAGAGACACCCATGTTTCAGTGAGCACCACGCACACAGATCCGGAATGCGATGGTAACTGGCATTTCTACGTGTTTGCCCTGATTTCCGAAAACGGCGTCAATAGCTTTCGGTGAGTTTTTAGGCAAATTCTAGAATGGCGAAAATTTAGGGATGCCATAGAGACAATTGCAATTCCTTGTCGAAACTACGAGGCCCAGAATAATCAATCAGAAAAAGGGTATGTGAAAATTAAGTAGCTAAGGCCTTTTGGTCCTTTAAAGGGATTGGGAAGGGCGGGAATCGACCTCATAATGACTAGGTCTCTACAACTACGTGATGCGCCAAATGACGCGAGATCAAGCGACATTGAAAGGAGGAGAGTGAGAGACAGAGAGCGAGAGAGAGAGAGAGAGAGAGAGTGTGTGTGAGAAAGAGCGAGAGAGAGAGAGAGAGAGAGAGAGAGAGAGAGAGCGAGCGAGCGAGACAGAGAGACAGCGAGAGCGAGAGAAAGAGCTCGAGGGAGCGCAAACGAGAGAGGGACGACAGAGACTGAGGGAGAGGTCACCTAGGCCTAATCACCAAAAACCGTCGATTTTCGCGCTTCCTAGTCCCTTTAAAATCTGCATTTTCCAGCGAAATTACCTTTCTACAACCATATATGCCGGATTACACGATGAAATTTGGGGAGACAGTACCCCTAGATGTTGTCCAGAAATTCGCCAGTTATTGGTGAGTTTTTTCAGGTGTCCCCGTACCTTTAGCCCTTACTTTTCCCTGTTTTCAGGCCCAGGAACATGTCGAGCTCGGATTTCTGGGATCTCGGCTTTTCGCGAGTGAATACGACTGAGGATCGGCCGGTCACCCTGTATTTCTATACAGATCTGGACTGCCAGACGCAGCTCGTGCCGGTTGGGAGCTTTTCCATTATCGGGGGGAAGTTGTTTTTCTCAGGATTTTTAAATATAAATAGTGAAAGAGTTTCCTAGGCTATTTTTACCATTTCTAAAGGCAAAACTCGTCGAACTTCTATCGAAAATTCAAAACTTGCGCAATTTTTCCGACAATGACAGTTAAAAAACCTACAATAAAAACGCTATTAAAATAATTACAAACAGATTATTCGACATTTCCCAAAACACCTAAAACATCAGATCCCCCCCGATAATGCGAAAGAACCTCGTATTGTTCTAGTCAATGCAAGAGCTCGATCTGCGATGGTTAAAGAGTAATGTGACCGGAAATGGGATTCCCATTCGATTTCTCTGGATTCACAATGTAAGCGAAAGGAGGATAGTTTTGGAATACCATTCTGTCAGGAAGCCCACCCGGAGGCATGCGGAATGGAGCTGATGAAAACGGCCACATCCGGCCTATTCGATTACGTTAGTTAAATTTCTAAACCTCATCTTTCCTATTTTAAAATGTCTTTCTAAAATCGTTTCAAATTTTTCGAGCCAGAAATTTTTCTGGATTTTTAGGTGCTTATCGATTATCGGGGGGAGGGAGGACCAACTGTTCCTCAGGACCCAATTTTTATAATGTAATAGAGGAAGATTTCAATGTTTTCACTGTTCCTAAACGTAGAAACTTTAAAAAAACACAACGAAAAATACCGGGAATTCCAATTTTTTGAACAAACGTTGAAGTTTTTCCACATCAAATATAGCAAATCTAACTATATATAAAAAAATAGTGTCTGTGTGTGTGTGTGTGTATATTTGCATGCAACTTCCGTAAGTATGTACCGCACCTACAGCCTCAAGGGAAGGTTTTTAAGGTACGTATGATACGTCATTAGGTGCGTAAGGATCCCGAGATGAGTGCACACATATAAGATTTAGGAAAATCGGCTGTTTTCGCTATTAAAAATAAGTTTTTGTAAAGATTTCCAAAAACCTCTTTGTTAGGAGGCAATTTGCATGCGCCGGAGGTAGGGAGGGCCTATATAAAGGGACAGAGGAGCTGTTTTTCACTTTTTTCTTGCTAGAATTTAGGGAGAAGCATGCAAATTGAGGACTTTTGCAGGTCCTGGGCGGGGTCAGGGTTGAAAAGCCGCGAAGCGGTTTTTCAACCCTGGTTTTTGTTAAAAACACTTTCAACATACTTACTATTAAATTGCTACGCATTTCTGGCCACGAAGTGAAGAGTCCGCCCCCCCCCCCGATAATGCACAGGTCCCCGGTTTTTACTTGGGTCACCTAACCGAGTCATTTAAATCCAATCCAGCCACGATTCAGGGCACTGTCACGGATCCGTGCTATCGACAGAACTACGGGATGTGCCGGGTGGAAGGGGATAAACCATGTAAATCTTAGAAAAAATTGAAAGCTTGAAAACTTAGGTCTTACTGCGACGTCATCATCTCCGCTCGAGGCGTCGACGCGGAGGAGTTCAGCAAATGGGGCATGGTATGTCACGATATGTCTCTCTCGTCTCGCTCTCTCGCTTTCTCTCTCTCACGCTCTTTCTCTGTCGCTCTCTCCCTGTCTTGCTCTCTCTTGCTCTCTCCCACGCTCTTTGTCCGTCTGCCTTCTGAGCCTGATTTTTGATGATTTTAAAGGGACTGGGAAGCGCGAAAATCGACTGAATTTCCTTTCTAGACGGCCAATGCAGAAAAAGTGCGCGAGGGAGAGAGAGAGCGACAGAGAGAGAGAGAGAGAGAGAGAGAAAGAGAGAGAGCGTGAGAGAGAGCGTGAGAGAGATGGGGCGAGAACAATTTTAATGAAAAGGTTCTCATGGCCAATTTCGTAGCCGTCTAGACCCAGTCGTCATTGGGGGTCGATTCTCTCCTTTCAGCTCTTTAAGACCCCATTTCAGGGGATACCTCGGCGGTGCATTCGGTGCCATATTGCTGATGTTTGCGTTTTGCTGCATAATGCGCGAGATTTCGATACGGTGTTTCCCGGAATGGACGCTACGGCATATGTAAGTGAAGGAACTAATTGATTACGGCGTGAATTCCCTGGCTTCCCGGTCCCTTTAAACGGGCCAATTCAGGCGCGACGATCTGTGGAAGATGCGGAAACATTTGCCGAAAGAGCGTCGCATCGAGTTGGAAGAGGAATTCCAGGCCATCAAGACGGGAACGCCGGCTCGAAATGACTATTCGACGACGCCAAGCGCGCCCCATTGGAGGTAGGAAGTTTGGGGTTTGTCGTTATTGATTATGTCTTTTTTTGCTCTTTTCAGTGGCCCACGTCGTAGTTCGCTGCTCTTTTCTAGTTTGTAGTCGACTTTTGCAGTTTGTAGTCTATATTCCACCATATTTGTAGTCTATTTTGTAGTCCACTTCCGAGAGTATTTCTTAGTATTTGCGCCGATTTTGTAGTCCATTCCGTAGCACGGATTGCAGTCCGTTCTGGTGCTTTCTGTAACCCAGTTTGTAGCCTTGTTTGTCGTCTAATTTTCAAAGTCTGTAGTTCACGTCGTAGCCCACCTGGTAGCCAATTTCGTAGCACACATTGTAGTCATCTTGTCGCGTTTCTGTACTTTGTAGTCTCGTTTGTAGCCCAGTTTGTAGCCTAGTTTCTACAGTTTTTAGTCTCTACGTTTTCGTTTGTAGTCTCGTTTTTACGGTTTGTAGTCCATCTCCGCAATTCTAGTCGATTTTGTGCTCCTTTTGTAGCTTGTAGCCTTGTTTAAAACCTATTTTGTAGTATATTTTTATTATTTCGTTATATTTTGTCCATGTTGTAGTTTGTGGCCTCGTTTAGCTAACTATAATCCGTAGCCTTGTAGTCTCACGTCGCTTACATTGTAGTCTATTTTGTCGTCCATTTTCGAGTCCGTTTCGTAACGAATTTCCTGGTCAGCGTTGTAGTACTTTTTGTCGCCTGCTTTGTATCTTGTAGTCCGTTCTGTAGTCGAAAAAATTCCCTCGATTCCTAATTACGAATGCTCGGTTTTTTTCAGAGATCTTGAGAGTGCCGATGACGGATGGGAGGTGGACGAGTCGGATCTGACAATTTCAAATACAAAGCTCGGGTCCGGTGCGTATGCCGTTGTGTACAAAGGATCACTACGGAAATTACCGCCGGCCGTGACAAAGAGTGGGGCCGCCAGGGTAGGTACTGCTGATTTCTGCGAAATCCCAAGAAAATGCTTGCGAAAGCGTCGTATTAGCCTTGAAAAACTCACCATCATAAAATACCGGCCAGCTGGGCAGGCGAGCAAAGATTATTGAGGAGTTCTAGAAGTCAAAACTCGCAAAACGGGGGCCAAAGAAATAGCAAAAAGCCTACGACACCCGGGATTCCCACGCCGTCTCCGATCCAAGTACTAACCGAGTCCAACGTTGCTTAACTTGGCAGATCGGACGGGATGCCGTGCTTTCAACGTGGTATGGTCGTAGGCGAAGGGGAGGAGGGGAGAGGGGGTCAAGAGAGTTCGGGAGCTGCGTGGAAGTCGGTAAGTGTCTTCTACCATTTCCATGTACTTGGATCGGAGACGGCTTGGGAATCCCGGGTGTCGCAGGCTTTTTGCAATTTTTGAAGTTCAATTATGACTTTTTGCTTTTTTTCCAAATTTTTGCCGTGAAGCATTTTGCAATGCGGCTTTCGGGTTTTTTTGCAAGTTCGTAGCGAATCTGTGGGGGTATGACAGAAGTCCGCACGCAGAAGCCCGCAGGTACCAAAAGCCCGCAGCGACAAAAGCCCGCAACGACAAAAGCCCGCAACGACAAAAGCCCGCAACGACAAAAGCCCGCAACGACAAAAGCCCGCAACGACAAAAGCCCGCAACGACAAAAGCCCGCAAAGACAAAAGCCCGCCATACATTTTGGCTTTCACGAAAACGGCTCTTTTCTAAGGGATTGAAAGATTCCCCCCGGGTTCATACGTTATTTATAGTCGCTCACACGGTACTAATGGAATTGATTCCTTACAGCAAATGAAGCAATTGATGATGGAGGGCATCTTTTTCTTGGCTTAACATAGCTTTACTAGGAAAGTGCAAATAAAAAAGCCTATTCTCACTGGAGATTCGGAATCCCCGTCGTCGAGCCTGGCTGATCCATATTTTTGTTAAGCGATTTGTTAGCTTTTTTCTTTGTACTCTTAGTTAGTCTAGGTCTAGGTTCGGCATAGCCTAGACTTAGCTTAGGCGTGGGCTTAAGTCTAGGTTTGGCTTGGTTCGCTTAGTACCTCAAGTGTAACGTTAACGAAACCTAAGACATGACTAAGCCAAGCCTAGGCGAAGTCAAAACCAAGCCTAAGCTAGGCCACCTTAGGCTATTTGCTAACCGGTGTGGGCCAGATTGTCGTAAAAACGAGGTTCCTGGGCTAGCTTTGCGTGCTGAGTTCGAATTCAAGACTTTTAGCGTAGTTTCTTTGACGAGCTTTGCAAAACAGCAGACTTTCTACTTTTTTGACGCCTTGGGGTCATCAAACTTACCTAGCTCCAACAAACTAGTCAAGTGGAATAACAAAAGGAATGAGTTAGGATGAGAAACGATGGCAACATTCACCAACGAGGAATTCAAACGACAAAATACAACAACGATCATCCGGGCCCTAGTCTCCACACCAAAGGGCTAAAATGTATGGCGGGCTTTTGTCGTTGCGGGCTTTTGTCGCTGCGGGCTTTTGTCGTTGCGGGCTTTTGTCGTTGCGGGCTTTTGTCGTTGCGGGCTTTTGGTCGTTGCGGGCTTCTGTCTTCGGGCTTCTGTCTTCGGGCTTTTGTCTTCGGGCTTCTGCGAGCGGGCTTTGGTCATACCCCCGAATCTGTAAGGCACCTTTCCCTCAAAAAACACATCGAAAACTTTCCAGGACCTGCCATGCCATTTCGAGGGCGTCACGCTAGTGGCCGTCAAGCTGTGCCATTCGTACGCGACGCTCGAGGACAAGTGGGTTTTGGCGGAAATTGAGTAATCGGATTTTAGCTAAAACTTTACGCTATTTGCCTCCCTTCCACCCCTTTCATTTTATTTATTTTATTTTTCTCGTCTTAGAACTGAAATTAAAAGTTTAATTGGATTTTTAATTGGCCAAAGAGTGAAAAACGAGGCTATTTTTGAAGTTATCGTTTAAGAAATCGCTAAAACTATGCGGAATTGGCTGAGTTTAGGGTGGACATGTTGCAGGAAATCGATTTCATGATCAATCTCGAGGTAAGGTGGTCAATTTTTGGTATAAAAGCTGACAAAAACTTAGGCGCATCCGCATATCCTGCGACTGCTCGGCTGTTCGAAGAATCCGGATCGGCCGATGATCGTGACGGAGATGTGCCCGTTGGGGGACCTTCTCTCCGTGTTGCGCAACTCGAAAAATGCCCAGATCGGGGAGCAGGACATTCAAAATGAGGTATTTAGTACAAATTTTTGGCTGAACTCTGGATACCCCCCAGCCGGTTTGTAACTTTTGTATCGCGGCTCCCTGTTCATCTACAGGTGTGTAAAGTATACCAAAATGCTCGCCAGAGCAAGACGAACATTTTGGTATACTTTACACACTGTAGATGCACAGGCTTCCGAGATACAAAATTGTTTGGATACAAAAAGATCTGGAGTCTTACCAAGTTGTTCTCAAATGCCCCATTCTGTTCCTAGGATTTGCTGACACGCGACGAACTGCTTGCCGTCGCCTGGCAGATCAGCGACGCGCTGGTTCGTTAGATTTTTTTGAGTGAATTTGGGCGCAGCAGGGATTTTAAGCGCTTTAGACGGAGCTTAAGTTTGTTGTTTTCAGACATTCCTTTCCTCAAAGAATATCATCCACCGCGATGTGGCCGTGCGGAATGTGTTGATGGGCGGGCAAAAGTTGGCCAAACTAGCCGGTGAGCCAATTGGCAAATTCAATACAAGGTGTCCCAAAAAAAAGACCCCGCAAAAATTTGAGCCAGAGGGCACCTATGGAGCTAAAAATTTGGATAGAGGTAGCGAAGCCAATTTTCTATGAACAAGGAAAGTTTCAGCCCGTTCGGCCTGCGGGTTTTAAAGTTATAGCGAAAATACTTTTAATTCTTAATTTAATATGGGGATCTTTGAATTTCTCAAAATTAATTAATTAAATTTAAGCAAAGGTCGCTTTCTTTTTCGTGCTTCCGCCAAAAATAGGGTATTTAAATTAAAATAAAACGTTTCAGATTTCGGCCTGTGCCGGCAGACGTCCCTTTTCTATACATCACGCGGCGGTCGATTGCCGATTAAATGGATGGCGCCGGAGAGTTTGCAAACCTCCGAATTCTCCGAAAAATCTGACGTGTAAGCGCGAAATTATTTTAACTTGACCTAAAACAACATTTTAAACTTGTTGTACGTTTCGTTTCTTAACCAATAACCAATTAAAAAAACCTCGAATCAATTTGTACTCGAAATTTGACCAAAATTTAGCGTTTTTTTATCGAAAAATAGTTATTTTTGTATTTGTTAATAGAAACTTGTTAGTTTAGGAGGAGTGCAAAAAGATTAGAAACAATTCGGCTATTTATAATAAGGCCTGGGGTTCTATATTGATCCCGTTCCGATAAAGCAAAAAGACCTCCGCTTTCAGGTGGTCATTCGGCGTGCTCCTCTTCGAGCTGTACACATTTGGGGATTCGCCATTTGTTGCCGTCGATCCGAATGAAATGTATGAACATTTGAAAGCCGGCAATCGACTCGAAATCCCAGCGGACGCGCCCGAATTGGTGTAAGTGAATCGCGCTGCCTATCGATCCTTCCAAAATGCTTCTAAAATAGGGGGATCCTTCGCATACGTCCCGCTATTTCTAGTTTTTCATATTCATGTTGACTATTTAATGGTTTCTTAATAAAATTTGGCCATACTTTTGATCGAAAAATATTCTAAAAACCTGGCTAAATTCTCAAAATTTTAATTTTAATCGAAAAATCTTTAAAAAAATCGATGAAGTACGTAAACGTAATTATTTTATTTGTTTTTAATAAATAGTGGGCATATTTCAAGTAAAAAAAAACTTTTAATTTAGGACAGTTAGAAATCCAGTTTTGGAAATTTTCACTTTAAACTTGTAAACCTATAAAAAATTAAGAACAATTAATATGCCTCGGTCTCTACTAGATAAATTGGATCCATATATCCAGAGCAAAAAAAAATTCAAAAAGATTGATTTTTCGCCGAAAACCAGACCAGGTTTACTTTTTTCGATATTCGCAATTTTTAGGTTTTTTACGCCATTCGATAGAGCCTTGAAAACCATACGAAGATTTTTAATCAGAGCTCAAAACAGCGTATTTTAAAAGTTATAGCCAAACAAAAAAATCAGCTTTGAAAACGGCTTAAATGTAAACATTTTTGGGGTTTTCGGCATCGTTTTTCCAGTTAGACGATGGTTCAATTGTATGAAGGTTTACGATTTAGCTGCCAACTGGCCACGTCATGCTGCCAATTCGACCCCGGTCGACGCCCAAATTTCGAGCAAATTCGCCGGCTGCTCTACGCGGCTCTCGACGGCCAACGAAGTCACTACGGGTATCTCGACGTTGGCCACGCCCCCCATCACCATGATCTCATCGAAGAAACGGAAAATTGACGTTGCGAATTGTCAAAGTGCCGGTACAAAATGCTCCCGCTTTATTTGACTTTATGAACAAAACAAATCACAGGCAAAATTCGGAATAAATAAAATTCGAATACCCTTGTACTATCAATTCAGCTAAACATGCTGTCGTGCAGCTCTTCCACATCTCGCTGTCGGGCTTCGCGACGCTCCAATTGACGCTGGTATTCCTGGAAATGGAAATTTTTGCACGACGACGATGAAATAGAAATGTCTTAAAACTTAATTGGGCTCTTTGGCAGTATCGGGGGACGAACATCTATTCATCCTAGGAAAGTCTATTCCATTTATCTTAGAAAAGTTGGCCTTCCCTCCGATAATGCACGAACCAAATAAGAATTGCTCAAAAACGCACGTTGAAATTCTCGTTATCGGTGGGCAGTCGATGGCGGCATGCCGGACACGAATTCGCCTTCTCCAGCCACATCAGGATGCAGTCGGAATGGAAAAAGTGGCGGCAGGGCAATTCCTGGAATTCAAACATTTGTTTCACATGCTTTTCACGGCAAAACGTATATTTCGCATTATCGGGGGGAGCCAGCTTTTTTTGTAATGTAGTAGCCTAATAAGTGTTTTAATATTGTTTTTTTTAACATATGAATATATTTCAACCAAGAAACTAACTAAAACCCTTGCGAAATGCCTGAAAAAGTCGAAATTTTGGTCAAAGAGCGTCCATTTTTGCCGAAAAATCGATAGTTTTGATAATTGACAAAAAACACTAGCAAAGTCTTCACGGTTAAGAACCGTAAGCAAACCGTAACACCTCCACTCTCCATATTTGAAAAATCCTACTATACAGGGTGTCCCAAAAAAAAAAGGCCCCCCTTACCTAGCGGTCCGCAGTCGATTCCGATTTTTACGATTTAGGTATCTATCGAAAGCTCTCGAAAAGCGAGAAAACAAGGAGGGTTGAATTTCTTAATTAAGCCTTTTTATTTGCTAACTTTATGTCCAAAAACCATGAAAACTGCTGATTTATGCGAGATCTGCATGCTAATTGCGAAATTCCTGATAAAAAATTCTCGGCTTTTTATGAAAACCTGAAATATCGATAGAATCAGATTAAATCTTAGAAAACGAAACCTGCTTGTTTTCTCGCCTTTCCGAGAGCTTTCGATTGGTATAAAAATCATTCCGATCCGATCCGATTGACGGCCTCTAGAGGGGGGGTTTTTTGGGACACCCTGTATATAAAAAAATAGTGTTTGTGTGTGTGTGTGTGTGTGTGCCACTTTGCATGCAACTTCCGTCAGCGTGTTCCAGTCATATCTCAAGAAGGAGAGTAGTTAGGGGCATGTTTGATACGTCATTAGATGCGTAATGGGCTGGAGATGACTGCACGCATATCAAATTTATCAAAATCCCTTATTTTCGACATTAAATTTTAGTTTTTGTTGAAAAATCCGAGGCCCTCTTTGTTAAGAATCGATTAGCATACACCGGAAGTGGTGGTAGCCTATATAAAGGAGCAGAGAACGCCTTTTTCATTTTTTTAGCATGGGTCGGACCGAATTATGCAAAGTGTAAACTTTCATTGGTCCAAAACAGGGCCAGGGTTGAAAAGTCGCGAAGCGGCTTTTCAACCCTGGTTAAATCCTAAGAAAAGAGTTGCCTCTCCCCGATAATGTTAAATAATCCCAACAACGTACCAAAATCTCCTTGTCCGCCTCATTTTTCCAGGCATCCAAGCAGACGAGGCATTGCCCATCCTGGAAACGCCATAATTATCCCCCAAAATAGCGCGGATACCTTTTGTTTCTCCGCCAGCTCGTCGAATTTGTGCCGGGGAAACGAGGCGATGGCTTCCTGGAAAATAATATGATACTAGAAAACATCTTCAAAGCGTACCTTTGAAGTAGCAAGCGGCGTCGACCCGAATAAGTGCTCGAATTCGACGCTAAACTCCAAAAAAAAAATAACTTTTTAAATGGAAATCGTACCCCCAGGCCTCTGCCCATCCGCCAGCCACCAAAAGCCGAGCGAAATTCATGCGTATTCCCTGAAAAGATACGTGATAAAAATCAATTTATGATTTACCTCGGCCACCTCTGCGATATCAGGGATCGAAGCGGGCCGAGCGACTGAAGCGGCAGCCTCCTCTTCCAGCAAAGCGTCGTAATCCATCTTCACAGACAGTCACCAAAGTCTAAAGCCTAAATAAAACCGGTAAAGTTGAGTTTTTATAAGCGGGAAGCAGCCCGATTACAATACTTTTGAAAGTTTTAATATAAAAATTCGAGATTTGCGAAAATCGATGTCGTGCACTTTGTGGGCTTTTTTGCGGCGTATCCGAATATGAAAAGTGTTTTTTTGTGAATATCGTAATTTCCGAGCAATCCGGGTTACGGTAATTTCGAAAATACAAAAATCGCGTTTTTCGTGGTTTTTCGAATGTAGAATTGTAGCCCCGGTCGAGACGAGCATTTCTGTACCGACATCGGCATAGGTGGCGGGAAACCCGGGGGCGGTAGAGGCGTCGGAGTGGCGGCGTCGCCAAGGGGTACGTGCGTATCTCGGTGCGTAGCGTAGTTGGAGGGAAACCGAGCGGATATTCGGATTCAGCGTGAAAAAGTGATCTAGGGGGAAGTTAGTGCGTAATTTTGGGGCGACTGGGAATGGAGCAAATTGGCTGCGAATGTGGGGCTACCGTAACCGGGGAGTACCGAGTGAAGCGGCGGAAAAATTGCGAGTTTTTGGGGTTTTTTCGAGTGGAATGGGTGCGGTGGCGGGCAGTTGGGGATTTGGAGAAGAAATCAACGACTTTTGATGGCTTTTGGATGGAAGGGGGCCAAGGGGAAGAATTGCGGCGGAGGGAGGTCGTGCTCGGGCAATGGGGAGCAGGAGTGTGAAACAGAGGGTTGGCCCGTATTGACTGGCAGTCAGTTGGTCGGGAACCGTTGAGAGCGTATTTTTAGCGTGTAAAACGGCGGAGATACGATTTTTTGGCCTAAAATTGGGTGCGGTTTTGCTAAAAAGCGCTGTATCTCGAAGGATACGGTAGTTGGAGGGAAACCGAGTAGATATTCGGAATCAGCGTCGAAAACTGGTCTAGAAAAGTGTTGGTTAGAAGCGTAAAAGTGAGTTTTAAGGAAAACTACCGTATGTATTGCATTCTGAAACCTTGTCTACTCGGAGATAGGGAAAAAACCGGACTACAAACTACAAGCGCTGGCAGGCGATTATTGGCGTGTTTCGGGGCATTTATTTAAATTAAAATGATGAATGGAAAAAAAGTAAAAACGTGGAGGGGTAGAGGGGATGTTGCAGAACAGGTGTACTTGTTGAAGTTGTGGGGTAATCGGGTTTTGGGGGTTAAATCGTGGGTTAAAGTTGGGATAATTGGCGGATCGGGGGGTTGTGTAGACTGTTTTGAGGGGCGTTTCTCTGGCGGATAAAGAGCTAATTGAATAAACTAAAAACGCTACCCTATAGTATGGGGTGTGGGGAAGGGCTGCACGTTTTCAGAATTGGTTAGAAATGTCGATTTTGATGTTTAAAAGTGGTCTACATTTAGAATATTGTAAATGTGGGGATTTTGGGTGTTTTGTAAAATGTGGAATTGGAGGCTGATAAGCTGTATTTATATGTAATTTTGGGTGGGGAATCCGATGGTGTGGTCAGAATTGGATGAAAATGCGTGATTTTGTCGATTTGTCGGTATTTATGCGGAATTCGGGGTTTGTTGTAAAAGTGGCTATTAAAGTGTGGAGACGCGGTTTTTGCGATTTTGCGTAGCTGTAGCGTATTGCCCGTGTCGAATTACGTATTCTGGCAAGATTTCAGCTAAAAATCGCGTAATTTGGAATTTTGCGGAATTTTTGAAAATGGCTCTAAAGTGTGTATAGCGAGAAAAAGGGCCATTTTTCGAAAATTGCAAAAAATGCAATTTTTGCAAAAAATACCGATTTTGCGATATTTTAAAGGATGATCGCCAAAAATCGCGATTCCGAAGCTACCGTAACCCAACTAAGGCAAAACCGTCATTTGGAACCTACCGTAACCCCGGAAAATGTCGATTTTCGCGAAAAATGCTGAATTTTGTCAAAACCACCGATTTTTCGAGATTTTTAGGGAAAATCGCGAAAAATGGCGCTTTCGAAGCTACCGTAACCCAACTAAGGCAAAAACCGTCACTTGGAACCTACCGTAACCCCGGAAAATGCCGATTTTTCGGGAAAAATGCTGAATTTTGTCAAAAATACCGATTTTTCGAGATTTTTAGGGAAAATCGCCAAAAATGGCGCTTTCGAAGCTACCGTAACCCAACTAAGGCAAAAACCGTCACTTGGAACCTACCGTAACCCGGAAAATGCCAATTTTTCGGGAAAATACCGATTTTTCGGGAAAATCGAGATTTTTCGAGATTTTTCCAGAAAATCGCCAAAAATGGCGATTTCGAAGCTACCGTAACCCAACTAAGGCAAAAACGTCATTTGGAACCTACCGTAACCCGGAAAATGCCGATTTTTCGGGAAAATGCCGATTTTTGGGGCAAATCGAGATTTTTCGAGATTTTTCCAGAAAATCGCCAAAAATGGCGATTTCGAAGCTACCGTAACCCAACTAAGGCAAAAACGTCATTTGGAGCCTACCGTAACCCGGAAAATGCCGATTTTTCGGGAAAATTGAGATTTTTCGGGAAAATCGCCAAAAATGGCGATTTCGAAGCTACCGTAACCCAACTAAGGCAAAAACCGTCATTTGGAGCCTACCGTAACCCCGGAAAATGCCGATTTTTCGGGAAAATGCCGATTTTGGGGCAAATCGAGATTTTTCGAGATTTTTCCAGAAAATCGCCAAAAATGGCGATTTCGAAGCTACCGTAACCCAACTAAGGCAAAAACGTCATTTGGAGCCTACCGTAACCCGGAAAATGCCGATTTTTCGGGAAAATCGTCAAAAATGGCGATTTCGAAGCTACCGTAACCCAACTAAGGCAAAAACCGTCATTTGGAGCCTACCGTAACCCCGGAAAATGCCGATTTTTCGGGAAAATGCCGATTTTTGGGGCAAATCGAGATTTTTCGAGATTTTTCCAGAAAATCGCCAAAAATGGCGATTTCGAAGCTACCGTAACCCAACTAAGGCAAAAACGTCATTTGGAGCCTACCGTAACCCGGAAAATGCCGATTTTTCGGGAAAATTGAGATTTTTCGGGAAAATCGCCAAAAATGGCGATTTCGAAGCTACCGTAACCCAACTAAGGCAAAAACCGTCATTTGGAGCCTACCGTAACCCCGGAAAATGCCGATTTTTCGGGAAAATGCCGATTTTTGGGGCAAATCGAGATTTTTCGAGATTTTTCCAGAAAATCGCCAAAAATGGCGATTTCGAAGCTACCGTAACCCAACTAAGGCAAAAACCGTCATTTGGAGCCTACCGTAACCCCGGAAAATGCCGATTTTTCGGGAAAATGCCGATTTTTGGGGCAAATCGAGATTTTTCGAGATTTTTCCAGAAAATCGCCAAAAATGGCGATTTCGAAGCTACCGTAACCCAACTAAGGCAAAAACGTCATTTGGAGCCTACCGTAACCCGGAAAATGCCGATTTTTCGGGAAAATTGAGATTTTTCGGGAAAATCGCCAAAAATGGCGATTTCGAAGCTACCGTAACCCAACTAAGGCAAAAACCGTCATTTGGAGCCTACCGTAACCCCGGAAAATGCCGATTTTTCGGGAAAATGCCGATTTTTGGGGCAAATCGAGATTTTTCGAGATTTTTCCAGAAAATCGCCAAAAATGGCGATTTCGAAGCTACCGTAACCCAACTAAGGCAAAAACGTCATTTGGAGCCTACCGTAACCCGGAAAATGCCGATTTTTCGGGAAAATCGTCAAAAATGGCGATTTCGAAGCTACCGTAACCCAACTAAGGCAAAAACCGTCATTTGGAGCCTACCGTAACCCCGGAAAATGCCGATTTTTCGGGAAAATGCCGATTTTTGGGGCAAATCGAGATTTTTCGAGATTTTTCCAGAAAATCGCCAAAAATGGCGATTTCGAAGCTACCGTAACCCAACTAAGGCAAAAACGTCATTTGGAGCCTACCGTAACCCGGAAAATGCCGATTTTTCGGGAAAATCGCCAAAAATGGCGATTTCGAAGCTACCGTAACCCAACTAAGGCAAAAACCGTCATTTGGAGCCTACCGTAACCCCGGAAAATGCCGATTTTTCGGGAAAATGCCGATTTTTGGGGCAAATCGAGATTTTTCGAGATTTTTCCAGAAAATCGCCAAAAATGGCGATTTCGAAGCTACCGTAACCCAACTAAGGCAAAAACGTCATTTGGAGCCTACCGTAACCCGGAAAATGCCGATTTTTCGGGAAAATTGAGATTTTTCGGGAAAATCGCCAAAAATGGCGATTTCGAAGCTACCGTAACCCAACTAAGGCAAAAACCGTCATTTGGAGCCTACCGTAACCCCGGAAAATGCCGATTTTTCGGGAAAATGCCGATTTTTGGGGCAAATCGAGATTTTTCGAGATTTTTCCAGAAAATCGCCAAAAATGGCGATTTCGAAGCTACCGTAACCCAACTAAGGCAAAAACGTCATTTGGAGCCTACCGTAACCCGGAAAATGCCGATTTTTCGGGAAAATCGTCAAAAATGGCGATTTCGAAGCTACCGTAACCCAACTAAGGCAAAAACCGTCATTTGGAGCCTACCGTAACCCCGGAAAATGCCGATTTTTCGGGAAAATGCCGATTTTTGGGGCAAATCGAGATTTTTCGAGATTTTTCCAGAAAAATCGCCAAAAATGGCGATTTCGAAGCTACCGTAACCCAACTAAGGCAAAAACAGTCATTTGGAACCTACCGTAACCCGGAAAATGCCGATTTTTCGGGAAAATCGTCAAAAATGGCGATTTCGAAGCTACCGTAACCCAACTAAGGCAAAAACCGTCATTTGGAGCCTACCGTAACCCCGGAAAATGCCGATTTTTCGGGAAAATGCCGATTTTTGGGGCAAATCGAGATTTTTCGAGATTTTTCCAGAAAATCGCCAAAAATGGCGATTTCGAAGCTACCGTAACCCAACGAAGGCAAAAACGTCATTTGGAGCCTACCGTAACCCGGAAAATGCCGATTTTTCGGGAAAATCGCCAAAAATGGCGATTTCGAAGCTACCGTAACCCAACTAAGGCAAAAACCGTCATTTGGAGCCTACCGTAACCCCGGAAAATGCCGATTTTTCGGGAAAATGCCGATTTTTGGGGCAAATCGAGATTTTTCGAGATTTTTCCAGAAAATCGCCAAAAATGGCGATTTCGAAGCTACCGTAACCCAACTAAGGCAAAAACGTCATTTGGAGCCTACCGTAACCCCGGAAAATGCCGATTTTTCGGGAAAATTGAGATTTTTCGGGAAAATCGCCAAAAATGGCGATTTCGAAGCTACCGTAACCCAACTAAGGCAAAAACCGTCATTTGGAGCCTACCGTAACCCCGGAAAATGCCGATTTTTCGGGAAAATGCCGATTTTTGGGGCAAATCGAGATTTTTCGAGATTTTTCCAGAAAATCGCCAAAAATGGCGATTTCGAAGCTACCGTAACCCAACTAAGGCAAAAACGTCATTTGGAGCCTACCGTAACCCCGGAAAATGCCGATTTTTCGGGAAAATTGAGATTTTTCGGGAAAATCGCCAAAAATGGCGATTTCGAAGCTACCGTAACCCAACTAAGGCAAAAACCGTCATTTGGAGCCTACCGTAACCCCGGAAAATGCCGATTTTTCGGGAAAATGCCGATTTTTGGGGCAAATCGAGATTTTTCGAGATTTTTCCAGAAAATCGCCAAAAATGGCGATTTCGAAGCTACCGTAACCCAACTAAGGCAAAAACGTCATTTGGAGCCTACCGTAACCCGGAAAATGCCGATTTTTCGGGAAAATCGTCAAAAATGGCGATTTCGAAGCTACCGTAACCCAACTAAGGCAAAAACCGTCATTTGGAGCCTACCGTAACCCCGGAAAATGCCGATTTTTCGGGAAAATGCCGATTTTGGGGCAAATCGAGATTTTTCGAGATTTTTCCAGAAAATCGCCAAAAATGGCGATTTCGAAGCTACCGTAACCCAACTAAGGCAAAAACGTCATTTGGAGCCTACCGTAACCCGGAAAATGCCGATTTTTCGGGAAAATTGAGATTTTTCGGGAAAATCGCCAAAAATGGCGATTTCGAAGTTACCGTAACCCAACTAAGGCAAAAACCGTCATTCGGAGCCTACCGTAACCCCGGAAAATGCCGATTTTTCGGGAAAATGCCGATTTTTGGGGCAAATCGAGATTTTTCGAGATTTTTCCAGAAAATCGCCAAAAATGGCGATTTCGAAGCTACCGTAACCCAACGAAGGCAAAAACGTCATTTGGAGCCTACCGTAACCCGGAAAATGCCGATTTTTCGGGAAAATCGCCAAAAATGGCGATTTCGAAGCTACCGTAACCCAACTAAGGCAAAAACCGTCATTTGGAGCCTACCGTAACCCCGGAAAATGCCGATTTTTCGGGAAAATGCCGATTTTTCGGGCAAATCGAGATTTTTCGAGATTTTTCCAGAAAATCGCCAAAAATGGCGATTGCGAAGCTACCGTAACCCAACTAAGGCAAAAACGTCATTTGGAGCCTACCGTAACCCGGAAAATGCCGATTTTTCGGGAAAATTGAGATTTTTCGGGAAAATCGCCAAAAATGGCGATTTCGAAGCTACCGTAACCCAACTAAGGCAAAAACCGTCATTTGGAGCCTACCGTAACCCCGGAAAATGCCGATTTTTCGGGAAAATGCCGATTTTTGGGGCAAATCGAGATTTTTCGAGATTTTTTCCAGAAAATCGCCAAAAATGGCGATTTCGAAGCTACCGTAACCCAACTAAGGCAAAAACGTCATTTGGAGCCTACCGTAACCCGGAAAATGCCGATTTTTCGGGAAAATCGTCAAAAATGGCGATTTCGAAGCTACCGTAACCCAACTAAGGCAAAAACCGTCATTTGGAGCCTACCGTAACCCCGGAAAATGCCGATTTTTCGGGAAAATGCCGATTTTTGGGGCAAATCGAGATTTTTCGAGATTTTTCCAGAAAATCGCCAAAAATGGCGATTTCGAAGCTACCGTAACCCAACTAAGGCAAAAACAGTCATTTGGAACCTACCGTAACCCGGAAAATGCCGATTTTTCGGGAAAATCGTCAAAAATGGCGATTTCGAAGCTACCGTAACCCAACTAAGACAAAAACCGTCATTTGGAGCCTACCGTAACCCCGGAAAATGCCGATTTTTCGGGAAAATGCCGATTTTTGGGGCAAATCGAGATTTTTCGAGATTTTTCCAGAAAATCGCCAAAAATGGCGATTTCGAAGCTACCGTAACCCAACTAAGGCAAAAACGTCATTTGGAGCCTACCGTAACCCGGAAAATGCCGATTTTTCGGGAAAATTGAGATTTTTCGGGAAAATCGCCAAAAATGGCGATTTCGAAGCTACCGTTACCCAACTAAGGCAAAAACCGTGATTTGGAACCTACCGTAACCCCGGCAAATGCCGATTTTTGGAGAAAATGCCGATTTTTCGGGAAAATTGAAATTTTTCGGGAAAATCGCCAAAAAGCAGGACATTCAAAATAAGGTCTTTTAGTACAAATTTTTGGTTGAACTCTAGATACCCGCCAGCCGGTTTGTAACTTTTGTATCTCGGCTCCCTGTTCATCTACAGGTGTGTAAAGTAAACCAAAATGCTCGCCAAGGCAAGTCGAGCATTTTGGTATACTTTTGACACCTGTAGATGAACAGGGAGTCGAGATACAAAAGTTGGGGGCCAGCCGGGGGGGTATCTGGAGTCTTACCAAATCTTTCTCAAATGATTCCTTCTGTTTCTAGGATTTGCTGACACGCGACGAACTGCTTGCCGTCGCCTGGCAGATCAGCGACGCGCTGGTTCGTTAGATTTTTTGAGTGGTTGTGGGCGCAGCAGGGATTTTAAGCGCTTTGAACCGAGGTTTAATTTGTTAGATGCTTGAATTTTCAGACATTCCTCTCCTCAAAAAATATCATCCACCGCGATGTGGCCGTGCGGAATGTGTTGATGGGCGGGCAGAAGTTGGCCAAACTAGCCGGTTAGCCATTTGGGAAATTTATCAAAATTAATTAATTAAATTTAAGCAAAGGTCGCTTTCTTTTTCGTGCTTCCACCAAAAATCGGATATTTAAATTAAAACAAAACGTTTCAGATTTCGGTCTTTGCCGGCAGACGTCCCTTTTCTATACATCACGCGGCGGTCGATTGCCGATTAAATGGATGGCGCCGGAGAGTTTGCAAACCTCCGAATTTTCGGAAAAATCTGACGTGTAAGCGCGAAATGATTCTAAACTTGAGCTAAAATCAAATTTGAACTTGGTTGATACTTGCAGATGGTCATTCGGCGTGCTCCTCTTCGAGCTGTACACATTTGGGGATTCGCCATTTGTTGCCGTCGATTCGAATGAAATGTATGAACATTTGAAAGCCGGCAATCGGCTCCAAATGCCTGCGGACACGCCCGAATTGATGTAAGTAGATTGCGGAACGTGCTTTGGTATGATGGGGAACTCAATTTTTCTAGCACGAAACGTCGGCAGGTATTTTAATCGTTCAAGTTGTAAATTTTAGTGGAATTTCAAGTCGAAAAACTATTTAATTTTAAGTGAAAAAAGCAATTTAGCAGAGTTTGCAATCCATTTTTGGAAATTTTAAAATTTAAACTTGTCAAGATTTACCTTCAAAAAATTAAAAATGTGGAAACAGTAAATAGGCCTCCGGTTCTACTCTAAAAAATTGAATCCTAAGGAACAAAATCAAAAATTCAAAAAAGATAAATTTTATCAAGGTTTACCATTTAGTTTCCAACTGGCCACGTCATGCTGCCAATTCGACGCCGGTCAACGCCCACATTTCGAGCAAATTCGCCGGCTGCTCTACGCGGCTCTCGACGGCCAACGAAGTCACTACGGGTATCTCGACGTCGGCCACGCCCCCCATCACCATGATCTCATCGAAGAAACGGAAAATTGACGTTGCGAATTGTCAAAGTGCCGGTACAAAATGCTCCCGCTTTATTTGACTTTATGAACAAAACAAATCACAGGCAAAATTCGGAATAAATAAAATCGAATACACTTGCACTATCAATTCAGCTAAACATGCTGTCGTGCAGCTCTTCCACATCTCGCTGTCGGGCTTCGCGACGCTCCAATTGCCGCTGGTATTCCTGGAAATGGAAATTTTTGAACGACAACGATGAAATCCAAATGTCTTAAAACTAAATTGGGCTCTTTGGCAGTATCGAGGGACGAACATCTATTCATCTTAGGAAAGTCCATTCCATTTACCTTAGAAAAGTTGGCCTTCCCTCCGATAATGCAAGAACCAAATAAGAATTGCTCAAAAACGCACGTTGAAATTCTCGTTATCGGTGGGCAGTCGATGTCGGCATGCCGGACACGAATTCGCCTTCTCCAGCCACATCAGGATGCAGTCGGAATGGAAAAAGTGGCGGCAGGGCAATTCCTGGAATTCAAACATTTGTTTCACATGCTTTTCACGGCAAAACGTATATTTCGCATTATCGGGGGAGCCAGTTTTTTTGTAATGTAGTAGCCTAATAAGTGTTTTAATAGTGTTTTTATTAACATATGAATATATTTCAACCAAGAAACTAACTAAAACCCTTGCGAAATGCCTGAAAAGTCGAAATTTTGGTCAAAAAGCGTCGATTTTTGTCCAAAAATCGATAGTTTTGGTAATTGACAATAAACATTTGCAAAGTCTTCACGTTTAAGAACCGTAAGCAAACCGTAACACCTCCACTCTCCATATTTCTAAACATTAAATCCTAAGAAAAGAGTTGCCTCTCCCCGATAATGTTAAATAATCCCAACAACGTACCAAAATCTCCTTGTCCGCCTCATTTTTCCAGGCATCCAAGCAGACGAGGCATTGCCCATCCTGGAAACGCCATAATTATCCCCCAAAATAGCGCGGATACCTTTTGTTTCTCCGCCAGCTCGTCGAATTTGTGCCGGGGAAACGAGGCGATGGCTTCCTGGAAAATAATATGATACTAGAAAACATCTTCAAAGCGTACCTTTGAAGTAGCAAGCGGCGTCGACCCGAATAAGTGCTCGAATTCGACGCTAAACTCCAAAAAAAAAATAACTTTTTAAATGGAAATCGTACCCCCAGGCCTCTGCCCATCCGCCAGCCACCAAAAGCCGAGCGAAATTCATGCGTATTCCCTGAAAAGATACGTGATAAAAATCAATTTATGATTTACCTCGGCCACCTCTGCGATATCAGGGATCGATGCGGGCCGAGCGACTGAAGCGGCAGCCTCCTCTTCCAGCAAAGCGTCGTAATCCATCTTCACAGACAGTGGCCAAAGTCTAAAGCCTAAATAAAACCGGTAAAGTTGAGTTTTTATAAGCGGGAAGCAGCCCGATTACACTCGGTTAATAAAGCGCCAGCGGGCGCGCCAACTTCATCAATGCGCTAGCGGGCGCGCCAATACGGAGAGTGGGAGCGCCAATGGCGCTTATCGGGAAGGGAAGCGCCACTAGCGCAGACGCGCGAAATTATACAAAAAAAAGCGCGAAGTGGCGCAATTGCGAAGAAAAGGAAGCGCCCATTGGCGCATTTGAATTCTTGAACACCTTTCAACGGTTCAAAAATTTCGCTAAGTCCCTAGAATTCTGAAACAATTCGAATGATTCAATTTAGGTAGATTTTATTAAACACAATTGATGATTACGGTTGTTTTGTTAAAAGTAACGGTTGAAACGTTAGCGATCTGCTACTTATTGCAATTCCCAAGGACCCAGGTACAAAGTTTTTTACAGCTTCGTAAGTTTGATTTTATGTGACCAAGTCATTGCAGGTTTTGACCATCTATTCTATAAAGCTAAATTTTCAGGCGACAATGAAGTTGGAAACTGCGCGCGCCTACATGATTAAGTAAGAGTAAGTCTCCCTGAATAAGAAACATTTAGGTTAACTTGTATCAATTTCTAACCGTTTAGAATTAGAACAATGCGGGTAGCGGGCGACCAGATGAGTAAAAGGTACGTTAGCTAGCTTTTAGATCAAATACGTGCGCTGGCGCTATGGAAGCAAAAACAAAATAGGTTTTGCAAAGATTATGCTTCTAAACAAGCTATTTAGGTGCGCAGATCGACAACTTTTGGGCATACACGTCGGATGCACCTCTTCTCGTGTACTACATCGCAAAAGCGATGCTAATACACCCCTATTCATAATAAAAACTATTTTATTAAAACCCCAGTACGAACAGCTGAAAGAAATGGGCGCTTTATGAGCGCAATCCGACAAATGAGCGCGCCAACGGGCGCTTTTGTCAAAAGCGCTAATGGCGCGCCTGCGCGTCCGCTAATAGCACCGAAGTTGGCGCGCCCGCTGGCGCTTTACTAACCGAGCAATTGCTCATGTCATCGGAGATGGTTGCGCCACGTGGTCCAAACGGGCATTGGCGCGCTGCGTACGCCCCCGGCCAGATAATTGGCAACACCACACCCGCTACAGCTAAACAACGAAGGTCCAGGGCGAAGGCCGGCTACGGCATAATTCCAATGACGTAGCGACGTAAGGAGTAGCATAACGTAGCGACGTTTTGAGTAGCATAACGTACCGGTATACCACCTCGTTTGCCGATAATTTAGTATATAATAAATTCTTGGCAAAATAAAAGTTTTAACTTTTCATTTGTATTGTATCGTTTTCGGCGTACTTTTTTACCCAGGTCCCGAAATTTTGGTGTTTCCTCGATGAATTTCTACAAAATTTGCTTTTATCTCGAGAATCTGACGTCCTAGGTAATAAACGAGCTCATTTTCAGAATCAGCACAAAAAATTGTCTATCTTGGGTACCCTAGCAGCCCGGGATGTGGCAAAACAGCACGTAAATCCCTAATGTTGATGCGCGAAAATCGGGCCTTTTTCAGAACGGAAGATTTCATGGATCGAATTGGCCGTTTTTATGCTCAAACAATCCGCGATAATTTGTTCCCTAAAATCAATCATGAAATGGTTGATGAAAAACGAGTTTTAAAGAGATTTTGCATTATTTTTAAATTTTACTAGCATTTGCCGCCTCTTCTCGGAGTGTACTTGTACTTCGTTGCAGTTTTAATTAAGGCTGTAGCGGCTGTGACACAGCAGCAGCATCTCGAAAAAAAAGCAAAGGGACTCGGAAGTCCCAAATCGCGCGTGCGGAGATTCGACTAACTCCAAAAACGAAAACGTTGCTGCCGAGAAGTACCAGAAAAGGGTTCTTTACGATTCGCGGGGGCGGGGACCACATTTTTTTTCCTGGCGGTCCCGGTTGACCTAGTAATCAAATCTAAAGTGTTTTCACATTGTTTTTAGTAAGTTTAACTATATTTAAAATAGAAAAAATTTCAAAAAAAGTCGAAAATTTGGTCATTTTGGAGCCTCCCCCCTCGAATCCTAAAGGTTCTTTAGGATTTTTCGAACTAAAATTACTTTTGTAATTAAAATTCGTGTAGCTTTCATGCTTAGCAATAGTTCAAAACAATTTAGAAACGCATCCGCTATTTATAAAAAAAATTTAGGCTTGGGCCGAAAAAATTTTTCTGACCAATTTTCATAATTTACACGCCTAGAATGATCAAAATTCGATGGGGATTCCAGAAATAGCGTCAGAATTTTGAAATTCAAGCGTTTTTACGTTCAAACAGGGGCAAAAGATCATGCGGCACGGTCGCATGATCATATTTGCAAGGAATCAACGCGGGGGCCGTGGACTAGATTTCGTAGCTCCCTTTAAAGTGAATGAATGGGAAGTCAGAACTCGTCCATTCAGGGATGAACCTACGCTTCAAAACGGGGACCGTTTACGCTTTCTATCATTTGTTGGAAAATCATCTGTCCGACAATTACCTGTTCAAAGAGCCATCTGTTCGAAAAATTTGCATCTGGAATTGCCTAGAAATAGAGCACAGCCATACAGCCGCCTCCCCTTGTTGCCTTGCCAAGAGGGCATGCTGGGGTGCATGCTGGCCCCATGTAATTCCCGCGCAAAAAGGGTCAATCATACAGCATCCAAATTGCCGCACATTCAAAATGCTCACGCGACCCCGCACTACCACTTTTTATCATTTTCTGACCATTAATGACATGCAGGGTGTGCTAAACCTCCCCTCCCGCCCGCGACAGTCTCCTATCACATCGTCTTCTATTTACTTCAGCCGAATTTTCCAACTAAAATATCAAAAAAAAACGCAAAATTTATCGCCAAATTAAGGTTTATTTCGTCGATTTCACCAGGATTTCTACCTGGACATATTGGCAAGGCATTCTTCGCGAGCTGGGAAATTTTTTTTGATTTATATAGATTAAACCGGGAGTTTAGACGGTCCGCAAAAGCGGCAGTAAACATAACCAAAAATGACCATTTATCGGAAAAGTATTCAAAATCAGCATGCTGGTTGGAAACTCGCTGCAAACATTTCAAAAAACGAGATCTTCGGCGATAACTTTTTCGTTTTACGATAGTTTGTTTTCAAAATTCCGCGGACTTTGAAAACCCTGCGGAAACCTTGCGCGACTTCCGTTTCTGGTGTCGTACAGATTTGAACTAATATAAAACAATGGTGCTGTTCTATTTCGCGGGGGGGAACTGTGCGGAACCTTCGTCCGATCGATGTACGGTCAATGAAAGCGGGTTTCGTCCGAAAAACGTCCCTGAACGTGCCCTTTAAAGGAGAACAACCTCGATGGGTCTGCCGACGTTTCCCACCTCTCGACTGCCCCCAGCCCTGATCCCGGTCATCGTCGATCATTTGGACATGCGCGAGATGGTCGTGTTGCAACGCGTCAACACGGAGTTCAGGTAACATTTTGGGCAGTTATATTGCGAAACCTTTACGTTTCAAAGTTATCCGAGACATCAACCCGAAATCCTCATTTCAGGGTGGAAATTTCGACTTACCAGGCTTATCCCACCTTATAGAATGTTGGTGTGTGTGTCTGTGGGTGTCTGTCGAATCGCTCCTCTCCACATTTCGATTGCGTTTTCCGAATTTTTATAAAATACACGTTTACAAAGTTAAAGCCGCCTGGACAAACCCGCTGGTTCTTTAGGATTTCCGAGGCCGGGGGCCAATTTTTTAGGTTCTTTGTTTAGGATTTATTTTAGGACATATAGATAGAATTTATTCAATTTAAGTTCTTTAGGATTTTATTATTGTATTTACTATAAAATATAAAAAATTAAACTTTTTAAACTAAAAGGTGTGTAGTTTTTATGCTGAGGAACAGCTAAAAAATTTAGAAACACATCCGCTTGTTATAAAAAAATTTAGGCTTGTTCCGAAAAAATTTGGTCCCCCCCGAAATCCTAAAAAACCAACCCGCTTGAAGGGATGCCGACGGCATAGTCAATCGATTACGCGCGGAAAAGAAAATTTCTCTGCGCCTCGCCCCTGGGCGCGCTCTCTCCCCTGTTGGCTACTTGCCAATTTGTTGATGAGGGGGGATCGACACATGCCGTCGGCAGCCCTTTAACGTGGTTGATGGGATGAAGCAAACTTGGTATTTTCAAAATTTAATCCTGTAGGCCTGAAAATGCTAGCGAATATAGACAGAGGCATAAACGTAGAGATTTGACCTTACAAGGGAACGAATAACACAAATACCTCAGCTACACGCGCGCGAGCGCTGTGGGGGGGAGAGGTCCGGAGAATTCGCCGTAGCCGACGTCCATTAGCAGCAAAGTCCGTATCTCGGCGTGCCGCGCCCGCGAAGCGGCCCTTGCACGCTGATCGTCCACCTTCTCCCCGATTTTGTGGAATATTGGAATTCCCGGTGCGGTCCAGAAAAATTTTTCGCACATCGTCATTTTCGGTCACCTTTAGGTCGATGGTAAATGCTCGATGTCTGTTGCCACGACGAATCTTAGAGGTCAATATCAGAGGCCATATGGTGATAGATGAGACTATGATTCAGGACGAACCGGCCGACTCGAAGGTTTGACATTTCGGCACTACCCGAGAGCGAGAGAGAGCGATAGAGAGAGAGACAGAGAGAGAGAGAGAGAGAGAGAGAGAGAGAGAGAGAGAAGAGAAAGAGAGAGCCCGAGCGTGAAATTGAAATGCCGTGTGCTTTTTAAACAAAATGGGAGCATTGAGGCTTAGAAGTCATGAAAAACTGTGTTGCATTTGAAGAAACAAAGAGGCCGGTATTTTCAAAAATAGTGTGTTTTTAAAGCCGTGACTTGGAAATAGTGTCATTGCGGAATCGTGGATTTTCTAGAAACGGTGATTTTTCGAAATGGTGATCGCCAACCATCCCAACCCAAACGTTTGTTTTCAGCTGTTGGTGCAAGCAGCGCGTATCCAGATTCACTGCTTCGATCGGTCCTCGCTCAAATTATTCAGTGGCAATCAGCTCTTGTTCAAACAAAACCTTCAACGGATGGGGTAACTTTTGCTTCACTGCTGTATTTTTAGTGTTCTTAGTAGTTTTTGACTACTGGAGAATTATAAAAATAGGTAAAGATTTCTAGATTCAGAAATTGTGACGTCTGTTGGCCTTTTGGTTTTTACCAGAAATCAAAACTTTTTGATCACTTTTGTTCATATTTTTGTATCGAAAAACGGCGTTAAATTTTATAGAAATGCGTTATATATCGCTATAGGACCGTACGGGATTTCCGGCAAAAAATTTGGTTGTCCCCATTCCGAAACATCCCGCGGCTCCGCGGGATGTTTCGGAATGGGTTTTCCCGAGCCTTTCCGTGGCGTAATGAGTTACGACCAGGGTTGGTGAAGGAAACAGCGGGAGCTGGGAGCGGGAGCTGATTTTTGAGCCTCCATCAGGAGCTCGAGATTTTCTGAGTTGGAGATTCTGTCATTCGAGTTTCTGATCGTTACCCAGTAATCGAATATCCAGTGTCATGCTGTTTTTAGTCAAAATTAGCTATATTTGAAGCAGAAAAAATTTTTTGGAAAGTTAGAAAAATGTTGTCGTTGTGGGCCGTAAACACTCGAATTTTCTTATGATTTTCTAGATTCCTAGATTTTCATGCTCAAAATGTTTTAATATACTAAGCGCAGGAATATTTTAAAGGGCTGCCGACGGCATGTGTCGATCCCCCCATCAACAAATTGGCAAGTAGCCAACAGGGCAGGGAGCGCGCCCAGGGGAGAGGCGCAGAGACATTTTCTTTCCCGCGCGTAACCGATTGGCTATGCCGTCGGCATCCCTTTAAAACACTTGTGCTATTGAAATAAATAAATATAAATCTCGGCCTGGGCCGGAAAAAAAGTTCGCTCCCCCCGTCTCCGTGGGCCAGTATCCATCTGCCGGCCGACCCCTGGACGATCCAGGTTTTTAGACTAGAAGTGCCTTTTGCGAAGTTCCTCGAGCATCTGCCCCGACGATATCTGGCGGCTGGGATGGTGATGGTTACGATCGTAGATGATCCGGGATATGTAGACCCCGTGAGTATTCAGCATGTTTTCACGAGTGATACCAAGGGAATTTAAAAAGCATTTTGTGAGGGATCTGACCGACCCCCATCATCGTATGTCACAGTTTTTCGACCCTGGTTTTTCGTTTGAATTTGTTTTTTTTTGTTTGAAATTAAGTTCTCAAACTTTCAAAAGTATACGACCCTGCTAATTCGACCATGCTATTTCAGATGGCGTCAAAAAACCAGGGTCGAAAAACTGTGCCGAACCTTGTTCGGGTCTGCCGCAAATGGTCTTTTTTACCACTCTCGCTTTAACTAACCATGGGTATACATTATCACTACAGTGCATGCCAAAATGTTAGGGGGAATGGAGCTTTTCGCCATTTCTCGGCCGTTCCCCATTTCCAGGTAAAACCAAATCATAGGTCTTATAACCCAAAAAAAGAGGCGTATTTTGGTGTACCTGAAATCTCTTTACAATAAAAGCTCACGTGTTTAGAAGCGATTGTATAAAAATAGGCAAAAAACACAAGTGACAAAATGATAGGGGAATCATTACCATATCATTTCCATCCGCTTTCTGTATGAATAGTGGATGCTGATTGATTATGATTACTGATGAATAAGAGAGAAGATGCAAAGCGAGCATTTTCTGACCGAAAGCCAACCGGAAATGGTTGGACAAAATTTGCATCTGATTAGCATCCACTATCCATACTGAAAGCGGATGGAAATGATATGTTAATGATTCCCCTATCACTTTGCCACTTGTTTTTTCCATATGTTTATTCAGTCGCTTGTAAAACTGTTATCCTGCATCATAGAAAGATTTCAAGCAGACCAAAACATGCGCATTTTTGCGGACTACAAAGCCGTCATTCGGTTTTACAGCTACAAAGTTCCATTCGCTATACCGAATTTCGCTATGCCGATTTTCACGATACCGAATTTTCACCATGCCGAAAACATACCAATTTTGATGAGCGGTATGATCCCCATTTTTTTTTACTGTTTTTCCAAATTTCTTGGGCCTTCAAGGTTTCAGTTCTCTGATTCACAAGCGCATTTCAAGAGCCGCGAAACCATGGCGTAATCACAATGCAAGTTAATTGAATGTTTTCGAAATGATCTCCAAAAACTCGGACAGATCGTAGGTCCGTAGGCGCAGCAGATTTTTTGTTGCACGGCAAAGTCCCAACCGATCTTACAATTACAATACGATTAAATTACAACCACTTGTTAGTTATTAATATTAGTAGTAGAGTAGCAAAAATTGAGCATAGCGAAACTCGGCGTAGTGAAAATTCGGCATAATAAGGATTTACCAGTTGTACCAAGGCTTTGCCACGAGATTCTGCGCTCACTCTCTCATACTCTCTCTCTCTCTATCTCTCTCTCTCTCTCTCTCTCTCGCTCTTTCTAACTACATGCGAAATTGTCTTTATTTGCAGCTCCTGCCCCTATCGAACACCCCAAGCCAACGTGATGTTCAGCTCAGTGATGTAAGTTGGTCCGAGTCATTTCCGGTAGCGAGTTGTTTCCACCCAAACGCTAGTCTTTTTTGGCTGGCCACCCTGGGGAAACGTCATAACTTCGAAAGACGTAACTTTGAAAGTCATTACTGGAAAAATATGCTAATTTGGAGTTTTTGCTATCACGAAACCAGTGAAAAAGAGCGCATCGCCGCTCTTTTCCGCTGGACCCCGTCCATGAACCATCAATTTAAATATTTTCTTTTTTAAGCCTGTGGGTCAAGAAGCCATTCTTTGGCCTGCGGGGCTAGAGCCAGCGTTGCGTTAAAATCTTCTAGCCGCGGCGCTAGACACTGGGTTTGTTCTTTATTGGGCCTGCGGCGCGAGAGCCTGTGGCACGTAACCATACTTGGCTTGCGGCGCTAGAGCCAAGGTCCCCCCCCCCGCGTAGCCGACATATACCCAAATTTGACACCTGATATTTTATTTGATACCTTATATCGGCGGGGGACCAGTAAAATACCTTAAACGGGAGAACGGTTATTCAAATAACCGTTCTCCCGGATTATTTCAATATCCGTTGTTTGGATTTATTTCTTATTTATTCAAAGTGGATTTATATTTGCAAACGACACACCCTAAACGTGACCGATAGAGGCAAAATGGTGTCAATTAGCGGATGTGCTATACATGTTTTTCGAAGTAATGGCTGGCAACCGTGATCCTGTATTTTCAGATCGGCCCGTTTCTCCTTGCCCTGGCCAAATGTGACGCTCTGTATCTGCATCTGGAGAGTTTTTCCCAATTTCGAAATTGGCAGGCGAACTACCACCATCAAAATGCGGACAATGTTCTTCGCTTAGTAAGTGAGCGTGATCCTATAGAGGTTCCCGGCGCAAAAGGGGCATTCCAGGGTTATACAGGCATTCCATACAGGGTGCTCAAAAAAACGTCCCACCCCTCGGCATTTCGCCCTATTACATCCGATTGGTCACCAAAATTCGACCAGAGATGTACAGGGTGGTCCAAAAAAAATGTGAAGTTTGCACTGAAATATCTCGCGAACGGAAACGAATCGGACCATGGTTACCTGGCCAGAATGCTTAAAAGGCCGTCCGCCAGTCACTCGAACAGGCCCCATACTAGCTTGGCACAGTTTTTTTCGACCCATTTTTTATGACGTCATCTGAAAGAGCATGGTCGAATTAGTAGAGTGGGATGGTTTTGAAAGTTTTAAAAGTTTAATTTTGAGGTTAAAATGGGCCTCAAAGTTGCCGACACCCAAAAAATATATCGAAAACTACAGGGTGTCCCAAAAAAAAACCCCCACCCCTCTAGCGGTCCGGGGGAAGCTCAGATCAGGATGATTTTTATACCATTCGAAAGCCCGCGAAAAGGCGAGAAAACAAGCGGGCTTCATTTTCTAAGATTTATTCTTATTCGTCCGATATTCAACGTTTTTCTAAAAAACAGGCAGCTTTTCAATAGGAATTTCGCAATTAGCATGCAGATCTCGCGTAAATCTGCCGTTTTCATGGTTTTTGGAGGTAAAATTCGCCAATAAAAATACATAATAAAGAAAATGAACCCTCCTTGTTTTCTCGCCTTTTCGAGAGCTTTCGATAGATACCTAAACGGCGAGAATCGGACACGTCTGGGCGCCGCTAGAGGGGGGGTTTTTGGGACACCCTGTACTGAACAGAATTTGCCGAAACTTTGTGACAATCCCTAATTTGGGTCGGGGAACATTTTTCTAATACATCGCGAAACCAGAAAGTGGCCGGAACATAGGTATCTTGCGTACTAAAAACAGTTTTTTCGGAATTAGTAGTTTTACGGGTGATCGCTGCATCAAGCGATTAGTACCAAAAGATGCACCGAAATTTTCTCTTTCGATTGATGTATCTTTTAGAATGCAGCGAGCACCCGTAAAAACCGAAAAATCGTCCTGAATGGGTCGCCGAAAGACCAAATTTGGCAAATATTTCAGGGTGTGACATGGTTATGATTCTATAGCCGGAGTTAGGATAATTGCAAAAAAGAGCTAGTTAGTAGTTATATATCTATTGCTAATTGCAAAATATCAGAAAGATCGGATGGTAAAGTAATTTTATCTGGAATTATTTCCCTAAAAAATACGGGTTTTCCGAACGCTCCTATTGACGGCTAGTTAAACCGATCAAAGTTCTTTACCACGCGTTTGATAGCGCATTCCAAGAGCTTCATTTTGATACCCTTCATATCCACCTAACTCATCAAAAGTTGCATACTTTCTCGCTTCAAAGTTTTCTACTTTTTTAAAAATGTTCAAAACTTTTTAACGACCCACTGGTCGTCAAAAATCTTAAAAAACAAGTTGTGTTATTTCTTCATGCCCAGCATATTTAAGCATTCTGGCAAGGTAACCATGGTCCGATTCGTTTCCGTTCGCGAGATATTTCAGTGCAAACTTCACTTTTTTTTTGGACCACCCTGTAGCCAGGCCCGTAGCGGAGCCGAAATTTCGAGGGGAGGGGCCAAAATTTTGGCGACCTCCTCCCCCCCCCGTCGCCACTTTTAAAACATCCGTAAATCACGTAAATAACAGCGCAGCAGGCAAAAAAAAAATTAGCAAGAAAGCGTTCGCTACACTCAAATTCGTGTAAAAACAAGCCTAAAACGCGCGGCAGGCGAAATTTTTTGAAAAATAGACTTGAGATGAGTCAAAACTGTTTTAAAAATGGTAATAAAACAGCGCTGCAGGCAGAAAAATTTTTATGAAAAAAATCATAAGGAATTTTTATGAAAAGAACCTTATGACCTTTTCAGACCCCGACCGATTTTGGGGGGGCCTTCCTACGGGCCTGGATGTAGCAGACTCTAAACGACAGCAATACTGACTTACAGTCCAATTCCAACATGGATTCTCGAGTAATAGCAAAAACAAACTTTATTTTTACGTTTTCTTGGAGGGTTCCGGTTCGACCGTACAAATATTGAGTGAAATGACGCGGCCAGCCTTCTTTATCCCTAGAAATCTCTCTCACTCTCTCTCTCTCGCTCTATCGCTCTCTATCGCCCGTTCTCTCGCTCCCTCTCGCTCCCTCTCTCCCCTCTCTCTCTCTCTCTCTCTCTCTCTCTCTCTCTCTCTCTCTCTCTCTCTCTCTCTCTCCGTTTCTCTCGCCCTCTCTCACACCTGCACACACACTATAGATAGGGTACTGACAGACTAGGTGCGCCGGTTGTGATACACTATACTATTAGCTTCCACCAAAATTTTGGTTTTTCTCTCACCGACCGTTTTCCTTTGCTCCACGGCAGACTGAAAGGCTAAATTCTACTTTACGGTATGTTCCCAAAATGACAATTATTCGGCTGGAATCGATGCAGCTCGATGAGCTTGTGCATTTCCAGTTGAAAAACGATTGGGAAACGCTTCTGGACAACGTTATAGGCTTTAGAAAATATACACCAAAATTGATGAAAATCATCGCATTTTTGCTTGGTTTTCGACCGATAGACAGCCAATATGAGCCTAAAAATAAGGCTTCGTGCCACCGGGGGCCTAGTTGCTTCGGATGGGTGCGAGCTCATACAGGGTTTCGAAATCGGGGCGCCCGAGGCGCCCCGATTTCGGAAGAGTGGAGCGGCAGCCCATCCGAAGCGACGGCCCGCCTTGCCTGACAATGTTATAGGACCCAACTAACATTTATTTATCTTTTCCATACTCAAAATACTATTTTACAAGTTACACAGGTTTTTAGCCCAGCACGTAAGCACTGGTTGAGAGGGCACACCTTGGAATGCGCGGATAAGAGTGTTGCGTAGCCTACGGACCTTACCAAAAATAGCTTTAAAACGTAATAACTTTCGATTGATGGTATTCCCAATTGTTTTTTTCAACGGAAAAGGTTTTACCTCACCGAGCTTTATCGTTTTCAGTTGAAAAATGACATTTTATGAACATACCGTAAAGTATACTAGCCATTTTTCGAAAGCCTATAACTTTTCAATTTCAATTTCCTTTCAACTGGAAATGCACAAGCTCATCGAGCTGCATCGATTCCAGCCGTGAAACTGGCATTTTGGGAACATACCGTAAAGTAGAATTTTCCCGGCCTCGCCTTATCCAATGAAAGTTCTTAATTTGCATAATTCTCGCGAAATCCAATGCCAAAAAAATGAGAAATGCGCCTTCGCCGAAGGCCCATCGGTCTCTTTATATAGGCTTTCCTCACTTCCGGCGCATGCTAATGGATTCATAACAAAGAGAGGGACCGGAATTTTTACAAAAACGTAATTTTAATGAAAATTTAGAAGGACGAGAGGTTTCTCCGCTGTCAGCAATGTCGGATGGTGCGTTTCATTTATTTTATTTAATTGATTGGTAAAGGATGCTTAAAGGGGGGGGGGGGAATAACGGGGGTGGAAACCATTTTTCCCAGTAGGGATATTTCGTGCCAATTCAGGCATGCCATCGGAGAGAACGTCCTAAAATATACCTAGATAATTAATTTCGGTCCGAAATAATGTGTTTGAGATTTGTTATTAAGGCAAAAATGCTATTTTCGGTATTTTTGGCTGTTTTAACGGGAATTCATGAAGGCCATCGGATAGAGCATAAAAAAATATACTAAGAAATTTAATTGCAGCCCGAAATCATGTATTATAAATTAGTTATTTTAAAAACAAAACTATAATTTTCGGCGCGCTATCCAATGGCGTTTTCAAAATAGCAGGATATTCTTTATTATCCTATTTATTCTTTATTATTAAAATTGTTTCCACGCCCGTTATTGGTCCCTCCCCCCCCCCCGTTAAGCAACCTTTACCCATTTATTCATAACGTTGTAGCGCATCAATATAAAAAATTTCTCAGCTAAATTTTTCAGGGATTTGCAGGAAAACGGCCCAGAAAGGCGAAAAATGGGGGGGATTTACTTTTGTCCGTTACTGTAAGGTAGCATTGGCATGCAGCTTAACAGTAGTATCAGCACGCAAGTGTCGCTCTGACCCATTCACACGATGTTGCAGCGCTACGGTACGCGCGCACCGTGGAACTGTGCCGTTTGCGAGAAAGTGTGGGATGGGAACCTGGGCCGCGGGTGGAAGTGTGGAAGTGCGCGGATGGTGGCCTGCTTCGAACTCGGCCGATGGGATTTCGACGAGCTTGCACAGTACATGGATGTAAGTGTTCCATTATTGGCCTGCTTCGTTTTGTGGCATTCGCGAGGTTGGTCGTCGCTCTGGATCTGCCTCCTATTGCCATTCCTCTCCCCCTCCCCGGCGCATACGAGGCCTCTGGGCACGTTTTAGCAAGCAATACAAAAATACCATAGATTGTGGCGGAATCTGGTGTAGGATCCCAGCTCAATATTTGGATAAGTCTTGGAAAAACAGCAGCCATGGGCAGTGAGTTAGGAGCGAGATGAGACTCAAAGAGCAAAAAGAACTCAAAACCGCGAAAATTGTTTTACTTTTAAAAAATGAAATAGACCTCGAAAAATTCTAAGAATTTGCCATCACATTTCAATAAATTTGAGCCGATTATGATAACAAAATCAGAATTTTTCCGCAACCCGTGACGAACGCACAATTTTCGGCCGTAACCAGCGTCAATAGTACAGTTGTGTATTCAAAAATCGAAAAAATCAAGTTGCTTTATTTCTTCATGCCCAGCACTTTTAAGCATTCTGGCATGGTAACGAAGGTTCGATTCGTCTCCGTTCGACAGATATTGCAGTGCAAATTTCAGTCATTTTTTTGGACGCACCCTGTAGCAGTTTGGCCAAAAAAAATTTAGTTTACAATACGCCCAAAACGTGAGCATCAACCCGGAATTATTCATTTGATGTCGATGGAGAATCGGGACGACTTCTATACATTTTTGGTAATGAGTGGGGCGACGGGGCTCAATCATAATCGTGTTTCCTAGAATTCGTACGAAAAACGGCTTCGAACGGTTCATAATGGCCGGCTGGAATTTCTGGACGCAACACGGGAAGAGGCCAAAATACTCCAAGTATGGATAAAGGACTGCATGGCTGTGCACTACGGACCACTATCGGTGACCTAACAAAAAGAATTCCTTTCAAACACCTCCTCCTTTTGCAGGGATATCCGGAAGATAGCTGCATTTATTACTGCCAAATCAGCGTCTATGGAAATTGTATGTTCAGATGATTTGTCAAAGAAAAAGATCATTTCAGATTTCCTCGTCGCATTTCTATGGGAAGGTTTAATAACTGTATGCATTTATGACAAATGATGGCAAAATGAAAGAATGCCAAGTTAATGCGTGAAGAAATAAATGGTTTTCACGAAAAGCCGCAAGGCGATTTGAGTGGTAGCTCGAGGAAAGGCCGCTGAAAGGAAGACAATTTTCATAGCCATATTTTTATTCAAACGGGTAGTATGTTACCTGGGATCATAGCGAATCCGGCGGTGAGACTCGGTGAGATCGGCGAAGTACTGGGAGGCCTGAAAACCAATCATTTTAATATAAAGATTCGAGATTTGCGAAAATCAATGTTGTGCACTTTGTGGGCTTTTTTGCGGCGTATCCGATTATGAAAAGCGTTTTTTTGTAAATATCGTAATTTCCGAGCAATCGGGGTTACGGTAATTTCGAAAATACAAAAATCGCGTTTTTCGTGGTTTTTCGAATGTAGAATTGTAGCCCCGGTCGAGACGAGCATTTCTGTACCAACATCGGCATAGGTGGCGGGAAACCCGGGGGCGGTAGAGGCGTCGGAGTGGCGGCGTCGCCAAGGGGTACGTGCGTATCTCGGTGCGTAGCGTAGTTGGAGGGAAACCGAGCGGATATTCGGATTCAGCGTGAAAAAGTGATCTAGGCGGAAGTTAGTGCGTAATTTTGGGGTTACTGGGAATGGAGCAAATTGGCTGCGAATGTGGGGCTACCGTAACCCGGGAGTACCGAGTGAAGCGGCGGAAAAATTGCGAGTTTTTGGGGTTTTTTCGAGTGGAATGGGTGGGGTGGGTGGCAGTTGGGGATTTGGAGAAGAAATCAACGACTTTTGATGGATTTTGGATGGAAGGGGGCAACAGGAAAGAATTGCGGCGGAGGGAGGTCGTGCTCGGGCAATGGGGAGCAGGAGTGTGAAACAGAGGGTTGGCCCGTATTGACTGGCAGTCAATTGGTCGGGAACCGTTGAGAGCGTATTTTTAGCGTGTAAAACGGCGGAGATACGATTTTTTGGCCTAAAATTGGGTGCGGTTTTGCTAAAAAGCGCTGTAACTCGAAGGATCGGGCAGTTGGAGGGAAACCGAGTGGATATTCGGAATCAGCGTCGAAAACTGGTCTAGAAAAGTGTTGGTTGGAAGCGTAAAAGTGAGTTTTAAGGAAAACTACCGTATGCGCTGCATTCTCAAACCTTGTCTACTCGGAGATAGCTTGCATATTTAGAGACTACAAACTACAGACGCTGGCAGGCGATTATGGACGGGTTTACCTTGATTTATTTAAATTAAAATGATGAATGGAAAAAAAGTAAAAACGTGGAGGGGTAGAGGGGATGTTGCTGAACAGGTGTACTTGTTGAAGTTGTGGGGGAATGGGGTTTTGGGGGTTAAATCGTGGGTTAAAGTTGGGATAATTGGCGAATCGGGGGGTTGTGTAGACTGTTTTGAGGGGCGTTTCTCTGGCGGATAAAGAGCAATTTGAATAAACTAAAAACGCTACCCTATAGTATGGGGTGCGAGGAAGAGCTACACGTTTTCAGAATTTGTTAGAAATGTCGATTTTGATGTTTAAAAGTGGTCTACATTTAGAATATGGTAAATGTGGGGATTTTGGGTGTTTTGTAAAATGTGGAATTGGAGGCTGGTAAGCTGTATTTATATGTAATTTTGGGTGGGGAATCCGATGGTGTGGTCAGAATCGGATGAAAATGCGTGATTTTGTCGATTTGTCGGTATTTATGCCGAATTCGGGGGTTGTTGTAACAGTGGCTATTAAAGTGTGGAGACGCGGTTTTTGCGATTTTGCGTAGCTGTAGCGTATTGCCCGTGTCGAATTACGTATTCTGGCAAGATTTCAGCTAAAAATACCGTAATTTGGAATTTTGCGGAATTTTTGAAAAATGGCTCTAAAGTGTGTATAGCGAGAAAAAGGCCCATTTTTCGAAAATTGCAAAAAATGTCATTTTTGCGAAAAATGTTGATTTTTCGATATTTTATCGGATAATTGCCAAAAATGGCAATTCCGAAGCTACCGTAACCCAACTAAGGCAAAAACCGTCATTTGGAGCCTACCGTAACCCCGGAAAATGCCGATTTTTCGGGAAAATTGAGATTTTAAAGGAAAATCGCCAACAATGGCAATTCCGAAGCTACCGTAACCCAACTAAGCCAAAAACCGTCATTTGGAAACTACCGTAACCCCGGAAAATGCCGATTTTTGCGAAAAATGCTGAATTTGTCAAAAATCCCGATTTTTCGATATATTTAGGGAAAATCGCCAAAAATGGCAATTTCGACCCTACCGTAACCCAACTAAGGCAAAAACCGTCATTTGGAGCCTACCGTAACCCCGCTAAATGCCGATTTTTGCGCAAAATGTCGATTTTTCGGAAAAATTCCGATTTTTCGAGATTTTTAGGGAAAATCGCCAAAAAGCGTGATTTCGAGCCTACCGTAACCCAAATAAGGAAAAAACCGTCATTTGGAAATTACCGTACACCCGGAAAATGCCGATTTTTCGGGAAAATTGAGATTTTAAAGGAAAATCGCCAAAAATGGCAATTCCGAAGCTACCGTAACCCAACTAACGCAAAAACCGTCATTTGGAACCTACCGTAACCCCGGAAAATGCGGTTTTTTGGAAAAATGCTGAATTTTGTCAAAAATCCCGATTTTTCGATATTTTTAGGGAAAATCGCCAAAAACGGCGATTCCGAAGCTACCGTAACCCAACTAACGCAAAAACCGTCATTTGGAACCTACCGTAACCCCGGAAAATGCCGATTTTTCGGGGAAAACTCAGATTTTTAGGGAAAATTCAGATTTTTCGGGAAAATTCAGATTTTAATGGAAAATCGCCAAAATGGCGGTTTCGAACCTAGCGTAACCCAACTAAGGCAAAAACCGTCATTTGGAGCCTACCGTAACCCCGCTAATTGCCGATTTTTGCGCAAAATGTCGATTTTTCGGAAAAATTCCGATTTTTCGAGATTTTTAGGGAAAATCGCCAAAAAGCGTGATTTCGAGCCTACCGTAACCCAAATAAGGAAAAAACCGTCATTTGGAGCCTACCGTAACCCCGGAAAATGCCGAGTTTTGCGAAAAATGCCGACTTTTTAGGGCCCGCTCGTATTTTTAGGGCCGGCCCCCGACGACGAAAAAGCTCGAAAATGCCGAGATTTTGCCCGGGCCCGGCTATTTCTCTATTCGGAGCCGCCAAACACCCGAAAAATAGTTAGATAAATAGCTTGCTCAAGATCAGATTTTCAAAACAGTCGAAAGCGTGGAAAGACGCTGCGTTCACGGGCTTCCTCCGCACGTACCAGCTTGGGTCCTCGGCCCAAAATTTTCGTGAAAAAAATTTTTCCATCAAAAAATCTATTGCGATCTGGGGTAGGGTCATACCAGCCCAACCCCGGCCCACAGAAGAATTTTTCGCGGGTCTAAACCTCGGATTCAGCCGTTAGGATCCCATTTTATTTGTCCTTTTTTACAACTTAAATTAAAAGTGTGGCAAGAAAAGGTGCCGGATTGCCGCTAATAATCAGTTTTGAACAAATTTCGAGATGGTGAGCGAGCCCCTCAAAAAGCTCAAGCCGAATTAATACTAGCTTGCAAATTAATTAGCCGATTTTCGGATATTTTTAAATAGCTAAAAGAATGTATAGAAAATCATTCTAGTGAAACATTGATAGGCATGCAGTTCGACAGCTCGAATGTGGCTAAATAGGAAGAAAAATCTTCTAAAAACTTCAAAAACTGGTTGCACCAAGGCTTTCCGGTTTTAGACTGGATTTTGGTTCAAAACGGCGTGTATTGGAGCGCCGCGTAGCCCCATTTTCGGTCCAAACTCTGCATTTATCGTTGCGGCCCAACCCATTGCTTGTGTTGCCGTGAGAGTAGAATTCACGTTGAGGGTACTGGAAAACGTTAAAGCAGAGCACTTCTAGGCGGAAATACGACACAACGACGATCGGCGGCAACGGCGTGTTGAAGACTTCTCAGGGCATATCTGCAGAGAAATGAATACAACTGAAATTCGACAGCAAACGCGAAGGCAGTCCGTGGTACTCCATAATTCCTTTATTCAAAGTCAACGAAATTGCGATCAAAAGTCAACAAAAATATTAACAACCCACAAAGAAATCGCGTATATCAAAAACAGCCGTAATATCATATTTTTGGAGAATCACAAGAGAAGAAAAAGCAGTGAAATACAAGGAGAAAAGCCTAAATGATCACCCGATGTACATCAGAAGGAGTGGAATAGATGGCGAGAACGAGGGATGGAGTCGAGTGACGCGACGACGCGGACAACGTCTTCAGAGTGCTGTAGATTGCCTCCAATTCCTGTAAAAAACGGACAGGTTTTAAGGATTTGCTATCAGTTTGTCGAAATATCAATTGTCGGAAATTTAGATGAGCTAAATTTCAATTTCGAAACCTTTGAGATATGAGGCGAAAAAGGCATTGAAATTTCGATAAACGAACATTGTACCTCTTTCCACCGGCCAAACTGCTTGGCCATGCGGTCGAAGACGAGGCGAAGCTGTTCCGGGTCGAGGGGTAGCGCTAGAAAGCGACAGTTTTTAACGGAACCCGAAAGCTTACAAATTTTTGAGGAGAGCGATTGGAGGACTTCGGCGATGATATCAGTCACAACGACCGTCAATTGGACACGAGCGGACAACTTTTGCATCAGATCACTCATGAGGGCATCGCATCGACCCTGAATTGGAGAACTGTAGTTGAGAAATAGAGAGAGAGAGAGAGAGAGAGAGAGAGAGAGAGAGAGAAAGAGAGAGAGATAGAGTGAAATACAGCGAATGAGAGAGTGAGAGAGAGAGATGGAGAGATACTCGTTCCCGAAACAATTCTAAGTTCTTTCGCAATATCGGGGGGGGCAACTGTTTTCTTCTGTCCAGCAATGTATTCCTCCTAGTAAGTATTTTAATAGCTTTTTAGTAAAATTTAACTATATTCCAAGTGGAAAGGCAATCAAAAAAACCTATAAATAAATTTTTTGTGAAATTTTCGCCGAAAATTGCCCATTTTTATCGAGAAATCTCTTTCTTTTTTTCAAGCAAACATTTCTAAATCTCCCCCGATACTGCCAAAGAACCGAATTCCGACGCCTCGTACCTCGATGCGTTTCTTGGCCGTATATCCGGGTCTTTCGACGAGTGCCCATAGGAATGAGATGGACTGACAGCTGCTGTGTTGCTGTTGCTGTTGTTGTTGCTGTTGTGAAGAGAATGGGGCGGCCGTCGAGTGGGTGGGCGTCAATGGGTGTGTCGTCGACGAGGCGCTTCTGAACGGAAATTGCATAAAAAATAACCAGATAAAAAATTATCAATTTAAATTAGTGTTTTACAGGTTTGCCAAATCTTGCATGTTTTCGCCATAACTATTTTATTTTACATTTTTTTTCGTAAAATTACATATCGAAAATGTCCAAAACCAGCTTTTTGCCCTGATTTTCAAAGCATATTTTTGTTTTTAACGACTCCTCAAAAGATTTCAATGCTGGTTCGTTAGCGGGGGGCGGGGAAGAACATTTTCCTACAATCCCGTTCAAGTTTTCACCGTTTTCACGCTCTTTTTAAAAGAAAAAACGTAGGAAAAAACCCGGAAAAGTGCATTTTGCGCACAAATAGATGAAATTAAACCATAAAAAAAATTCAAAAATTTTGGAGGTAAAAAACGGTTATGATAATTTTAGTGATCGAAAGAAAGAAAGAAAGAAACCCCTAGAAAAATCGGCTTTTGCCGTTAATACCGCGGTTAGGCTAACAAGGAGACTTTTTTAGTGACATTCCCGTTTTCAGAAGTACCAAGCTATCTTGTGCAAAACTTTTCGTTTTCTCCTTGTAAGGAAAATTTTTCGACTAAACCCCCCCCCCCGCTAACGAACCAGAGCAGCGAATTCCCCTTCCAAACGGCAAGACTCACTTGGCCAATGGGGCACGGCGATCCGAGTGTGGTGTATCGTGGGGCGGGGCTTCGGTGGTGGGCGTGGCCAACTGCCGGAGTACGGTCTCGACGGCGCGCCTCGTCTCCAGTTTTCCAAAATCTTGGCGGGGCGTTCGGGTGAGCACCTAGACAAACTGAAGAGTATTTAGGGAGGAAAAGCACTGACCAGATTCGAGTCGAACATGATCAGATGGAACGGGATTTCACGGCGGTCGCAGAATTCCTGAAAAACTGGAAATTACAGCGTGTCCCAAAAAAAGACCGAAATCTCCGATTTCAATGATTTTGGTATGAATCGAAAGCTCTCAAAAAGGCGCGCGGATCTGTTCTCTGACCAGTTCTTGAATTTCGCGATTTCGCCAGCGTTATTAAAGACCGTCAGAACGATGAAATATCGTTTAGAGCAAGAAATTTGCGCACCGGGCGGGGGTCGAACCCGCGATGGTTCGCTCCACAGTCCGACGCGCTAGCCACTATACCACAGGGCCAAGTGGGGAAGGGATTCAGAGGCGCCCCAAACCCCAGAGGGTTTTTGCCCCATACGGGACACAACTAATGACGACCCTCTCTGCGCGTTTTTGGGGGCAGCGCCCTCGGGGTGACAGTGCGCGTTCCATCGTTCTGGTAGTCTTTAAGTTTGCGATTTTCACAGCTGAATGCGGGCAATGCGTTGTAAAGTGGCGCCTTCAAATAAAAACCATGGCTATGAAGCTGGTTGGAAACTGGCCGTTCACGGGCTTTCGAACGGTGAAAATTACATTCCGATTCGATACTTGGCGCCGAGCTACAGGGGGCGGTTTTTTATTGGGACGCCCTGTACAGCCCGAACGCCGTTGCTTGGAAAGCATTTTCGAATAGATTACTTAAAGGGCTAGTTCAGCCAATAAAGTAAAAGAATTTCCGCTGCCAGGAGTCGAACCCTCTCTGCGTTTTTGTGTCTGCGCCTCTCTCATTTCCGCGCTATCTAATAACTGTCGTAATGGGGGACTGTCCATGCGCGCTATTACTGCGTCCATAGTTTCCCAAGGTACCAGCCCAAGCTCTAAAAGTTGAACTAGCCCTCTAAATTTAAATATGAGGGATGAGTTATCCACGTTTTTCTTTATTGAAAACCGCCAAAAATGGAGCAAAAGCTGCACAATTTAAGACGCCTGGGAGAACATATCTGCTCGCCGATAAATGCGCAATCGTAGAAATCCGACACTTCTTCGGCCAGCAATTTTTGAACGTATTTTTCAAGTTGTTCGACAAAAACGTGCCTTTAATGCATCGAGTGAGTGGTTGTCGAGCGGTTCATTCATCGTATCCACCGCCAGCCCGACATCGCGTAATTGCCGGGCCAACGCCAGCTTCTCGATGGTCATCGCCCGGGTGAACGAGCCGAGAAGCACTTGGCATGGGGCTGGGGCGGCGGTATCTAGGGCTGTTATTAGGCATACATCGGAACAAATACAAACTTTGTTGTTGACCACCGAGTCCAAGGAGGAGGTCAAGGTTTAGGGAACAGCCGCACAGCGCCAGCTCGCCCGGCGGTTTCTCATCTTCGGGGCCACGTATCCGCGTCAGCATCCCGTCGTATCGGCCTGAAAAACGGGGCAGTATTTTGGATATGAAGAAGCCGTGCTTTCACCAATTTCACAAAATTTTATACAACTTTTGGCTATAAAAAACTTTTGAAAAATTATTAAAATTTTTGAAAATGTCGAAAAATGTGAAAAAAATGAGAAAAAATGTAGAAAATGACCAAAAAAATTCTAGGAGTCAAAAAACATTATAAAATACGATATTTATTATCAACAGGCGGAAAAATAAAAACAGCCGCCCCCCCCCGTTAAAGGAAAAGCGCCGAAGAAGGCGTACCTCCGGCCACCACGGGATACACCCCAAGACGTCCCTTGCGCAGTAGATGAGCACCGAACTGGAAGACGAGACCGTCGGCAAATGTGCGGGGGCGGTAGACGAGCAACGGGCACAACTCGATGTCAATGTTTTGGTCTGAAATTGATTTTTCGGTACTGGGCCGTTAGCGGGGGTGGTTTTTAGCAGGAAACTAATTTATATCGGTTCGCCCATTCTGCGATCTGTATGCTAAAGTGTTTTTAGTAGTTTTATTGCTAGAATCATAAAAAATTTTAAAAAACTTGAAATTTTGACCGTTTTAGTAATTTTCATATGTTTTTGACCAAAAATTCAAAAATTTTCGAAATTTCCAATGTTTTTGTGCTTTTTATATCTGAAAAACTGTGTAAAATGCTATAAAAACGGTTTTTTGGGCATTTTTGGGCGGTACGGGAGTACCCGGAAAAATTTATCCCCCCCCCCGCCAACAGTCAAGTACCAAAAATACAGCGCGTCAAAACGGGTGTGGCGGGCGGGAGCGATACCTCTAAACAATTCGACGATCCGCTCGAGATGGGCGATGGCCGTCTTGCACGCGTCACGGAGGGGTTCATCTCGACTTTTGAGCAACATCTTCCCCTCTTCCCTAAAAATAAACAAAAATTAAAGCCAGAATTAAGGGGATACCGTATGGCGCTGGCGGATGGGGATGAGAGCCAGAAAGAGGCGAGAGAAGTGGCCAATCGAGTGCCCACCACTTCTGACAGGATATCGACCCGTTCCGTCGCCCCGGGCTGTCCTAAACGGGCAAAATTGTGGAGCTTTTCTGTTAGCGGGTGGTGCCTGAAAACCAATTTTTTTTCCTCAATTTTCCCGAATGGACCCATAATGAAATATGCGCTTTTTAGAAACTAAAAAATATCAAAATTCGGTTCTTTCGCACTATCGGGGGACTAAAACCTTTTCCTAACGATCCAATTTTTCTAATACAAATAGAGTAAAAGTTTCTAAACTTTTTTTTATAATATATAAAAGTCAAACCGGTACAAATTTGCATTAAAAACTACAGAAAATATAGATTTTTCGTCGAAAATAACGAGTTTTGACCAAAAACCCGGCTAGAATTTTTTCGACGTATTTTCGAGTGCTTTTATACTTGCAAAACAGCAGAATTTTGTTAAAACACCATTAACACATATTAGGTTGTTCCGAAAGTTCTTGCGGTTTTTTGTTTCGGACGGTTTTTCGAGCTAGGCTTCGATGCCAGAGCTGATTCCGGGATATCATTTTGAAGGATTTTGGATGCTCTTTCTGTCAAATAGACTAATCTTTTTTAGCAACAATTTGCTAATTTTTTACAAGGGTTCGAAGCTAGGGTCAAAATCGGCCGATTTTCTTTTTTTGCTTGTAGCTCACAGGGGAAGTGGCGGGCAGTTCTTGTAATATTTGTGAATGATAGAACTCATAGAGTACTACAAAAATCATGCCAAGAAATTTCTTAAAAAAATATCCAAATTGAGGTGTAAAGTCGCAAAATTTGTTTGGTTAATGAACGGCTTGGATTACCAATTCCCAGTTTTAAGCCAAATAAACCCGCCAATTGCTCCTATCATCTTTCTAGCGCCTGGATATGGATTTTGTAATTATTTTAAACTGTTACCTAACAAACTGAACACACAAAGAAATAATTAACTACGTTTCTTCAAAATTGTGGTACCAATGCTCAACAAATTTTGCGACTTTACACCTCAATTTGGATATTTTTTTTAATAAATTTCTTGGCATGGTTTTTGTAGTACTCGATGAGTTCTATCATTCGCAAATATTAAAAGAACTGTCCGCCACTTCCCCTGTGAGCTTCAAGCAAAACAAGAAAATCGGTCGATTTTGACCCCTATCTTCGAACCCTTGTAAAAAATTAACAAATTGTTTCTAAAAAAGATTAGTCTATTTAGCAGATAGAGCATCCAAAATCCTTCAAAATGATATCCCGGAATCAGCTCTGGCATCGAAGCCTAGCTCGAAAAACCGTCCGAAACAAAAAACCGCAAGAACTTTCGGAACAACCTAATACATGGCGCTATAAAGAATCGAGAAAATACCTCCTTTTCGACAAAAAAATTCGGCTAAAAATTTTGTTTTACAATTGTTGTTTTATAATTTTTTTCTTGTTTTTTTTATTTTTTACACTAAAAAACAGTTTTATTTTACTAAAGATCATTAAAATACCTACTAGGCAGTTCTAAACTTATAAGGAAAATCACCCCGCCCCCGACCGATATCGCGATAGACACAAATTTTTAAAATATGGCATTATGGAATTATGAAGTGTCGGGATTCCCAGGAGATGAACATCATGCTCGAGACGTACTCGCTGAGGCGGATTGTTCGTGGAGTACATTGAGGACACGATCGCGTAGCTCGGTGCTGAGTCCGTGATGGCGGAAGATGGCGTCCACGAGGCCCATGTGGCCCAATCTGAAAGAAGGGGGAAAATTGTAGTCTGAAAGCCACGGGATACCGTAATACGAAGCGTGTCTCATCAGGAAAAGTGTCGTGCAGAATGTCCGAGAGCGCCGTCAACAACTGAAATTGCGAATTAATTTTTCGCGGCAGAAAAACGGTACTTTCGCATTATCGGGGTGGGGGAGGGGGGGAATTTTTGGAACGCAGGATTTTTTAAACCATTTTTTAAGATTTCGAAACGTAAAAACGTTAGAAAGCTTGATTAAGAAAATACAAAAATATCCCTTTTCGACCAAAATTTCACTTTATTAAAAGTATTTCTAAGACATTTTATTGTTTTTTTCCACGTGAAACATAGTTAGTTTTTCTCACTGTTGTTTTACTATTTCTAAACGTAGAAACGTTACAAATTTGATCGAAAAATTACAAAAGAGCTATTTTGCGTCCAAACGTTCACTTAAAAATGATTTATTGGTTTTTTATTGTTTTTTTTTCATTTGAAATCTAGCTACATTTTCCTAAAACACCATTAAAATACTTACTAATGCATTACTAGGCATTTCTGGACTTGAGGGAAAAATGGTCCCCCCCCCGATAATGCGAAAGATCCATCGAAACCAAATTTCAAAGACGGCCGTTTGCCAGGTCGATTTCCCCCACACGAAACGTCGACAAATACCTGGATCTCGAGCGCCTCGTCGGTGGTCGACTTGCCGAGGACGTCGAGGCTCAGCTCCCAGTGCTCGTCGGGGTGTACACCGCCCGTACCACCTGGGAAAAAGAGCCGAATCCAGTATCCAAAAAACTGCGGTTTTGGACTGTTAGCGGCGGGGGGGGCGACGAAATTGTTCCTTGTAATTTTCTACGGCCCTATAACAACATATAAACCATTTTTATAGTATTTTATATAGTTTTTAGATATAAAAACTATCAAAAATTTTCGAAATTTGATTTTTTGGTCTCTTTTTGGTCATTTTAAAAATGACGAAAAAAGCACAATTTTCGAATTTTCAAAAGTTTAAAAATACTGTTATAACTTTCTACGACTCAAAACCTATTAAAAACACTATAAAAATACGTAATACATCATCAACAGGTGGATCGGTGAAACAAAAAGTGGTTTCCCTCCCCCCGCTAACAGTTCAGAACCCAAAAAACTGCTACGAACCTTCACGTGCCGCAAAGACCTTGCCAAACGCGTAGCGCTTCAGCCGTTTGATGGCGTTGCGCGCGCAGAAGCGCACAAAGTTACACCGCAGATCGGGCTGCAAAAGGGGAAAAATTGTGTCAAACTTACTAACAAAACCAAAACAAACGCTTACCGGTAATGCAACCGGAATGGCCGTCGAATCGATGAGTACGTGGGGCATCTTTGTCGGCTCGCAGACAGCACGCGCTTCCCCTGCCGGCGTCAGTAGGTGTTGAGGCGTCGGGAAGAACGAGTGGCCTGAATAAGGAGCATTGTAGCAAAATGCATGAATCAAGCGAGCTTACTTAAGTTAGGGTGTTTTGGCAGTATCAGGGGGAATGGGGAAACCTTTTTTTTCTCAAATTCGAAAACCGCCTACTAATAAAATAGCAACTCCTTTATTAGTAATTTTGCATTACATTTCGGCATCGCACAAGTTTGTTTTTGACAAATTCTTTTGACAACAAAAATGTTTAGAACCCAAATTTTCGTGGCAAATTGATATTTTTCCGTCTTTGTATGCCTTCCTAAAAATTCGCGTACTGGACCGTTTTTAGATATAAAAGCTCATAAAAATGCCTGTCCAATATTCCAACTTAAAAAAATGTTTTTATAGCCTTCTTGCCATCAAAAACTACTAAAAACAACTAAAAACAACATAGGTACATAGGTATATGCGGAAAAGCAAAAATTATTCCCCCCCCCCCCCACGCGCTGAACTCCAGGACCAAAATCGCATCGTCTTTGAAAGAACTCCCCAAAAAAATTGGATTCTAACGGAAAAAATCCGGTTTCAGCCCTCGATACTGCAAAAAAACGACAACTGACGTTTTAATATGCGTCGAAGGGCTTGGCAGAGTCTTTCCCTGGCCGTCTCCCTCGCCACCGCTTCATCGACATCCCTCCATCGGCATACTCCAGCATCGAATCGTCTCGTCAACGGGGCAGGCGGGTACGTTTCACCCAATTCACGCATCATCCACGAGAACAGATTGCCCGTACGACGGCGCAGGGCCTGGGTGAAGCATTTCTGCAAAAAAACGGGTTTATTGGGTTTAAAGGGGCTCCGAAATCGGGTCCACGGCCCCTTGCGATAGCGCAGATACGCGATACAGTCGCAGCGGCAAATAGCCAGCTGCGATTGCAATGCGACCGCGCCGCATGATCTTTCCCCCTCCCTGTTTGGACGTGAAAACGCTTGAATTTACAAATTCTGAAGCCATTTCACATTTTTTCACATTTTTTCGAAACGAAATAATTTTTCTGGTGCCTCTCCGCAGTAACCGGTTCGTTTTTGACTAGTGGGTCCAATCCCTGCACGCACGAATTTTGATTTCCGAGCCTTTAATGAATACCTGAAAAGCGAGATCATCTACTTCGGTGGCCGGCACTTTGCCCTGAGAGATGATGGATTGAATCGAGGGGCGGGCCGACGGGTCGATGGAGATCATCTCCTCAACCAGACGACGGCACACTCCGCCCTGAAATGGGAGTTATCAAAAAAGGGAGTTGCACACCTGGGCGGGCATCGTCTCCATGAAGTCGGCCGGGCACACGGAATGGGTTCGGAGGCCGCGGAGACAGGAGATACGCTCCATGCCCGGCGGTAGGGGACGGTAGAACAGCTCGAATAGGACGATGCCCGTGCTGGAAAAGGGGGGAAATAAATAAGGTTTCCTCCATTTCGCCGAAAATAATCTTTTCGAAATTTCAAATTGTTCGAAATATAATTTTTTGCAATATATTTAATCGAAATTTCAATTTTTCGAATTTCGATTTGTCGAAAGTCATTTTCTCGAAAGATAGTGTTGACGAAAATAATTTTTCCGAAGCATCAATTTGGCGAAATTCATCTTGCCGAAAATCATTTTTTTAAAACGTCGATTTTTCGAATTTAATTGGGCGAAATTGCATTTTCATTCGAATTTCGACGAATTTACAGTCTATCAATTAATCTACGCAAAACCAAGAAATGAACCTGTAGACGTCGACTTTTGCCGAATATGGCTGTCCCTCAGTGGCCGTCAACAATTCTGGGGCCATGTAGAGTTCGGTGCCAATTTGTGTCGTCATCCCCTCCGAACCGCCATGGCTTGACGAGCCTGAAAAAAAATGAAATTTAAACATTGATTACCAAAATAATGCGCGGGCTACGCGACACTCCAAACGACAAGTCTAATCCGATTCCGAAATTTGGCCGACCGCCACGCCGCTAAGGAGGCGATCATATCTTCGAAAATCTCGAAAAAGCTTCATTGTTAATTTCTCCCCATGGAAGCCTTTTTTCGAAAGGGTGACACGAAGCAAAGCTGGTTCTAATTTGTTAGCGGGTGGGGGTCCGCAAATTTTTCACAATGCTGCTTTCCGGCAAAAACGACGAAAGCCAATCTGCAAAAATATGATGAATAATAATGCTCATAAATATAAAACAATATAAAAATGAAATTTGTATTTTAAAAAACGGAAAAAAGTCATTGAATCCTAAAATTCTCACCCTGCTCATGGCCGACGGCCGTATCCTTGCGCACAAACAGCTCTCTGGTCGCCAACCCGAAGTCGCCAATCTTGATATGATCATTGCCGTCGATCAGGATGTTCATCTATCAGGTTGGAAGGTAAGTCCTGTCGCCGAGATTTTGAAAGGCTGTGTAAAATCGTAGTTACCTCCATACTGCACATGCGATATGTCATTTTGTAGCCGTCTGCCTGAACCGTTTCGGGAGGAGGGTCCTAGCCCGCCAAAATCCAGGAGGACCGAGATACGGGCCCAAGAAGTTTTTGGAAAAATTGGGCGAAAGTGTTTTTGCAAGTTATCTCTGCATAGAGCAATTTGCATGCGATACCTTTAACGCCAATCGATAGCCCCCGAGGAGTAGATATCGATAGATGTTGAGATCATCAAAATTGGACACTGGACGGCCGAGATATGGGCCTTTGAAATTTGGACGATTTCTTAGAACTTTTCTCAAAATCCCATACATTTGGTCAAAGGCCGCTCGGCGCGTCCAAAAATAAAGCGGCAATTTTCGGCACCTGCCGCTCAAATCCAGCGAAATGTATGGGATTGCGAGAAAAGTTCTAAGAAATGGTCCAAATTTCAAAGGCCCATATCTCGGCCATCCGATGTCCAATTTTGATGATCTGAAAATCTATCGATATCTACTCCTCGAGGGCTATCGATTGGCGTTAAAGGTATCGCATGCAAATTGCTCTATGCAGAGATAACTCGCAAAAACACTTTCGCCCAATTTTTCCAAAAAATTTCTTGGGTCCGTATCTCGGTCCTCCTCGATTTTGGCGGGCTAGGACCCTCCTTCCGAAATGGTTCAGGCAGACGGCTACAAAATGACATATCGCATGTGCAGAATGGAGGTAACTACGATTTTACCCAGCCTTTCAAAATCTCGGCGACAGGACTTACCTTCCAACCTGATACAAGCAGACGGACAACACATCAATCCAGAAAAAGTTTTCCCTACCGGTTTGATATCCCGATGGATCATCCCCTGCGAGTGGATGTAGTCGAGTCCGGAGAGAATTTGGCCAAAGATGCGCCACCCTTGGCGCACATTCCCCAGCACGGCTCCCGAATCGATCAGGCCCCTGAAAAATTTATTCAAATTTTAATTTTTGGTACTTGAGCAATATCGGGGGTGGCAACTCTTTCTTAGCATCCTATTTTTTTCTAATACAACAGAGCAAGATTTTCTAAACGGATTTTTTTTACTACTCCTAAACGTGAAAACTACAAATTTTGGCTAAAAAATCGATTTTCCGACAAAAAATGGCCGTACTTGACCAAAATTGCGACTTTGTGAAAAGTTCTTGAGTTTTTAGCTAGTTTTTTTAGCTGAAATATCGTTTTACCAGGGTTGAAAAGCCGCTTCGCGACTGTTCAACCCTGGCCCCGTTTTAGACCAATGAAAGTTTACACTTTGCATAATTCGTCCCGACCCACGCTGAAAAAAAAGTGAAAAATGCGCTCTCTGCTCCTTTATATAGGCTACTCCCACTTCCGGGGTATGCTAATTGATTCCTAACAAAGAGGGACTCGGAATTTTCAACAAAAACTAAAATTTAATGTCGAAAATAGGCGACTTTGATAAATCTGATATGCGTGCAGTAATCCCCAGACCATTACGCTCCTAATGACGTATCAAACATGCCCCTAACTACTCTTCTTCTTGAGATACGATTGGAACAACCTGACGGAAGTTGCATGCAAAGTGGCACACACACATACACACCCAGACACTATTTTTTTATATATAGTAGGATACCCTATGAAAATACTTAATATAATAAAAAAATATAAATACAATAATTAAAAAATTCAAAATCAATAAAATACAATACTATTAAAATACTAGGCATGCCTAGTTTAATACAAAAAAATCATCTCCCCCGATAATGCAAAAGAACCGGACGTTGAATCCTCATCAAAATAGCCCCCCGATAATGCAAAAGAACCGAAAATTAAATCCGCATCAAAATAGCCCTCCCCCGATATTGCAAAAGAACCGAAAATTGAATCCTCATCAAAATAGCCCCCCCCGATAATGCAAAAGAAGCGAAAATTGAATCCTCATCAAAATAGCCCCCTCCCGATATTGCAAAAGAACCGAAAATTGAATCGTCATCCAAATAGCCCCCCGATATTGCAAAAGAACCTTGTCTCTACCCGCTTGCGCGCCTGGAATCGCTTACGCCATCAAAATCACGCATACCTCAACGTGCCCTTGACACAATACTCCATCTGAATGTACATGATCCGGGTGTGCAGCGTGGCGTCGGCTTCTTTCTAAAAAAACAGCAACTTTGATACCGTACCCCCCAGGGCTACGCACCTTTCCTTTGGACGGGGAAAGGCGTGAGGCAGTGTCCCATGTGTCTTTCTCGGTGCTGGGTGGCGTCGAGACGTCATCTCCTGGAATAACAGAAAATTAATTTCGTGGCGTAATCGGTTGAAAAGCAAGTCCGTTTCCCTCGCCCAAAAATCTCCACATTTGAGGGCGTAATCGGATGTAAAATGAGATAATTTTTATACAAGCAGAGCCAGCAAACAATTAATTTCATGGCGTAATCGATTGAAAGTCTGAGCGTACTTTTCTACGTCCAAAAAAAATACAAATTTGACGAAATTTGATGGCGTAATCGGGCGTAAATGAGATAATTTTTAGGTAAGCAGAAAACCCGAAAAACGTAAAACAGGCCCAATTAATTTGATGGCGTAAGCGGCTGAGAAAAGGCGATAATTTTCTGGCTTTGCAGAAAAGCTGAAACATAATAGTTCGGAGAAAATTGATTTCATAGCGTAATCGGTTGTAAAGCGGGGCTAAAAATGCGATTTAATTTTGAAAATTTTGAAAAATAAAAAACTGGATACAAATCCTGGTTCTGGGCTGTTAGCGGGGGGGACGGACGAAATTTTTCCCAGTAATTATCTACGACCCCGAACGAAATATAAAATATCTTAATAGCATTTTACCAAGTTTTTCTATATAAAAACAATACGAAAATAATAAAAATTATCGAAATTTTTGGTCGAAAATGTAGAAAAATGTAAGTTTTCAAAATTTTTTAAAATATTTTTATACCTTTCTAACAATCAAAAGCTACTAAAACACGATACAAATAGGCGGGAAATAACAAAATGCCCCCCCCCCCCCCCCCGCTAATAGTTCAGAACGCAAATCATTATTACCGTATGCGGGCTGTCGGCCGGCCTTCGGCTCATCAGTAGCCTCGAACACAATCTCGATGTCGTCATCGTCGCTGTCCCTTCTACCGTACACTCGTGCTCCTGGACCAGCCTTCTGCGGGGATCCCTCCTCATCATCAGAAGAAGAAGATGAGGAGGATGAGGACGACGAGGTCGAGCTGTCGTCAGATTGTCGCTTTTCTGACGGGTCAAATTTTAAAATACAAAATCGCTATAGTCTACCCCGAAAGGAGGCCGTCCATTCGGCACTCCACTCGCTCGTCTCCCCAACGTCCTTCTCACTGGGCGACACTTTCAGATGGCGCAACCGGGACGGCATCAGTGAATCTGTAAAAAAAATGGACTGTACTATTAGCGGGGGGGGGGCAGTGTGCGAAAGAATTTTCAGGTGGCCAAATGGACCAGCGCCGGGGGTTGGCTGACAGGGGTTAGGACCAGCGCCGCGTTAGCGGCAAGAATTTTTGTGGCTTTTTGGGTCAATATCCAAAAAAATAGCGAAAATAAATGTCGGCTTCCTGGATTTTCTGTAATTTGATGTTGTTGCGCTGCTTACAGTTCTTTCATCTTTCTTTCACAGTACGAAAAATTGCTCATGAAAATTTGGGCAGAAATCGCCACAGGAAAGAAATTTGCAATGCCACGACGGCCCCAGAAGAGACGGCGCTGGTCCCGAAAAAGCCCTTCAAAAAGGTTGGATGAAGCTGAAACTTGGATGAGGGGAAGAGAAAACTAGGAACTCGTTTAGGGAAAAAATTGGGATGGACCGGCCAGTGGAGTAGAGGGTAGCATGCAATTGAATGGATTTTTCCCATATAAAATGGCAAAAGCCGCCGCGTCCAATTAAGCGCCGGTCCATAACTCAGAGATAACGTAATGGATCAGAACGGTTGATACATAGTTAGAAAGAGGAAAGACCGGGCTTTCAGCCGACTAGAAGTTCTAAGTGGGAAAATTGAGAAGGAGGGCGTAAAAAGGAAAAAACGGAACATCTACCGATCCCACGGCCAATTAAGGCGACCAGTCGCTGGTCGATAGGCTACAGGCGGAAGCAAGTATGGGCTAAAATGGTTTTGTCAGATGATAGCCAGTACCAGAGGCTATTCGGCAAGCAAGTTTGGTGGTGATTGATTGCCCTTTCGGGGACCAACGGGGACCAGAAGTGGGGGCGCGGCCAAATGAGCTGATTCCGGAGGTGAAGCGGCGCTGGTCCGGAAAAAGGGTTTTAAACTGGAAGCATGCTTTTGCTTTTTTGGCAGTAGTTGGGCAAACCCTAGACCTAGCCTGAAAACAAATTTCAAACCGCTAACGCCAAGGACGGGGTAGTTAGAGCATTTTCAAGGGATTCATCAGCGTGCACCGGGATGGGGGGCCGATAAAAAATTATTTCTCCGCATTCCACTGGCCGATCTTGACCAAATTTTACCCAAACCTTGATCGGGGAAATGTGTAATGCTCATCTAATTGCCAGCTTGGTCCAAGCCGTTCACCCGTAACGAGCGTTGTCACGTCCATACCCACCATGACCGATCATACTTTACTCCTTTGCCGACTTCTGCCGAAATTTTCGTGCATCATTTTTCTTGGTGTCGTATCGTTACTATGATTTAAATAGTGGAATTTCTTAGAAATAGTTATTCGAACCCCTTACATCGCAGATAACATATATCGATAATACTATTTTTTTTTTGCCATCATGGCGCCGTAGGCGCCGAAAAATCGCGATTTAACTAACCCTAGGACCAGCGCCTAGGGCCATTTTTGGGACCAGCGCCGGCCGCCCCACGGCCAAACCCTTCGCACACTGGGGGGGGGGGGGGGGGGGGAGTTTTTTACGCCAATAATGATTTTTGGACGTTGGTTTCATTTTCATGCCTTGTTTTTATTTAAATTTAAAATCAAATTAAATATGTATTAAATTAAATATAAATATAATTAAATTAAGACTAAACTTACAAAAAAAACTTGATAAACTAAAATTCAAATTAAAGTTCAACACGTTTCCTGAAATAAAAATCTCATAAATCTCTTAGTATCATAATATCATAAATCTCTTAGTAAAATTCACCCGGATTTCAAGTGATAAACACCTAAAGAAGTCGAAATCTGAAATTCGAAATTTTTGGTGGAAAAATCGCTATTGTTCGTATTTTCGGTCAAAATTAAATTTTTGATGTTTAGGGATAGTACCTCCCCCCGATAAGACGAAGAACCAAAAATTCCGAGCGAAACCGCTTACCACCATCGGCCGCGTCGATTTGCAGCTTTTTCATCGGCCCTTTCGGCGTCTTGGCAGCGATCGCCGCCGCAGGGCTGGCCTTCGTCTGCGGTGCGCTGTCGATCCACGCGCTAAACACAACAAATAAATTAAATGAAAACGTGAAACCCACTTATAATATCGGACGACATGCGGGTGGTTGAGCTTGGCGAACAGCTTGGCCTCGCGCGTCATCTTGCGGTTGAAACGCTCGTTCCGCGGGTCGAGCGTGATCAGCTGAAAAAGTGGAGTGGCAGGTTAGCGGGAAAATGAGTGCTTTCACCTTATCGGGGGGGGACAGACAATTTTTCGAAATTTAAATAGCGGAACGTAAAAAACTTACAAATTTTTATTAAAATATACAAAAAATATAGATTTTTCGACCATGAATGCCCGTTTTTTTTGCGCAAAATTTCGACTGTTTTGCACATTTGCATAGTTTTTACGTCAGACATAAAAACCGTTTAAAAAATTATCTAAACCTTGGAAAATCAAGAAACCCTGAATTTTCCGTGGAAAAATCGGTATTTTTTATTTTTTGAAAAATTTCGAAACTTTTGAAGTTTAGGAATTCAAAAGCGTAGAAATGGCAACAAATTAAAACGCTCCCCCGATAATGCACAAGCACCGTGAAAAGTATACCTTGACAGCATAGTGAACGAGGTCGAGTCGATTGCGGGCCAGCAACACCTCACCGAAGGCGCCTTTGCCGAGACTTTTGATGAGGAAGAAGTCGCGGCCGAGTCTTGTCGATGCACCGGTGACCGCCTTCAGCCCGAGGCTCGAGCAACTACCATCCGTCATTGGCGGAAGCGCATCTGGAAATGCCTCAAATTCATCGCGTACCAATTGCCCCGCTTCCGGATTTTTTGGGAATTTTTGAAGTGGTTCTTTGGCATTATCGGGGGGGGCATTTTCCTAAGGATCCAATTTTCGTGATATAAATAGTGTGTTTATCGCAGTTTTTCCTGTTTTCTATTTTTTTACTAAAATCTAGAGCAAAAGATACCAAAAAAACGAATTTTCGATCCAAAATTTGCAAATTTTCAACATTTTTTAGACTAAAATGGGTTTTAAAAGATCTAATTGAAATTGATATCTATCAAAAATGCAACTAAAAACCGAGGGTTCTTTTACATTATCGGGGGGGGGAGCAGCTCCATTCTAACAATTGCAAGGCTCCAATTTGTCTAATATCGATAGACAAAGTGTTTCTAAACTTTTTCGCTCATCCTAAGCAAAAAGAATTTACAAAACTTGTATAAAAAAACAAAAAAATTATAAATTTTTCGTCAAAAATGATTGATTTTCGACCAGAAATTTAACTTAAAAAATCTCCAAATTTTTTTGGTTATTTTGCCACTTGAAATATAGCTAAAATCTTCGAAAAACATATTACGTTACTTGGAATTTATAGATCCCCCCCGATAATGCAAAAGCACGTTGCATTCCCATCTGACGCCTTTCAAAAGATCCGGATAGCACAAAAAGGAACCGGCGGAGAGATATGCGTGGTCGGCGAGCTCGTAGACGGATTTGGCAGCCTGGCATGCCGCAACAAAGGACTGCAGCAGGGAGTGGCCGATGGATGACGCGTCGCCGGATGGCCCCGTCCCCAAACTGTCCAGCAGACGGCCTGTAAAATGGCGTGTTACGGAATTGTGTTTTGGACACCAACCAAGCGCAAACAGATCGCGTTTCTTCAGGGCTTTTGGCTCGATTTTGGCGGCCGTTGGATCGGCGAGCGGACGGCCCTCGATGGTCGCGCTGAACGTGTCGGCCAGCTGGGCGAGGCACCGTCTGAAACATCAGATATATTTCGAGAATTTCGGGAATTGAAAAAACCTTTAAAAACCCTGAAATCTTGAAAATTTATGACCTTTTTGGCTATTTCTCCTACAATTTTGGACGAAAATCAAAATGTTTTCCAAAATCTGTGGTCTTTGTGATTTAAATAGTTGGTAGTTTGTAGACTGCAAACCACAAAAGTCCGAAAATCGGGCTTTTCATATGCCAGACTACAAACTATGAAACCCCGAAAATTGCCGAAATGCGGGATTTTTCAGCCCTGGTCGAGAATCCTTACAAAAAGAATCGGGGTATTTTTTGCTAGACTACAAACTACAAATCGGGCTTTCTGTATGTCTAAAAAATACAAAGAAGATGCGGGTTTTTCATCCCAGTGCCACTATTTCGCGGAAAATTCGTTTTGGTAGTCTAGAGTCTAGACTGTAAACTAAAAGTTACAAAATATACCCCACAAGCCTCTCCGCACCCGCAAAACGTGATTTTTCGAAAAATCTACATCGTTTTCCACGTTTCTCACTTCGAAACCAATTTCTTACCCGATTTTCCAGTCGCTCAGCCGGAACGCCGTGCAGTCGTCGGTCCACAGCGATGAAGGGGCTGAACGGATCAGAATTTCCGAACAGCGCCGATGGCCTACCGATGGATGCGTGGGCGATTTGCTGCTCGTGCAGCCACCTCAGCCCGCAGACACAAGAGGTCGCTAGACGACGGAGGGCTCCTGTCTAAAGGAAAGGAATGGAATCAGGCGAAAAAAAAATAGGAAACGTACATCGTGGACGAGCTTCTCGGCCAGCGCCTCGAGATTCGAGTCGACGAGGGCAATGTTTTGAGCGTAGGAGATGCGAACCTGAAAATTAAAAATTATGCTTGTTTTTAATTATTAAAGGGGCTCCGAACTGCCAAATCAAAGCCCTTTTGGGAGGGCTCTTTGATTTCTGGCAAATTGCCAGCGGGCGCTGCGGGACCAGAGCCCTCACTCTTTCGATTTTTGCGCGAAGTCGTTTCTGCCCGGTTTCTTTGTGAAAACACTATAATTCGCGCATTCTGAGCCCATTTTTGAAATCCTCACTCAATTTGAAATAGTTTTGGTGTTTAATCATGAAATTTGGCCCAGCAGCCGGGAACGTGATTTCGAGATGACAACAGGCTATTTCAAATTTGCGAGCTTCCCGGGCCCCTGGGTGTACAGAGGCCTCCCACGTACAGGGTTCAGATTTTCGGGCTGTCACTCAATCTTTGGCATTTCGTAGCCCCTTTAAACAATTGAAAATTAAAAATTAGATGCTTCCGTTTGATCAGGAGGGAGCTAAGGTTGTACGTTTCTAGTGATACTTGGTGATCGGCCATCGTTGGTTCTACTTGTATTCTTCGTGGTTTGCGCTTAGAAAAAGTTACCACATTTCGAAAAATGCGTAATTTTATTTTTATAATTTTTTTCGATTCATTTTTCATAAATAAGTGAATAAAATGCGATTTTTCGGCTTTTTATATTTAACGATACTTTTTTAGATCTGGGCCCAATGCCATAAAATTATAGCAATTAAAAAAAAACACCATTTTTCATTTTTCAAAGATTTCAGATTAAAAGCGCCTTTTTCGACAGGCTTCAAATATGGCTCACGTGAAAATTGGTGTCCTTGACGGCGAGCCGCTCGACGAGCACGAAGGCGTAGGGGACGGCGGACGAGTCGACGTCGACCGTGTCCGGCAGCACCGAGCACGTCTTTTCCACCTCGGCGAGTTGGGCTGAAAAAAGGAGGGAGGTCCATCGCATATGGCTGCAAAGCTCGACAAACAACAAGGGGTCATTTTTCCGCGTTTTTCGAGGTTTTTTGCAAAATTAAAAATATGAAGTTTATAGATTTAGATTTAACTAGTAGAATTTTGTATTATTCGCTACCCGAAATCGCCCATTCGATCCGGTTTAAAATTCTGAAAAAATCTCATCCTTAAAAAAAGTGCGAAATGCTAGCGAAATATTGACGCTTTTTATAGCATTCCACAAAGTTTGAAAGATAAATTTCAATAAAAATTGGCAAAATGGATGAAAAAGGCATAAGAAAAAGTTAAATTTTCGAGTTTTCAAAAATTTCAAAACATTTTCGTAACATCTAACAGCCAAATCCTCACCCAAAAACGCCCCAAAATCGGGCATCTTCTTCCTGTTGTCCCGGCGGCCGAGGTTGAAGTCGAAATTCCACTGGGAGACGAGCACCGTTTGACCCTAAAAACTTGAATTTGAAATTTAACTCGAAAAACCTTATACAATCCCGTCCACTCGACGCATTGGGGATTCATTTTTCGGCTGTGGCCGGGTGGGGATGGGTCGACGACGCGGATCGAGTGGGGGCCGATCTGGCGGAATTCTTGGTCCTAAAAAAGCTTTTTGAACCAGAAATTGGACGGTTCTTACTGTATTTAGCTTCAAAAAAATCCGAAAAACCAACAGTATTAATGGAGTCGTGTCGCATGCGTTCTCGCGCTTCTTCCCTTTTCCATTCCGCTTCGAGCCGTCGCCGCTCCTCTTCCTCGGCCGCTTTTTCCCATTCGCGTTGCTCGGACGAGACGCGTTGCCGCTAAAAAATTGGGGTATCAAGATAGAAAAATTAATAGGAGGCATTTTCATAATCCTTTTTTGCAAAATAAGACGATCTTTTATAGAAAAACTTTCAAAACGTTGAAATTTAGGTAAAGAACGGTCATTTTTTTGGAAAAAATCGCTATTTTTGTATTTTTGATCGAACTGTGTAACGTTTTTACGTTTAGGAATATTAAAAAAAACTGTTTGGAAACGCTATTTCTATATTTATATATAAAAATTCTTCCAAAAGTCGAGATTTCGGCAAAAACGGCCGTCTTAGTCGAAAAATCGCTATTTTGATATTTTTTAATCAAACTGTATAAAGTTTTTGCGATTAGGAATAATAAACATAACTTAAGAAACGCTTCCGCTTCGTAAAAAAACCGGAACCGGAAACAAACCTGCACTTCACGGGCCTTCTCGGCTTGCCCCTCGGCCATTCCCTGGTGTAACGATTGGCGGGGGTGGAAATTGGCGTAGAGAAACGAGCGGACAACCTCGCACAACTGCATTAGCATCGGCTGAGCGAGAAAAGTAATTTTTTGGAAGAAATCGCCCCACCTCGCCTCGATTTTCGTTGGCATGAGCGGCCAAATCGTGGAGCAGCCGCTCCTGGTCGCCGTGGCCGATGCCCTGTGGCTTTTCCAGCGTCAGCGTCGGCGGGCTGAAATCGAATGCATATTTTTCGCGGCAAAAAGCTCAAAAATTGCATAGCGTGATGCGGAAAAGCCTGAAAAACTCGGCAAAAACGCCGAGCAGGCCGGTTTCTAGTCGACAAAAATTTTCAAAAACGGAAAGTGTTGAAAATCAAAGAAAGACATTACAACGTGTCTCAAAAAAAAATACTCGCCTCTAGCGGTCCGCAGTAACGTCCGATTTTAACCATATAGGTATTTATCGAAAGCGCTCGACGAGCTGAGCAGATCAATTATCTTCGATTTTTGAAATTTTCGCATCTTTAGCTCCATTTTCCTCATTTCTTATGCAAAAGTCACATATTTTCTCCAAAAACGCAATTTTAATCGGCGTCCGCCCCGTCCAAGCTGTGCGTTCTCAAATGGCTTTTAAAAAGCGGTTCTCGCACTACCAGGAAAGGCGTAAAAATTTGAAAATTTTGGTTTTTTAAAAACCCTGTGCTTGGGAAAGGCAACAAAAATTCGGTGCTTCCTCAACGATCGTAGTAAATGTCAGGCAAAAGCGGGAATTTCGAAAATCGTCGATAACAAATATGCTCAGCTCGACGAGCGCTTTCGATGGATACCGAAATCGCCAAAATTGGACATGTCTGCGGACCACTAGAAAGTTGTTTTTTGGGACACCCTGAATTTTTTCGTTGATTTGTCACGTAAACCCTCCGAATTTCCGAATTTACGCTCGAAATCGCCCAATTCAATGTCGATGCCCAATTTACGCACTCGTTGGGATATGCGGGCGGGCAGCAGATGTGTAGATGAACACGGACGGCAGCCATTCCATCATCACCGTGGCGGCTGTCACTTTGCGAGGGGCCAAGGGCGACGATCGCCTCCAGCGGGTGCCATACCTAAAAATTAGGATAGTCTATTAATATTTTAATCTCTAGCGCCTCATCACGATTTTTTTAACCATTCATCCCTTTCAACGGCCGCTCCAACTAATTTTATTTTGGAATCTCAAAAGTGGCAGTGTTTCTAAATGGTTTTTTACCATTCTTTAACGTAAAAACTTTACAAAATGTTATTAGAAAATGTCAAAAATATCGATTTTCGACCAAAAGTGGCCTATCTCTGACCAATTTCGACTTTTTCAAACTTTTCAGATAGTTTTTCTAGTTCAAATATAGTTATTTTTCACTAAAAACACTAATAAAAGACTGGCTATTAACTTCATAGACATTTCTAGACTTTTAGGCGCTGTAGGGGCGTTATAAACGGGCTGTCATCTCCCACAGATTGGCGAAATTTGAAGAAATAGGGTTTTTGCGGCCGTTAAAAAAACCCGAATTTCACGCAAAAGTAAATTAGGGTTGCTCGGAAACTTTTGGAAACCGGTTTTTGCTTCACATTCTGCAAATCCTCACCTTCCAGGCGCCTTTCACGATTTGCACGTCGTCGCCGTAGATCGATTCCAGCGCTATCGTCTCGTTATCCTAAAGAAAAACTCCATTTTTAGAAAGGTTTTCCTCTTACTTGAATCTCCTCACATTCCGCCTTGCTCAACGTCATCTGCCTTCGACAGCTCCGCGATTGGGGCCCTCGTGCAGTTTGGGGTAAAATGGCCCTGGTCACCGGTGGCGGCATCGTGGCGTCGTCCAAATGGGCATAGGGGTGTTGCGGAAAACGATGGCAGATGGCTTGCGAGACCTGGAAACTCGTGAAAATGGATAAAAAGGCAGAAAAACGAGCGTTAGAAAGCAGTAAATTGATAAAATCGATTTATTGGTCGAAAAATCTAGATTTTTTTGTATTTTTTTAATAAAAAGTGTAAAGTTTTTACGTTTCGGACTAGTAAAAAAACCGTTTAAAACACTTCCCAAAAATTACTGAAAACTTCCAAAAAAGAGAACATGCCAGGCACGAATGGGCAACGAACCGCTCCTATCCACGCAAGAAGGACTCAGCGGAGCCCCGCGTAGTCCCGGTCTCGGTAAACCCCGTCAAATTTTAATAATTAAAACTGCCGGAATTATTAAGATTACTAAAAATAAGTGAAGTTTCCAGAAATCGTGTCACAAATTCGCAAATTCGAGCATTTGCAGGTCCAACCCGGGGCTAACGAAGACGCGGCTCTTTCCCTAATTGCCAGGAATCGACGATTTAAACGATAACTTGATAAGTAAAAACAGTTTATCAGGTAGAAATAAACGAGCTGTTTTTTTAATTTTTCGGGGTTGTAATCCGTCAAAATCTCGGCGAAATCGGGAAAATAAACCTGAATTTAGCGACAATTTTTTGGTTTTACAATATTTTGGGCTGAAAATTCGGTTGCACATAGTTTTTTTTTGGTCCTCGTCAAAAATTAACCACAACCAGGGTTGAAAAGCCGCTTCGCGACTTTTCAACCCTGGTCCCGTCCCAAAACCATGAAATTCTGCACTTTGCATAATTCGCCTGAATTGTGATCAGAAATAGTGAAAAAAGGCTGCCTCTCTCCGTTATATAGGCTTCCGCCACTTCCGGCGCATGCTAATCGTTTCCTAACAAAGAGGGGTGACCCATTTTTCATGAAACTAAATTTTAATGTCGAAAGCAGTTTATTTTCAAAAATATGATATGTGTGCAATCATCCCTAGACCATTACGCATCTAATGACGTATCAAACGTGCCTGTCCGTGCCTCTGTGGAATGCCGTGCTATTGAGATACTACTGGAACACGCTGACGGAAGTTGCATGCAAATGCACACACATACATACACACACACACAGAAACTATTTTTTTATATATGGTAGGATAGTAGGATCAGATGGAAATCCGCCAAATGCCGAGCGGTTTTTATGGGACATCCTATTTTTTTCCGTTTGTGCGATTTTTATTAACAATTTTCTCGGCTTTGGGTTTAATAAAATACTTTATTGTGCGGTATCGGGCGGTTCGGAGGGGGTATGTGACGGGAAATCGTACGGTTCATGAGAATCGAACGATTGAATTGATGGATGGAGGGAGAGCCGGGGTAGATGCCATCCAACCACACGATTCCTATCCACACCTCCACGGGCTGCCGCAGCTCGGCCGGAAGTCACCGTACGCCCCGTTTCTTGGGCCAGCGGGACGCCATCTGAATTTCTGTTGGTTCTTTGGCATTATCGGGGGGGAAGGGGCAATTTTTTCCTACGAGTCCAGAAATGCCTAGTAATTCAATAGGAAGCCTTTTATTGGTGTTTTTGGTCAAATATAACTATTTTTCAGCTAGCGAAATTATCCAAAAAAATTTAACGCCGAAATTTTTACCAAAAATCGACCATTTTAGTCACAAATTCGATATTTTTTGTGTTTTAAAACAAATTTGTAACGTTTTACGCCATCTGAATGCCGGTGTTTTGACGCTGGCTTACCTTTTCCGTATCGTTGTGTCCGTTCGTCGGCGTATTTCAGGGCCTCCGACTCGTCCGAATGGCGCAGTTGGGTGTAAGAGAGGGTTCTGTCGCGGAATCGGACCCCATCTCCCGAAAGTGACGGCTTCTAAAGATCAAAAAAATCACTGCAAAACTTCCTAAAAATCGACAAATTTGTTTGGAAAGTGTTTGTAAGCGAACCCTGAGCGTCTCCATCTCGCCGGCCTCCACCTTCACCGCATTCCCCACAAATTCGTCAAAATCGAACTTGGCCAGCTCGTCCTCGGGGATGTTCAGCTGATCGCCCAGGTGTTTCACCAGCGCCTTCATCGTCATTCTAATTCAAAATATTTTGGCACCGAAAAATAAAGATTTATCGACACTTTTTCACGTTTCTTTTGCTAATTTGGCTATTTTTAAACGTTCCGACTATCGTGCTGTTGGTACTGGACTGTTAGCGGGGGGTTGTCCCCGGTACGTACGGCCCGATAGCGAGAGATAAACCCTTTTTTAGCAATTTATACAATTTTAGAGATAAAAAGCTCGCAAAAAAGCAGAAAATTTTCGAAAAATGTTGTCTTTTTGGTCAAAACGTAAGAAAATTTACCCAGAAAAGTCAAATTTCGAATTTTTGATAATTCTCTAGCAATAAAAAACTGCCAAAACACCATAAAATTCAAAAAATTTTCAAATTAGTTTTGTGGCTTTGTAGCCTGTTTTTGTTGACCCACTTTTTGCCTCCAAACCAGACCATCGTCTGCGCGACGTTCTCCACCTTTCGCCCGAAATGGTGCAGCTTCTTGAGGGTGTCGGCCGCGATTTCGACTGAAATTTTTTGTGTTTCCCCCATTTCTGATTTCTTTGCAACCCCTCCCCCCCCGGCTAATGCACTTGATCTTACCAGAGATTTCTAAAAAAATTGTGGCATCTTTTAGAAACATTAAAGTTAAAGGGGGCTCCAAAAGCTGGTCCACGGCCCCCTACGTTGTTTTTTGGGAGATAGCCAGATGCGAGCGCGTCGCATGATCTTTGGCCCCGGTTTGGACGTGAAAACGGTTGAATTTAAAATTCTGGAGTTATTTCTGGAAACCTTCTTCGCATTTTGATCATGCTAGACTGTTAATTATGAAAATTGACCAGAGAATCACGGAGATCGAGTGCCTCGGAGTTAGAGTTGTTATCTGGCGTCCGGGTCCGGGTACCCGTTTGAACCGGGTACCCGGTCGACCGGGTTCTATGTAAAACCCTTATTACCCGGCCAATTACCCGCTGGACCGGGTACCCGGTTGGACCCGCTCGCACCAACTACCCGTTCGCAACCGGGTACCCGGACCCGGATGCCAGACAACAACTCTACTCGGAGTGCCTTACAACGCATTACGACATGTAATCGCCGCCCCCACTCAAAAAGGCGTTTTCGATCCAAGAACTTTTCGGTTTTGTTCTAATATTTTATGTGTTGTTTTTTTTCGCAATAAAGAACTTTTCTGGTAGTTCTCGGCAGTAAACCTTGCGTTTTTTGACCAGGGGTTCAGCCCCGCACGAGATTTTTAGGCGTAATTTAGTCCAATTTCGAGAATTGGAACATTTCGCCTCTTTTTCGGCCATTTTTCCAGCCCAAAAAGTGAAAAAAATGTCGAAAATTTTGTGAATTTTTAGGAGTTTTTTAGATGAAAACCACGTCGATGTACCTCTCGTACCTCAATTTTTTGGCGTTTTTGGGGCGCGTTCAGCCCGAAACGACAAACCTGACATTGTCGTCAGCGCCAGCCCGATCCCAATATAGCACAACGTCACGAACAGGTAATCGTAGCTAAAACGATTAGTGGCATTTAATCCAGCAAAAAAATGCGATACCTTTTGGGGACAAAATCGCCTAACCCGATGGTGGTCAGGGTGACGAAATTGAAGTAGAATGCCTCGAAATAGGCCATATCCGGCTCGTAGGAGGAGAGCACCTTTTGAGAAAATAGAATTTAGATTGCCAGCATTTTTTCAAACCTTTGCCCCCAACATCAAATAGCAGAAAAAGAGGAGTCCAAGCAGTATTGACTCATCGGAACGCCTAAAAAGAGGAATTGGGTTCATTCGCGTTACCGGGGGGGAGGAAACCCTTTTTCTTGGGATCCTAATTTTCAATTTTCAAATATTGAATCGTTTTACTACTCCTAAACGTAAAAACGTTGCACATTTTCCTTAAAAAAATACAAAAAATATTGATTTTTCGACCAAAATGGCCGTTTTTGACAGGGTTTGCTAATTGAGTTTAACCAAAAATACTATTAAAACTCTTCCGATTAAGTTACTGGACATTTTTGCTTTATTCAAAAAAGCTAGCCCCCCCCCGATAATGCGAAAGCGCCTGGACTTAATTTTTAGGGGTACTGTAGCCGGGTGATTGCTTCAAAATCGTATTTTTTTGTCTAACGTTCAGATTCTAATTACAATTTTTTTTTGGAAAAATATGACGTTTCTACCTGTATTTTTTGCGGTTATTTTAAAGGTAAGAAAAATCTAAACTTGGAAAGTGTAACCAACAAACATTTTTGCAATTTAGGGTATACGGTAGATCAAGAAGCATCTGAATTTTTTTACGTACCGTTGTCCCTCGGCTTCCTGCGGTGGCTCTTCTTCATCCTCTCCCTCTACGGCCTCCTGCTCGAGCAGTCCATTCTCTTTTTGTTTCGGAGAAGAGGTGCTCTGAATAGTGATCAATTCACTCCCCTGTCACCGTCCCTTTAGAGGACTATCTACCCCGAAAATCGGCCCCTAGAATCCACTAGGTCTCGACAGCTACGCGGCAGGGCCAATGGCGTCGGGTTGCCGTTTTTATAGGCTGGAGGGGCTATTTGGAGTGTCGCGGAGTTGTCGAGACCTAGTCGATGTTAAGGGGTCGATTCTAGGCGCTTGCAGGTCCCGTTAAAACGTACCTTTGCCTTACGGCGTAATAATTGCCAGGCTGCCTTAGCCCATTTTGGCATTGATCGAATTAGCTGGGTCGTCTGAAAAGCTTTATCTCTCTCTCTCCCTCTCTCTCTCTTTGTTTCACGCTCTCTCTCGCTCTCGTTCTCTCTCACTCACTCGCTATCTCTCGCCCTCGCTGTCTCTCTCTAACTCGCTCATTATCCCGCTCTCGCTCTCTCTCTCTCTCTCTCTCTCTCTCTCTCTCTCTCTCTCTCTCTCTCTCTCTCTCTCTCTCTCTCTCTCTCGTTTTCTCCTACTCTCTCTCCCTCCCCCTGTCTCTCTCGCGCTCTCTCTCTCTCTCTCTCTCTCTCTCTCACTCTCTGACCTGTGCCAATATCTTCGAAATAAACATTCCCATATCAGCAATCGTCAATAACGTCAATGGCACGCCAATCACGCCATAAACGATACAAAACACTCGCCCCCAGAATGTCACCGGGGCCACGTGGCCGTACCCTAAAAATGTGCGCATGTAAGCGGCAATTCCGCAAAGAACTCCTGCCAGTTTGCCCTCCCCTTCTCTCCAAATGACGCACCAATAGTCGTGATGACGGTAAACGCAAAAATGATGGCATTCTCGAAGCTCCATCGATTCACAATATCTGCCGTCTCCTCGTCGATCACCTCTGAAATGGGCCGGGCGTAAAAGTCAAATTTATGACTTGCGCTGCTTCGTTTTTCGAGGGGCCGGGATCTTTTTGCGGCGGTTGAAGCCGGCAGAGAAGTTGGCAAACTGAAATGCGCATAAAAATGGCGCCTTAAAGGGCAGGTTCAGCAACTTTTTTTGAAAAAGGGTGGAACTTTTTGAGGGGCGCCCCACGCCGCAAAGGAGGGAAAACTTTAAAGAGCAGATTCCCTTCAAGGATTTTTATCGACTGGTAGGATGGGCGCGACACGCCGCGCGCGTCATGGTCGTCTTCCCGGCGTCACGGTTTGTGACCGGGGTGCGCGTTGCGTGTCGCGGCCCGGAAAAAACGTAGGGAGCCCATGCCCAAAAATTGCTTCTCGGACCTTAGCTTCCCTTTAATTGAAGTGGAGATGCTCATAAGCAAAATGGTGAATTTTACGTACCCGATAGCATAGATCGATATCATGGATGGAGACATGGTCGAGGTGGAGACATCGAGGTTTCGTCAGCAATCGCTTCACTTCCCTCTCCACGCACAGGTGAACCTACAATGCTTGGACAATTTCAGGCGAGGCGCGTTTTTTCCGGTTTACGGGTTTCGCTCGTTTCCGGTATTGATTCTGGCGGTTTTCCGGCCAATACCCGATAGTTTCAGCCCTTCTCAAACTGACCTCCGGATCAAACTCCCCAATTTCGGTGCCGAGAAAGACGCGAGTGGCCGTGTACGGGACTGCAAAAAGGGTAGAAAAATCGCGTGGAGAACGTAAAAACCCCTAAAAAGTACGCAGAACAACGTACAGTGCTCGACGGCCCGTTTCGGCATTGCCGTCTCATTCTTCTTGAGTATTTTCTCGCTAAAAAACGAAATTTTACGCAAAAAAATTGTATGGATACGGTGGTGTCTCGAGCCATTGCATGACGACCGCACCAAATAGAGTATAGGCAGCCACGCCGAGGGCCAGAAACAGGTGGACGGCGATCGGGGAGATCTGCAATCGATTACGCTAGGTATTTGGGGTGCGAATTTAATTGATTACGCCATTATATTGGCGGTGACCTGTTGAATCGGTTACGATGGTTAAATCCCGGCTCGGCAATCGTTTACGATACTTTAATTGGAGATTCGTAGCCGATTACGACACCCAAATTGCGGGCTTCATCGACTACGCCACGTTAATCGGGGCAGGCACTCCATTAATACCCAAATCCCCGGCCGACAATCGATTACGATGGTTAAATGGGAGATGCGTAACCGATTACGGCACTTAAATGGGGGCAAAACTACTTGCAAAAAGTAAAAAGTCAATGATTTTTGTCGATAATGTATCGATACTTTTGAACAGAAGCTTTTTCGACGAAAAGCGGTTGAAAAAATCGCATTTTCCAAAGCCACGCCCACCTTATCACCATTGATCTTTATTTTGAGCTTGTCGACGAGCAGCATCGTACGGGGTTACGGTAATTGGGGTGGAATATAGGTATTTAACTCGAGAGGCTAATATCGATGCATTAATGGAAGGGGCGGGGCTTTCGCTGCAGGACCCCTCCACCACCACCACACAGACAAAAGCACCACCGGAAGTGGCTTTCAGAAAAGTTGGGGAGGGGGAGGGGGAGGGGGAGGGAAAAGCCCAACCGGTGGCCCCCAAAAAGGGTGGCTTAACCCAGAATAAATGGCCACTTTCTGCCGGCCCCGAAAAAGGGGGGTATTTGCGTGGATTCTTGGGGAAATGGCGAAATTATAAAATTACAAACAGGCAGCAGGTTATCTATAATAAAAAAAATAAAAAAAGAAGCTACAAAAAACAATAAAATCAAAATACCAAAAATTGAAATAAATTGCAAATAAATGGAGCTAAATACAAATTTCATGGCCGGTTCACGCATCCTTTTTAATAGATTAAAAATTTAAATTTTATTAAGGTTTTGATAAAAACTAGCCAGTGAAACCCAGAAAAATTCGATATTAAGTAAATTTATATTTTAAATCGTTTTCCTCAAATTCAGATCTTTTATTTGCGCCGAAAAAGCCATAAGAAATCCAGAAAAAATTAAAGTGAATTAGATTCCTATTTTTATACCATCTGTATGAAGTTCAGGTTTTAATCGGAGCCCAAAAAAATGCATAAAAAATTCAAAATTTAAAAACTTTGATAAAAAGCATTTTCAAGGTAAAAATATCTATTTGAAACCTGGTAAAATTTCGCTTAAATTAAGTTTATATTTTGGATGATTTTTTCTCAAATTCAGAATTTCGATCAGTCCAAAAAAATGCTTAAATAATGAAAATATTAAAATTCCAGTCATGGAACCCACCTTTGCGAGGTCGAGCACGAACATTTTAGGGGCGGCTGGGCGCTGAAATTCGACATTTTAGCAGTTGAAAATGCCGACAAATTGAAGGGGTTGAGGGAACAAAATCCATATTTTTATCTTTCCGGTCCCTTTAAAGGGGCCATGCAGCGCGAAATTCGACCTCTAGGATCCACTAGGTCTCGACATCCACTCCACGGGGCCCGAAACGATCCGCCTTGGCGTGACGCTCGAGAGTGCAAGGGTCTTTTTGAGCATGAAGTAGTAGTCTAGACCTAGTCGATGGAAAGAGTTAATTTTTGTTAATTTTATAGCCCTTTAAAAACGGCTGTAACGGTTAGAGTGCAGTTTACCCCCCCAGGCCAGCTCCTCAGCCATACGTCCTATTAATGCGCCGAGTATCTCAAAATGTTCGCCGTGGTCCAAAACCTCTAAAAAAGTTGTTTACTTGCGCCAAAAAAAATGTTAAAAAATTTTTATAACAATTGTAAGTCTGGGTTTCCTTTAGTTAATTTTTGCTGTTCCAAAGTGAGTTTTCGTATCTCGGCTATCTTTTGACGTACAGAGCTGTCAATGGTACCAAAATGTAGCTCTTGCTCTGTAGAATAAGCCTACAGTACGCTTGAGTCGAAAAAAATAGCGGAAAACAAAAATATTTGAGTTTTTGACTCCTGGTGCATTGATGCATAGCGGCTTAATCTTTTCAACTTTCAAAATCTTTTTGCCGTAAGGAAACAACTTTTTTAGAGGTTTTGGACCACGGCGAACATTTTGAGATACTCGGCGCATTAATAGGACGTATGGCTGAGGAGCTGGCCTGGGGGGGTAAACTGCACTTAACCCGCTGTAACCCCCGGAGAATAAACTATACTACGAGCAAGGGGCCAGAGAACGGAAACACCCCCCCAAAATTCGAACATTTTTCTGGTGTCGGCGCCAAGTCGCCTGGAAAATTGGGTGGGTGGTGTTCGGGAAATGGACACTGCAAATGCGAATAAAAGTTGTAAAAACCGAGGCGATTTTTACGTTTTAGGCATCAATCGAAAGCTCTCGACGCGCGGAGCTCGCCGGTTTTTCGAAATCCCCGTATCTTGAGCTCGATTTTCCTCATTTTTATGCTAAAGTTGCAATATCATTGTTTAGCGAATATCTTCTCTCCAATTTTCGGAATCCCGCGGGGATTTTTTTGCTCGATTTGCCACTTTTGATGCAAAGTTACACGCTTTTCCCAAAAAAACTCCCCAACTTCATCGGCTGACAATTAGCCCCGATCCAAGCTGTGTTTTCTCAAACGGATTGCGAAAAAAACTGCCGTCCGGAAGTCAAAAAAGTGTAAAAATTGAAAGATTCTGGCTTTTGGACAAGAGATCCATGGGGAAAATCAGCAAAGATTCCGCAGGTTACGCAAAAAGGTGGTAAAGACAAAATATGTAAAACTGGTAAAAATATGAGACGGGGGGGGGGGTAGACTTGATGTGGTAAATTTTTCAATATTTCACTGTTTTTTGCGGATTATATCATCGCGACCCGTAAAAGAGCATGAAAAATACTAAAACTTTTAATTATGAGATAAAACACCATAATTTAAAAAGGTTATAAGAAAAAAATAGCTAAAATAACCCTGAAACTGGGGTTGATAGGCGATTTTTCGGGATTTTCGATATTTTTCGACACCCCCCTCCCCCGCTAACGAACCAGTCCCGATTCCGCAAGGCTTTCAATAACAACATATAAAAGTAAAAACCGTATTTACCTTGCCGGGCAGCCGGGACATCACCCAAAACATTGCTGCTGATTTTTAGTTGCAATTTTTCGAATTTTCAGCAATATTTGAGCAATCGGCAGAGCGAAATGAGCACTAGAAAGAGGCGACTCCCCTTGCCGCGTCGTGGAGGAGAAGCAATATCCGAAATGAGTGTGGTTTTGTGGCCGCTTTGGCTCTCTCAATAGATCTGCCATATAGCCCCCGGGCCATCCCCCCCAAAAACCACAAATGAGAAGAAAGGCCGTAAAATAAACAAATCCCCAATCGCGCCATTTTTTCGTGAAGAGGGCAAGTCTGGAAAACCCTTAAGGATTTTCCCGTGTTAGATCCGGTACTGGACTGTTAGCGGGGGGGTTAGCGACGGATCTATCTTTCTCCAGTAATTTCTTCGACTGATATCGATATAACAAAAACCAAGCAATTTTTGTAGAATTTTAGACTGTTTTAGATAGAGAGCTCAGAAAAAAAAATCATAAAAATTGGATTTTTTTGGTTGGTAGCAAGAACATCCCAAACGGGTTCTGTTTCGTTAGCGGGGGGGGGGGCTTTTTGTCAATAGCCTAATTAAATACTGAAAATTTACGACATTAGACTTCACCCCCCGCTAACGAACCAGAACCCCCAACGGTCGAAATCTTCGAATTTTCGTTGCCCTTTCAGATAATTTGCATAATTGGCTAGCGATCAAAAACTCTAAAAATACTAGAAACATCTTAATATATTATTAAACATTTAACAGTTACTAAGCCACAAAAAGGATAAAAATTAGCTTTCCCCTCGCTAACTACTTTTGAGATAGGTGAAAGGCTCAGATAAAGCTTTTTTGCATCCCACTCTTCTTAAAAAATCTCCCCGTTAATTAGCATTTTATCAAAGTGAATTTAAACATGGCCAAATCCCTGAAAAACCATAAGAATTTGCAAGTGGCAATGGAGTGATTGTGGCCGAGGAGGGGGGGGGGGGATGTCACAGCTGTTCTCCCCCTCTCTTCTCCGAGCAACACCACAGGAAATGCCAGGCCGTTCTTCCATTCCGGCGGCTTCAAAAACGTGATTGATCGTCGATTTGGGCGCCGGCCAATCCCGTGTTTTTCTACGGGGTCGTAGAGCTGGATTTTTCGCAGATTCCGTTTGCGGTTTTCGCGGCTCTTCGGCTACGCTGCGTCGGAAAGTACAAAACACTGGTCGGTGGTTCTTTCCCATTATCGGGGGTGGAGAGCACGCGCTTTTTAATATAAGCCCTATTAGATGCCTAGTAGCGTAATAGCAAGTATTTTAATAGTGTTTTGAACAAGATTTTACTTGATTTGAAGTCGGAAAATTTTCTAAAGAACTTTTACATTTTAAAATCTCAAATTTTGACCGAATTTCGGCGATTTTTAGTCGAAAAATCGATATTTCTTGTTTTTAAATCAAAATTAGTAAAGTTTGAACGTCTAGGAATGGTAAAAAAAACAACATAAAACACTTGCGCTCGTTAGATTAGAAAAACTGGACCATAGGAAGCAAAGTTGCCCCCCCCCCCCCCCCCGATAATGCAAAAGGACCCGGAAGCTAGTACCTTCAAAAACTTCCAAAAAATCAAGTCCGGGCATCGGTGGCCCAAAAAGTGCGGCCGAAATAAATCCGCCGACGATTTCGGGGGGTCCATTTTCGCCGGCGCTCCTCCGCCCAGGTGGATAAATGGCCGCCGGCAAATCGCCAGTTTTCTGGCAAAAACTACGCGGCAACTGAAATATATTGACGTTTTCTGGGCTAGTTTTTCATGCCGGTCGGCGAACCTAAAAAAGTAACCCTAGCCGACAAATTAAAAAATAGTCAAAGTAAAATGGCGAGTTACCAATTGAAAATCACAAAACTTAGCCTTAGACGACAAATTGCACAGGTTTTCCGCGGAGTTTCGCGACCTACAAGTTTTGTATCTGGTGCTCTAAACCGTTCCATAGTCTCAACCAAAGCATAGACCCTGTCGCCTAAAATCAAGCTTCTATAGTCTAAAAAATAAGAAATTTGAATTCAGTCTACAAGACTAGCACGGAATGTAGCGCCTTGTTGAGCAAGGTTTTGTCCAGCGCCCTTGGGGTCATCATTAATATTCAAATATATTTATTGCAAAGTGAGAAGGCGCCTATTCAAATACCTAAAAAAGTCGACAAACCGGCTGACGAGGAATAATAGTCTGCCACACTATATTCCCGCCAGTGCCCCTTGGGCCCATTCAAACTCCCCAAGCCTAGCATAGAGCATAGACCCAGAAAGATTCACGAACCCAAGAAGCATACCACAAGAAGATGTAGTAGGATTGTTCAGTGGAATAGAATTTGTATCCTGCCATGTGTTTATACGGAAGACAGTTTCGGTCACAAGTATTTATCAGTGAGAATAAACGAAAGAGATAAAAGGAGGACGGTGAGAGTTAGAGAAAGAAAGGCCTTCGGCCTAAAGGAAAACAGGTTCTGGTTTAAGCCCATAGCGGGCAGGTTTTGGGTATTCGTAAGGGCCGCTTCCCTTTCTCGAGGGCACAATCCATAAAGGACTGTGGCAACGGGACATAAAGTCCTCATTGCAATTTCCCCAAAAACTCCGATAAATCGGAGAGGCGTAGGCCCGGGAAAATCCCCGGGGAAAGGGATGGGCGCGCCGGACCGCCCAGGGGGGGTACGGTCACGGGCCCACAGGATAAAAGTCACGCCCCCAGGATAATTCCCCGAAGGGTAATACCCTTCGAAAGTCTTGCCTTTGGCAAGATACTTTCGACACTCCCGCCCCCAGCAACGGGGGGCAAGACAGAGTGGGTTTTGGACGTGGCAGGTTCCTTGCTGGAAGGAGAGCCTGCCGGCCACGAAAAAAAGGTTTTGAATCAGAGAAGCGGGAAAAGAGGACACCGTATGCAAACGGATTCCTCTTAACTTTGGGAATTTGTTCCTTTTACAGTAGATTCCTGTAATTAGAACAAAGGACTGGGGTGAAAAGGAGGGGGCACAAAGAATAGAAGGGACATACTTGACACAGTGAATGTTAGGAACCGTCGCTGTCGATCTTGTAAACGATTGGCAGCAGGTGGAGGTGTTGAGTGTCGTCGAGGTTGTGTCCATTGGTTCTTGGTGCCACGGGTTTTGGGTAGAAATCGCTAAAAGTAAGGAGAAAGATTCTCCTTCCAGTTAGGAACCGACGAATGATCGGATTTTTTGATGTTGGTTCAAGTCAAAAAAATGGGCTTCCTGTTTTAAGTAACATGCTGAAAGTAGGTAAGCCGGGTTTTGGTGCAAAACGTAAAAACTCCTAAAAAAAGGAGTGATTCCCTTTGAGAAGAGTCATGCTTCTCGTGTGGAGCCTGGTTTTGTTTTGTTGCGCAAGCAACGTGTTGAACAAATATATCCCGTTGTTCACCGGGCTGGTACTGGATTGAAAAACAAAGCAAATGACAATTGATAGACTGCTCATATAACACGGAGTTCGTGTCTGCAAGGCAACCATGTTGTCAAGTGCTTACGGAACTGGGCGGGCAGGTCGGTCTCCGGCAGCACTTGCACATCCCCGTCGATGGCCACGAAGAGGCGACGGAAATTTTAGAATGCGTGGCGTCTCAGGCTTGAGCTTAAGCGCATTCGCAAACATCGTCTTGACAGTCTTCTTCTGGCTTCGGAGCGATCGAGGGCTGACGAGACATACTGCGCCGCGGTGTTGGATTTGACTTATTCCTTTTATACTGGCTGCTAGTTAATTCCTAGCTCAGCATAACAAGGAAAGGAAATTGGTTTTGGATCGAATGTTTCCTCGATGCTTCTGTTTAGAACAGAATTAAACATAACCACCAATGTAATTCGAAGAATTTACACTGATAATCACGCTACATCGAAGAAAACGGTTGGTGCTGGATTTGCAAAAAGGAAACCAAGAATTAAAACTTCAATTTATTTCGACATACGTCGATAACAAACGAAATTCGAATCTGGTCAAGGCTAAGGAAAGAAACTCAACTCGTGTCCAGGATAAAACCACTGCATTCTTCGTCCATTCGTGATCGGCACGCGCTCTCACCGCGGCTCGATGTTGTCCGCGCTGTCACCGCGGCTCGATCTTCGTGTGGGACTAACGAGGCAGACAGCAACATCCTTGATGACTTGAGTAGATGAGCTCCTTCTTCTTTGCCTTCGGTCTTGGGGATTGTTTTGATTGTTATCGAGGAAATAGACCTTTTCTTAGAAACTAAAAAGAGTTAGCTCTTTTTATTTCAGAGAAAAGCCAATTCGCCCGAGGTTTTGTATTTGCGAAACTTTACGAAACTTCGCTAATCCTTCTTCATTACTGATAGAGGAGCGGAGAGTCGCTCAGTAATACCTTTTCTCTTCGCCAAAAAGGAAAGAAATGAGCTTCTTCCATCTGATGTCAGCCGAAAAATGTGATTTTCCCGGCTTCGAACAGCTTCTGGTCGAAGGAAGAGGAGGTTTTGGTATAAAGGCCTATAACCCATGACTGTACGCTGAGCTGCTTCGACATGACGTTCGATAGCAGTCGGCGTAAGCGGGGTTGTATCGGAAAGAACTCATCTGTTGTGGATTTTGATTTGTCTAGCAAGCGGGGGCCTCGGTGATCGTGCGCTCTCTCACTGCAGCTCGATGTTCACCGAGTGGTCCCAGCGACGGCGTCCTTGATCCATCGATGTTGCTTGCTCAGCATGCGTCAGTCATCTTCTTGAAGTCCTTCCGAAACGGGTTGGAAGTTACCCGTCGTTTTGGAATGTGTATCTTTTAGAGAGCATTACTTTCTTCGCGAGGATAGAAAGCTTTACTACTCCAAAGGAAAAGGAACTGGAAGAGTTTGAGAATCGCACGCAAAAAGCGTGCCGCGAGCTTCTGTCCACGCATTGATGGAACTACGCTCACTGATTCTCAAAGGTTTTGTTTGATTCTACCGCGAGAGTAGAACCAGGGGGGAATTCAGTAAAATCTTACGACGCGGACAACCAATATAGCAATCGTCAGCAGCAATCGTAAGATTTGTCCTGTTGAACCCATCTTCGAGGGCGAGAAAATGTCGCTCAACGTCGATAAATTCGTTTTGGGTCGGAATATCGACAGAGAGGGCAACCAATATAGCAGTCGCCACCTTCAATGCCGAATTCTTGGCTTGGTTCAAACTTTCTGACATAGGGAAATAGGATTTCCCCCAGTTAACGGGCAATACGGAATTCATATTGTTGCCGAAAACTGATCAGAAAGTGGTTTTGGTTCAAATCATGGTGTTGGGTACATGATCAGCAAGAATTTGGAGCATTTTGATAGAGAAAGGTGAAATGAGGGAGTTTCACAGAAAAAAGGATCGAAAACACACGGGTGAGGGAAATTCCTCTTCGCAAAATTTTGGGACGAAAATTCGAGAGAGGGGGCAGCCGGCTAGCACGGCTACCGTACCCCTTCGGTGTAATTCGTACACCTACTGTGTTTTAGGCAACCAAACTTTTGCGAATTCCGTGTTGTTTTCGAAAAATCCTTTTTCTTTCTCTTCGCTCGTTTGGAAAGTAAGCGAACGGTTTGCTGATCATGGAATTGGTTGAAGAAAAAAGGTTATTTCTTCGAAAATTGCGCTGAGGACGCTATAAATAGAATCAACAGCTGCAATTCTTTGAAAAAATAAGCTGCGGGTTGCAGTTATTTCTTCGGTTTTGTGCTGGTCCGACAATCGGAGGTTTTGGATGGTTGACATGAGGTTTTACATCCCATTCTCCACAGTTCTGTCTACAAAACCCTTCAGAAAGGTGTTTGTAGCAGGATCTGTACCCTCTTCGACTGGAATTGGTCCGCTTTCGAAACACAAAAAGCTTTCCGGTTCTGGGTCAAACCTTCCACAGTTGACCTGTAGGGTTTTGGGTCGATCTAGTCTTTACCTCCCACCGGATATCTGCTGCCTCACCGCTTTCGTCACGGGTCAACCTCAGAACATTGGGAACTGGTTTTGAAATTTTGAGCGCGACCAAAGAACAAAATAGCAAAAGGCGCAGAACGGTCGAGACTTGTCTCACCAATTTCGATGAATACGCTGATCAAGCGCGTGAAAAATGTATAAATCCAAAAATCAAACCTTCACCTGAGATTCTTCGGAGATTCCTGCAGGACTCTCTGTCATCTTTTTGGCGTGGGCAGAGCCTGTTTCTCTTGACAAAGGTGCCGCCATCGAGAGACGAAAGTCGAAGCACTGCTCGTTCGCCGGAGCTCGGCCTAGGAAAACACCTCCAAAGGAACTGTGAGTACGGACGAAACGAGGAGGCATAGGGTGCTGCGATCATCTCTTCTGACATCTCGATGGTTTGCGGACCACCGAGCGGCGAGCGTGGCATAAAGCACACATCATCGCACCCTGGTTCTGGTATGTATTGGCATCTGATGGCCGCAGCAACGGTTTATCTAAGCTCCTCCACAAGTGTCAACGCTCGATGTTCAATGATGTGGCTAGAGGCCAACATCAGAAACTAATGTATTTCAGGCGCCATACGCAATGAAATTACTCAAGATCGTAGGCTAGTACATTACCCCAATGGGGAATCGAAGTTTCCACGAGGGAATAACGGAGTAGAAGCCGTATACTTGCCGGTAAAAGCCGGTTCCATCGCGGTTTACATCTTCACTCATCGTCTTGGCTAGACTGCCTTGAACGACGGCGGTTTTGGTATTGGTTCTGTTGGTATTGGCTCTGGATTCCATCACCAATCCTTTCCTGTTCGCGGGTTTTGACGCAAAAATTGCGGGTCTTGGATTCGGATATCAGCATCCCTTCGCTTTCGCGGTAGGTATTGGTTCAAAAACACAAGTGACCTGTCTTTTCTCACATGGAGATTGAGTGTAGGGTATAAACACATATTGGCAAGGATTTAGAGACTCAGATTCGAATCCCCGACGCACCATGACGAGGAATAATAGTCTGCCACACTATATTCCCGCCAGTGCCCCTTGGGCCCATTCAAACTCCCCAAGCCTAGCATAGAGCATAGACCCAGAAAGATTCACGAACCCAAGAAGCATACCACAAGAAGATGTAGTAGGATTGTTCAGTGGAATAGAATTTGTATCCTGCCATGTGTTTATACGGAAGACAGTTTCGGTCACAAGTATTTATCAGTGAGAATAAACGAAAGAGATAAAAGGAGGACGGTGAGAGTTAGAGAAAGAAAGGCCTTCGGCCTAAAGGAAAACAGGTTCTGGTTTAAGCCCATAGCGGGCAGGTTTTGGGTATTCGTAAGGGCCGCTTCCCTTTCTCGAGGGCACAATCCATAAAGGACTGTGGCAACGGGACATAAAGTCCTCATTGCAATTTCCCCAAAAACTCCGATAAATCGGAGAGGCGTAGGCCCGGGAAAATCCCCGGGGAAAGGGATGGGCGCGCCGGACCGCCCAGGGGGGTACGGTCACGGGCCCACAGGATAAAAGTCACGCCCCCAGGATAATTCCCCGAAGGGTAATACCCTTCGAAAGTCTTGCCTTTGGCAAGATACTTTCGACACCGGCAGAAATGGGGCTGGAATATGGAAAACTGATAGATTGATACGAAATGCTACGGAAAAAAAACAGACTTAAAAACTGGTCCTAGAAACGGGGGCCGGATATATGGCAGAGGTAAACGCTACAAAGTCAAATCGAGGTAGACACAATACAAAGAGGCAACAATCGAAAAGTACAAAATTATCACACACAAAAGATAGGGAGGGGGGCCTTTCCTAGAACTCGATCTTGTCGCCGTGACGCCGGAAGTAGCCGCCAGTGTGCTGCTCGTCGAACGAGCCGATCGTCTTCACCAGCGCCTCGGCCGAATCGTCTACCTGAAAAAAACGATAAAAATTCTTGAATTCCAATTTCTGGCTTTTTTGGCATTATCGAGGGGGGTGTATTATCTAGAAAAGCGTAGTATCTAATCGGAAGTATTAGTAAAATAAAACTATTTTTATCAGAAAAACTAAGTAAAAAATTTGAACAATTTTCAAAAAGTTCAAATTTTGGTCAAAAAATCTATATTTTTTTGTATTTGTTCACGTTTAGGAATTGTAAAAATAGTTTAGAAACAATTTAGCCGTCTCAATTTCAAAAATTCGTTCCTAAGAAAAAAATTTCCTTCCCGCCCCCGATAATGCGAAAGTTCCTAATTTCTAAAAAGTTTCAAATCACAAAAAAAAAATCCTAATTGATTTTGACACGATTTAGGAGAAGCCCGTACCGTAGTGGCCGCATTCTTGCCTCCCATATCGGTCTGCACCCAGCCGGGGCAGAAGGCGGCCAGCAGAATGCCCTCCTTCTTCAGATCCACCGCCAGCGTCTTCATCATCTGGTTCAGGGCCGCCTAAACGAGCCGTTTTTCTCATATTTTTCTGTAAAGATTGATACCTTGCTCATGCGATAGGCGATGGAGTGGTTGGCCCCGCTGCCCGACGTGTTCTCGCCGATCGATCCCATGCCCGAGCTGATATTGATGATCGCGCCTCTAGAAAAATTTTATCGTAAAAACCAGAAAAAAGAAAGAACCCACCTTTGCGCGCCCCATTCGCCGCCATTGGCCACGGATTTGCGGATGAGGGGCAGAAAGATCTAAAAGAATACATTAGGCGATGTAATTCGGAACTTTCGCATGATCGGGGGGACTATTTCTTTTCCTAAAAGTACAGAAATGCCTAGTAACGCCTTAGTAAGTCTTTTAATAGTGTTTTTAGCAACCATTTAACCATATTTTAAGTGGAAAACCGAATGAAAAAGAACAGAAAATTTTTCAAGTGTAAATTTGGGTCCAAAAATCTATATATTTTTGTGTAATCAAAATTTGTCAAGTTTTTACTTTTAGGAATTGTAAAAAACAGTAAGAAACACTTCCTGTATATATATCAGCAGAATTTAATTCTTAGAAGAAGTCCCCCCCCCCGGTATTGCGAAAGAAACTGCAATTCAAACGATACCTGGCTGACGATGAGGGGCGAGGCGGCGTTTGTGTGTAGAATGTTGAGCAGCGCCGCCGGGTCGGGCTCTGCAGCAACCTGGAATTGCGAAAAATCAAGCCAAAATCAAAACTCTATACCACGTAGTTCGTCCAGATGCCGGCGTTGTTGATCAGCAAGTTGAGGCCCGAGTCGCCGACGACACGCGAGACCTGAAAACACGTTCAGGGGGGCGACTTTCAAGCCATTTACCTGCTCGTAGACGGCCTTGATCGAGGCGACATCTTGCACGTCCATTCTCAGCACCTTCAATCGCGGGTCCCGGATTTGGGTGAGCCCCTAAAAATTATGCTGAGAATTCAGAAAAACTTTGAACCTCGGCCTTGTCGGGTTGCGCGCCGTGGCGAAGATGTGCTTGACGGCGTCGAGCTTCAGGTACTCCTTCGTCAGCCCGAGGCCGATGCCTAAAACAAAATAAATTGATAAAAAAGATAATTTACCTCGATTGGCGCCGGTGATGAGGACCGAGGTCGGGTGCGGCATCGTGTGATTGGCCGCTAGAAAAAAATAAATAGTAAGCAGGAAAGGAAACGCACGAAAAAGCCTGAAAAGTTCAGAAATCAGACATTCTTTCATAAAAATTTGAAGTTTTTGAGTTTCGGATGAGCAAAAAAATAAATTTGAAACATTTCCGCTATGTATATTCGCAAAATTCGATTCTAACAATTAGAGTTACCGGGCTGTAAAGTATATCAAAAAAGTTGGAGCTATCGATGTTGGGGGGCATCTTTTTTGGTATATGTCGGCTACGCGGGGGGGGAAATTTTACGCGGGGGGGGACGGGACAGGCAGGCCTTTTTGGATGTTTTCGTTATTTTCTCGGGATTTTTGCAACGGCATTCGATAGAGCATCGAAAAATATACTAAGGGTTTTTGTTTTAGCTAAAATTAGTGTAATATAAAAAAGTTATGGCAAATACAAAAATAAGCTTTGAAATTCGGTTTGAGCCGCTGTTTTTCGATATTCGCGCTATTTTTTCGACATTTTAAAGATGCCATTCGATAGAGCATCCAAAAATATACTAAGAGTTTTAATTTTAGCTCAAAATAATGTAAGATAAAATATTTATAACAAAAACAAGTATTAAACGTTGTTTTCATGGAGGATATAGAAGGAAATCAAATTTTCGACATTTTCGACATTTTTACAAAATTTCTTTAATACCCGTCGACAGAGCGTCAAAAAATATACTAAGAGTTTTGTTTGTAGCAAAATGAAAAGGAAAAAAAAATAGTTAGCTCGGCCCCAATAGTCCGTCCCCCCCGCGTAAAATTTTCCCCCCCGCGTAGCCGACATATACCTCTTTTTTTGAGGGTCTTTCCGGCCTAAGGGGGATCTCCAAGCCAAGTCTAGCCTAAGCCCACACATAAGCCAAGCCTAGGCTTAAGCTCAAGCCTCAGCTAAGTCTGTATATATAGCTCATTCGAAAGAGCTTTTTCTGCTGAACAAGATACACTAATGGGTTGTGAGAAATTTCCATTCTCCGGGCCCTTACAGGCCATAAAAGTCCGATTTTGGGCGATTTACCAACTTTGAAGCTTCATAACTTTTTCTCCGTTTCGTTTAGCAGATTCTGATTACAGATTCGAAATCCCCGTGTATGACTCTATCAAATCCACTATGTCTCGTTTCGATTTCCCGTGGGCCGGTCATGCACTTCCCTTGTAAGCTCGAATTTGGCCTAAAACATCAAGAAAACGAAGCCAAAAATTGCAATTGCCCCGAAAATGTGGACAAACAACTTTTTTCTTATCAGTGATGGCGTACGCAGGGCGCCAATGCACAGTTGGACCATGGGGGGAAAGGTGTTCTTTAGAAAAAACACCTGCGAGATACCCTTGTACGGGTGGATACAAATTCCGTTGACACCGCATGGTCCCTTTACAATTTCACGCCCGTGGTCGCGAATCTGCTTTCTCGTTCGTGTCTTCGGCTTTTTCGAAGCTTCTACATTTCTATTTTCCAAGAATTATGCTTGAAAATTTATGAGGAACCATGCGGACAGGCGCTAAGCGTTTTGCGGGCCCGGGAAAACCCTTTAAAAGTCCCTGAACTAAGGTTGCTCGAATGATGCAGCGATTCTGTAACAAGTTAGCTATCTGATGATTTAACAATAGAAGCAAAAAGTGCGTTTGGCGGGGTAGATACCATTTTTTGCTCATTCCTGGTCAGTATAGCTACTTTTTTCTGTCATTTCTTGAGCTTGTTGATGGAATATGAAATGGCATAGCCGAATTAATAAAGAAAGCTGAATGAGCGCTATGTCGAGCCTGAAGGTTATGCTCGGCTACCAAATCTATATTTTCTTAGGGTTTTGCCTAGAAAGATGCATTGAACTTTGTGGATTTTGTCGTTGCAGTTCTGGGGGTTCATTCGCTTCGTTTTCACTCTTAAAATCTGCTCAGAAAATTGCTTTTTTTCAGGCAATGTCCTTCTACGAGAAAGCGGGCACATCCGCGGCCGGACAGAGTCATCGTCGAACATGGAACACGTACGAGTACTCGTTGAAGGCGTCGGAAAGGGCCGCCCTCGAGAAAGAAGCCGAAGAGGGCACCAAGCCGAAGACGGCCCGCGAGTTGCTGCAGGCTCGCGACTACAGGGTCCGTTTATCGCCTTCTTTTCCGTGAATCCATCATTTTAGGTAGACCTCGAGTCGAAGGTGGGCAAAAGTGTGGTGATCAACACGACGGCCCCAAACTGCGATGCCGGCGGCTACTATTGCAATGTGTGCGACTGTGTGATCAAGGTAAATGGCGCTAAACTGTTGTTTTGAACGAAATATTCCTAGGATTCGATCAACTTCCTCGATCACATCAACGGCAAGAACCACCAGAAGAATATGGGGATGAGCATGAAGGTGAAGCGGAGTACACTCGACGATGTCAAGGCACGATTCGCCTTCAAGAAGAAAGAGCGTCAGTTTTTCGTTTGCGGCTGTTGTTGAGCATTTTATCGATGAAGATGTATGATTTTCTGTTTTCAGAAGTGAGCCAGAAGCGCGAGGAGCAGATCAAGGAGGCGCTGGAAGAGATTCAAGAAGAAGAGGCCCGAATGGTCGACTACAAGCAGGGAAAGCGGAAGGAGCGCAAGCGGTACGCCGTACGACTTTCCATGACGACAAAAACGCGCAATGCGGCAAGGCCAGGGAACGGAGGCCAAAAATTGCTGGCTTTATAGCTTCTGTGATGTTTTTAAGGGCAAACTTTCAGAATCTCCAAATTTCAAAAGCATAGATAGAAAATTTCGTTCAGCATTCGTGATTCGTTATTACGTTTCGAAATTAGCGCGAAAAATTACCCCCGAAAAGGTTTTCAAAGACGGCTTTTGGTAAAATTTTCGTCACACTCAATTCCCGCCAAAATTCCTGTGGTTTTCTGAACAAGGAAATTTCGAAATTCCGACATTTAGATATTCTGATCTTTAGAGATTCTGAGTTGTTATTCTGCTTTTAGAGATTCTGATAGGGCGCCGTCGTTAAGGTAGCTTTAGGATAGGTTTGTAGGCCACAAACCTCCATTCCACCGGGATTAATTTGGCTTGCCGGAGCTTTCGCTCGAACCTCGAAGTTTCGATTAAAACCGTTAGCCGTATCGATTTCTCGCAAAGTTTCTTGTTATTTTCTATCTTTTTAGCCAGCCGATCGTTGCAAAGCCATGTTTAGAGATTGTACGGGTGGGAATAGCCCTGTTTCCTAGATCGAGGGGTTCCAAGGCCGCTCCAGCGCTTTTTACGCGGGCCTCTGTATTTTGCTAACGTTCCAGAGGCTTCTTGTGCTCTTTTCTGGGCTGGGTAGATGTGAAAATCTTGTGAAAAAGCTGATTTAGGGCAAAAAAAAGATTTTTTAGCGTCCCGTCCCGTGGCTTGGCCCTGTTGCGCGCTTTTGCTGCCTCCACCTTGAACCTTTTCACGCATTCTGTTGCTTTTTTTTCAATCGCTCTCTTTCAGAAAAGCCGACCCAGAAGATGAGGACGATGGGCCATCAGCGGGCCCGAGCGGTCTCGACCCCGAAATGGCCGAAATGATGGGATTCGGCGGTTTCGGCTCATCCAAGAAGAAATAAGTCGTCTATATCTCTATCCTCCATTTCTGTATCCTTTCATTTCCCTCATCCATTCAAATGTATCCCCTCTCTCTTTCCCCCGATTCCGAATCGATCTTTTCTTTGTTTTTCTAATATTTTGTGCCGATTTTCGCGTATAAAAATTCGTTGTGAGCAGAAAACGATTAATAATTTTTATTCAGCTCGATTCAGAGTCGCGGAAATTCAGAATGGGAATTGTTCGCCGTTGCGGCGCAGATATGCGCCCGTGTGTGATTCGTCAATCTTCAGCATCGTCGCCACCATCTCTGTGCACGCCTCCTCGACCTGAAGATGTTCACGGATGGCAACACGGGCGGGATAACACGGAGCAAAAGCTTTTTACGTTCAGCTTATGGTGAAGAAGGAAACTCTGCAAGCACAAACCGTCGTGATGGCGCCATCTCCTCCCATTTCCGTTTTCACCCAACCGGGCACCAGCGAGCAGCACAGAATTCCGTCAGGGCGCAGGTCGATGGCCAGCGTGCGCATCACCTGGTTCTGGGCGGCCTGCAAGTCGTTTGTTTTGGTGCTGGGCTGTTAGCGGGGGGAGGGGGGGGCATTTTTAGCCGGGATAAAACCACATTTTTGATGATATATACCATTTTTCTCGTGTATTTTTGGTAGTTTTAGGTTTCTAGAAGGCTTTGCGGCACATTTTCTCGATGTCGGGAATCGTTTCGCGGGGTTTTAGCAGAGGAAATTTTAGCAAACCTTGCTCATTCTGCTGCCGATCGTGTGGAATTCGCCGATGCGGCTGCCCATCCTGGAAAAGGCCGGATTTTCGCGGGGAATGCGGGAAACTGGGCAAATCTTGCAAAATGACGTGTTTTAAGCCGCCAAAAAAGGTTTTGAAAGCCGGAATATACTTTTTAGGGCACGGCAATGTTTTTTGCGGCTTCATCACGAGGATTTTGGCATTTTTCAGACGTTTTAGGTTTTTCTAGGCTCAGAATTTCCAGCTCTCCTCACTTATTGTCGGCCAACGATCCGGTGGCCGAATTGATGAAGATGACCGCCGAGCGGGCGCAGCCAAATGAGGGATTATGCTGGAAAAGCTGTGTTTTTCTTTCTCTCTCTCTCTCTCTCTCTCTCTCTCTCTCTGTCTCTCTCTCTTTCTCTCTGGTCTACCTTCTTCACTCGATCCGCGGCGCATCGGAGAAGCGGAAGGAATTTCTGAACAGTGAAGAATACATGGAACAGTCGATTTCTCTACTTCCCTTGTCGGACTTGACGCACCTGGGTGATGACCAACGGGGCGACGGTGTTGATGTCGAGAATTTCGTGGAGACGCCCACGATCAGATGGTTCTTCGATCTAAAAAAATATTCAGCCCGAATTCGGTGGCGTAACCGGATAGTTGATGAGCACGCCGGCGTTGTGGATGAGGAGGGAAAGACCACCATCGCCCACACAAGTTTTTATCTGCAAAAAAAATTCTTTTTCTCGAATTTCTAAAATATAAATAGTGGAGGTGTTTATCAATGCTTTTTACTATTCTTAAACGTCAAAACTATACAATAATTTATCAAAAAATGTCAAAAATATCGATTTTCCGACTAAAAATGGCCGATTTTTGACAAAATTTCGACTTTTCAAAACTTTTTAGAAGTTTTTGATGAAGTTACTAGACATTTTAGACGTGTTCAAAAAAGTTTCGACTTTCTCAGAGAATTAAAAAAACTAGCGATTAAGTTACTAGACATTTCTAGAATGTGGCAAAAAGTCACCCCCCCCCCCCGATAATGCGAAAGAACCAAAAAAAAACCTGGTCGAAAGCCCTGGCAATAGTGTCGTCCTTCTGCACGTCGATCTCGACGATCGTCAGCCGATCGTCCGACGACGCCAGCGCGTTCAGCTCCTGAATTTAATGTTTCCGCAGGCAAAATCCCACTAGAAAATCTGGAAAATCGGGATTTCGTTTTTTTTTGAACGTCCTGCAGGGTAAAAAAGTATTATTTGGTAGATAAATCGCAGCGTTGAGTAAAAATAACAAAAACACCGGAGAATTTCCTGTCATAATCGCAAAAACCCGATAAATCTGTTACGGTGGCGCGTGACTTGTCGCGAACGGTGGCGAAGCAGTGCTGGACGCCGGGCAGCTTCAGGAATTCGCGGACGCCCCCGGAAATCCTAAAGAACCCTTATGCATAATGTTAATTCCTGCAAAGCCCAAAAAGGAGGTGATTATATCGTTATGTTTGAAAGTATCATTTCCCCTCGCAGATTTCCTAGATTTATTCCAGTTGTAATGTTTAAATGATGCGATACGGATGATTTTAATTTTACGGATATTATCTTACTGGTTGCGAGAATAAACGTTTTGAGAAGTATTTCGCGATTAGAAAGAAATGCATTTCAAGGGAGACAAGGGATTAGCAAAGTTGGTGCAATTTGGAAGAATTTGCATAGGAATCGATCGGGAAGACATCTGGATGGGTTTGAACGCAGAATGGGTGCGGGGGTAAGTAGAAAGTAGAGATGTTAAGAATCAATTAACAATCAAGATTATTTGCATACAGTGGAACAATGTTATTTTATTTGGATGGGGCTGTGCGTATGACCAAGTAAAAATAATATTATTTGACTCCGCTCGAGAAAGAGCCAAGTAAAATTACTTGATTTACTTGATTTAGTTGATCAAACTATAGCTTCTTGGAATTCTGGCATTTTTCGGATGGTGATGAACTTTATGACATGATCGCATGCTAATTTACTGGGTTCGCGGCACGATTGCCTGATTTGCATTGCGAATTTGCACAAAATCAAGTAATTTCGCTGAAAATCAAGTAATTCTCCCAAATCAATCAAGATCAAGCAAATCAGGTAATTTTATTTTACTTGATGCTTATTCAAGCAAACGAAGTAAAATAATTTTATATTTACTTGAAGATTTCAGATGCAAATAGAGTTGTTCAAGCAAATTTACTTGGTCATTATATTACTTGATTCGTAACATCTCTAGTAGAAAGTGACGAGTCAAGGGTCCCTGGTTCGAATCCCCGCCGCGACAAATTTTTTGCTTTTTTGAAAAATATCAATAGAACCAATTCGGAATTACGAGGGCAAATCCTGAAGAGCCGGACAGCGGCAAAGAATGCAATTGCAAAACCTTTCCGGAACATCAGGAAACTGATACGCAATCATGTGACAAATCGGGAAGGACCGGAAACCTTTCCGGAACATCCGGAAGCACGGGGAAAATTTTAACGGACCGGAAACGGAGCCGATTCTGAAACATCCTGCAAAATTTCCGGAACAAACGGTACCAACCGTTAACATATCGGGAGTCTGGTTTGAAAAGGGAGTCTGGAGTCGACTCCATGCAGGTTTGATGTGCGGTCGATCAACCTCCACGACTTCGAACTTAACGGACGCCACCTTATTTTTAATCTCTTTCGCTTTACCGGTATAAAAATATGGATTTTTTTTGTGCCTCATTTCCATCCCTGGGTTGGTTGCCCATATTAGCATGTTCGCCAGAATGGCACCGATTCTCAGGAGTATGCCGCCATTATATCTCTCCTCCTCCTCCTCGAGATGGCCGTACCGGAGGACCGCGATGAGGTAACTCTCTAAAGGGATTAAAAAGTCTGGTCCATCACCCCTCCCTCCCCCTGCTACGTCGATTTCCCGCAAATAGCTAATGACTGCTGCAACGCAAAAATATGTTCTTGAGCTTCTGCTGCGGCCTGAAAGATTGCAAGAAGGCAAGAATTTGCAAATCCTGGCGCGATTTCTGCAGTCCTCTGACGATTTTAATCATGCTCGCTCTCTTAATTATCAAACTTGGCGAGCCAATTAGGGCTAAATTGCGTTATATGGTCACTAAACGGATTTTGGATTTTTATATACCAAAATGTTCAGCAGTTCGAGCTGGTTCAGGATCAGTTGAAAAAACTATTGGGAAACACTTCTGGAGCGAGTTATAACATTTCAAAGTTGGCGAGTGTCGTATTTGGTCACTAAACGGATTTTCGATTTTCATATGTCAAAATGCTCAGCGGGCCGAGCTGATTCTAGAACAGTTGAAAAAACCTTTGGGAAATACTTCTGGAGCGAGATATACCACTACAAAGTTTGGCGTCACCCCGGCCCACTACATAACGTTGTCGCCCCGGCGAGTCAGTTTTCGGGGTTGCGAAAAATGGTTGGGTTCGAAATGGGTTTGGCATGAAACTACACACCCGATCTGAGCCTAAAAATAAGGCTTCGTGCCACCGGGGGCCTAGTCGCTTCGGATGGGTGCGAGCTCGTACAGGGTTTCGAAATGGGGGCGCCAAGGCCGGCGAAGCGGCCGGGGGCGCCCCCATTTCGAAAGAGTGGAGCGGCAGCCCATCCGAAGCGACGGCCCACCTTGCCTGACTCATGGGAGTACGTTGAATAATATACCACTTATGAGATATACCACTTCGAAGTTGGGCTTCAAACAGCCCCCTATATACCATGTTTTTGCCCCGGAAGTTCCGTTTTAGGGGGCAGGCAGATGGATAAGTGTGCGATAAGCGTTTGGCTTGACATTACACACTCGATCTGAGCCTGAAAATAAGGCTTCGTGCCACCCCGGGGCCTAGTCGCTTCGGATGGGTGCGAGCTCGTACAGGGTTTCGAGATCGGGGCGCCCGAGGAGTGCGAAGCGCCCAGGCGCCTCGATTTCGAAAGAGTGGAGCGGCAGCCCATCCGAAGCGACGGCCCACCTTGCCTGCCCATGTATTTTTTTACCCTTGAAACGGCAATTCTCTACCATTCCGTTTCTTTCCGATGTACAGTTGGCGTATGTTGGTGTACTACGTACTACTTCAGGGGCTGAATGGACGGTTTGTAAGCTAGATATCTCGCGACAGAGATTTTTCCCAAAAGTTTTTTCAACTGATCTAGAATCAGCTCGACCTGCTGAGCGTTTTGACATATAAAAATCGAAAATCCGTTTAGTTACCATATACGACACTCGCCAACTTTGAAGTGTTATAACTCGCTCCAGAAGTGTTTCCCAATAGTTTTTTCAACTGATCCTGAACCAGCTCGAACTGCTGAACATTTTGGTATATAAAAATCCAAAATCGGTTTAGTGACCATATAACGCAATTTTCCCCCAATTAGGAGAATCGAAAAACGGAAGTCATTACGAAATGTTATCTCCGCAGCCCAAAAAATTGATTTTGCCTCAAAAATATTAAACCATTTACAGAAAGACGGTGCATTCCGGAGGTTCGTCACGAAGATAAGAGGCAAGAAGGAGAAGCGCGATGTTGGTTATTGGTTTGACAATAAAGGGCAAATTTTAGTGCTTCCACTGCAGTACGCCGACAACACAGGGCCCGCTCTACGGCGTCATCATCTGCCCTTCCTGCCAGAAGAAGGCGGGGTTAGTTTGAATTCAGCTTCCGTACTGGGCTATTAGCGGGGGGGAGGGGGTTTCCCCAGGGATACCACACAGCCCGCCCCACAAAATATGAACCATTTCTAAGACGCTTTACAGCGTTTTTTTTGGATTTGAATATGATTTCGAACATTTTTGATCTATTGCGAAAAATGTTTGAAGAATGAGCGAAAAACGCAAAAAAATAGATTTACAACTTTCTAACATTGAAAAACTACGAAAACGCGCTAAATATACATTTTTATGTTACCACAGGTTGATGTGGAACGACAAAAATTCGGATCCCCCCCCGCTAACAGCCGAGTACCCAGATTTATTTAATTTATAAATCCTAGGCCATGGGCAAGATCGGCTAAACCGTGTTGCCAGCGTATGAAGGGATGTGATGATTTGGCCATCTACGTGGACGACATGTAGGCCAAAAGTTTATTGCAAAATATCTCTTGATAGCGGTTTTGCCGAGGCCGAGTTGGAGGCGTACACGCGTATTCTGGAAATCCTGAGAGGTAAGTATTGCTCTTCGATAATGCATAAAGTTAATTTTTAGGCAGGGCATGCTGGTACTGCCAGATCGTTGCCACGCCGCTCGCCCGTGCAGTCACAGATTGGAAGGGCCAGCAAGCACCTGGGAAAACTCGTATTATTTAGCTTGGATGCAAATTATGATAATTTAGGAGGCGCCCGACGGGCAGCTGCCCCCGCCGCGACAACCATCATCGGAATGCTCCTCTTCTTCATGCTGCTCGGAATGGCCACTGCAACCTCCAGTACGAGTTATACAAATTTGGGTTTTTCGCATTAGCAAGGGGGGGGGGGCAACATTTCTAAAACTCGAGTTTTTCTAAGGTGTTTTTTAAGTTAAAAAAATAGATTTTTCGTCCAAAATAAAACTACGAAAACACGCTAAATATACATTTTTATGTTACCACAGGTTGATTTGGAACGGCAAAAATTCGGATCCCCCCCCCCGCTAACAGCCGAGTACCCAGATTTATTTAATTTATAAATCCTAGGCCCTGGGCTCGCTCGGCTAATCCGTGTTGCCAGCAAACAAAGGGATGTGGCGATTTGGCCGTCTACATTGACGACGTGTAGGCCAAAAGTTTATTGCAAAATATCTCTTTATAGCGGATTTGCCGAAGCCGAACTCGACGCTTACACGCGTATTTTGGAAGTCCTGAGAAGTAAGTATTGCTCTTCGATAATGCATAAAGTTAATTTTCAGGCCGGGCTTGCTGATACTGTGAGATCGTTGTGACGCCGCTGGCCCGTGCATTGACAGACTGGAGGAGCCAACAAGAACCTGGGAAAACCCGTATTATTTCGCTTGGATGCAAATTATGATAATTTAGGCGGCGCCAAACGGGCTGCTGCCCCCGTCGCCACAAACATCATTGGAATGCTGCTCATCGTGTTCATGCTGCTCGGAATGTCTACTGCAACCTCCAGTACGAGTTATACAAATTTGGGTTTTTCGCATTAGCAGGGGGGGCAACATTTCTAAAACTCGAGTTTTTCTAAGGTGTTTTTAAGTTAAAAAAAATAGATTTTTCGTCCAAAATTTCAGCGAAATTTGTTATTATTTTCCTACTGGAAAGATAGTTAAATTTTAGTAAAGACATTATTAAAATAATTACTTCTTACTGCTAGGTTACTCGCATTTTTGGCCTTATTTGGTAAAATCCCTCGTTAATGCGAAAGAACCCAATCTTTCGTATTAACGACTTATAATCTGCTTTCAGCGACCTACGACGAGCTCGAGCGAGGCGACCTCTACGGCCTCAACCAATACAAGAGCCAACTATTCGCCAATCAATTCGAGTACGATGCCGTTCACCTGTTCGGCGTCGTCGAGCGGTATCAGCAAAAGTGGAAGCTCGCCGACCAGCTCGCCAACGACTTGGACGACAAATGTCAACAGCACGAGGATGACGCCTTCGCCAAGGACGAGAGGATTCGGAAGCTTGAAGCGGAACGATGCCCGAGCGCAACTCGCTGCGCAGCTTTCGGAGAGCAACGCGCTCAAGTTGGACTTGAAGGACCTGGAGGCGAAGTTCAAGTTCGTCCAGGTGTGTCTTCAACTTTCTAGCATTCAAAAACTACGAAAACGCGCTAATACAGGGTGTTTTAAAAAACGACCCATCTGGCATTTCGCCGTGTTACATCCAATCGGTACCAAATTTGGACCAGAGGTGTATCAGACCTTTTGACTTTTGCACGGATTCTGCTGCTTTTGTTCAATCGATATCTTTCAGAAAAGCCGACCCAGAAGATGAGGACAATGGGCCATCAGCGGGCCCGAGCGGTCTCGACCCCGAAATGGCCGAGATGATGGGATTCGGCGGTTTCGGCTCATCCAAGAAGAAATAAGCCTTCTATATCTCGATTATCCACTTCTGTATCCTTTCATTTCCCTCATCCGTTGAAATGTATCCCCCTCTCTCTTTCCCCCGTTTCCGAATTGATCTTTTCTTGGTTTTTCTAATATTTTGTGCCGATTTTTCGCGTATAAAAATTCGTTGTGAGCAGAAAACGATCAATAATTTTTATTCAGCTCCGATTCAGAGTCGCGGAAATTCAGAATGGGAATTGTTCGCCGTTGCGCCGCAGATATGCGCCCGTGTGTGATTCGTCAATCTTCAGCATCGTCGCCACCATCTCTGTGCACGCCTCCTCGACCTGAAGATGTTCACGGATGGTAAATAGGACAGAAGCTAGGTTCTTTCGCAAGATCGGGTAAAAGAACGCAACTTTTCCTGATGATCCAATTGTTTCTAAACCGTTTTTGCTATTCGGATTATTGCTTTGTTAAGCACAAACCGTCGTGGTGGCGTCATCTCCTCCCATGTCCGTTTTCACCCAACCGGGCACCAGCGAGCAGCACAGAATGCCGTCGGGGCGCAGGTCGACGGCCAGCGTGCGCATCACCTGGTTCTGGGCCGCCTGCAAGTCGTTTGTTTTGGTGCTGGGCTGTTAGCGGGGGGTGCATTTTTAGCCGGGATAAAACCACAATATTGATGATATATACCGTTTTTCTCATGTATTTTTGGTAGTTTTAGGTTTCTAGAAGGCTTTGCGGCACGTTTTCTCGATGTCGGGAATCGTTTCGCAGGTTTTAGCAGAGGAAATTTTAGCAAACCTTGCTCATTCTGCTGCCGATCGTGTGGAATTCGCCGATGCGGCTGCCCATCCTGGAAAAGGCCGGATTTTCGCGGGGAATGCGGGAAACTGGGCAAATCTTGCAAAATTACGTGTTTTTAAGCCGCCAAAAAAGGTTTTGGGAGCCGGAATATACTTTTTAGGGCACGGCAATGTTTTTTGCGGCTGCATCACGAGGATATTGGCATTTTTCAGACGTTTTAGGTTTTTCTAGGCTCAGAATTTCCAGCTCTCCTCACTTATTGTCGGCCAGCGATCCGGTGGCCGAATTGATGAAGATGACCGCCGAGCGGGCGCGGCTAAATGAGGGATTATGCTGAAAAAGCTGTGTTTTTCTTTCTCTCTCTCTCTCTCTCTCTCTCTCTCTCTCTCTCTTTCTCTTTGCCCTACCTTCTTCACTCGATCCGCGGCGCATCTGAGAAGCGGAAGGAATTTCTGAAAAGTGAAGAATACATGGAACAGTCGGTTTCTCAGCTTTTCCTTGCCGAACTTGACGCACCTGGGTGATGACCAACGGGGCGACGGTGTTGATGTCGAGAATTTCGTGGAGACGCCCACGATCAGATGGTTCTTCGATCTAAAAAAATATTCAGCCCGAATTCGGTGGCGTAACCGGATAGTTGATGAGCACGCCGGCGTTGTGGATGAGGAGGGAAAGGCCACCATCGCCCACACAAGTTTTTATCTGCAAAGGATCGTGGTTCTTTCGCATTATCGGAGGGGGCAGCAACTCTTTTTTTCTTCGGGTCGAATTCTTTAGATAGAAATAGTGAAAGTGTTCCTAAACGTAAAAACTATGCAAAATCTTGTCGAAAAGTGCCAAAATCATAGGTTTTTCGACCAAAAATGGCCGATTTTTGACCAAAATTTGGACTTTTCAAAACTTTCTAGAAGCATTTTCTAGTTTAAATACAGTTATTTGTTCTTAAAGAACTATCAAAAAACCAGCTATGCAGTTACTAGACATTTTAGACTGGTTCAAAAAAGTTAGGCCCCCCGATAATGCGAAAGAACCAAAAAAACCTGGTCGAAAGCCCTGGCAATAGTGTCGTCCTTCTGCACGTCCATCTCGACGATCGTCAGCCGATCGTCCGACGACGCCAGCGCGTTCAGCTCCTGAATTTGCTGTTTTCGCGGGCAAAATCCCACTAGAAAATCTGGAAAATCGGAATTTCGTTTTTTTGAACGTCCTGCAGGGTAAAAAAGGTATTATTTGGTAGGTAAATCGCAGAGTTCCGTAAAAATAACGAAAATGCCGGAGAATTTCATATCGGAATCGAAAACCCCGATAAATCTGTTACGGTGGCGCGTGACTTGTCGCGAACGGTGGCGAAGCAGTGCTGGACGCCGGGCAGCTTCAGGAATTCGCGGACGAAGCCGAGGCCGAGACCTGCAAGAAAAATACAGATAATATACGAAAAATCAGATGCGATACCTCGACCGGCGCCGGTGATCATCACACTCTCCGGATGCGCGCCCGCCATCGCTAAAAAGGTCGGGTAAAATTTGGGGCTGTTCAGCTTCTCGTCTAGGAAAATAATACAATCGTTAAAAATGTATGTAAAGTGTAATGATCCTGTTTGTTTCAAGATAACAACGCATTTAGAATACACTAAAAACCCCACGGAATTTAGCGATTTTTAGGAGGAACCCGGTTTGGTCGTTTTACAAACCTTTTGGGGATGATTTTCCCTTTGAGAACTAGCAAAAACCATGTAAAACGATATTAAAACTAATGAACTTATACAGGGACGTAGCGTAATACCGGCCCCGGGGGCCCGGGGCCCCCCCGAAATCGGTCGGGGCCCGAAAATTTCATAAGGGGGGACCCTTATGATTTTCATTTTTTCAAAAATTTTGCTGCCTGCGGCGCTATTTTTTCACGTTTTTACGGCTATTTGTAGAGCTATTTAACCATTTTTTCAAAAATTTTTGCCTGCGGCGCTGTTTTCTCGTTCATCTTTTGAGTTTTTTGGAAAAATTTTTTGGGGCCCCCCCCCCCAAAAATTTTTTCTGGCTACGCCCCTGAACTTATATTTAGGCGCTGTATGAAGGGAAACTAGGCCGGAAATAGTTCGAAAATTCAACGACTCGAATTCGACGGTTCTTTAGGATTCGCGGGGGGACCAATTTTTTCCTGGCAACGGTTGACCTAGTAATCAAATATAAAGTGTTTTCACATTGTTTTTAGTAAATTTGAACTACAGGGTGTCCCAAAAAAAAGACCCCCCCAAAAATTTGAGCCAGAGGGCACCTACGGGGCTGAAAATTTGCACAGAGGTAGCGAAGCCAATTTTCTATGAACAAGGAAAGTTTCAGCCCGATCGGCTTGCGGGTTTTAAAGTTATAGCGAAAATACTTTTCAGTTTTAATTTAATATGGGGATCTATGCAATTTGCATAAAAAATATGCGTTATTCTTGCATTTACGAGTCGATTTTGCATAAATTTTGCCGAAAAATGCCATTTTCTTGATGGAGCTTTTGGAAAACGATTGCTCGTGTAGCGAGAAAATGATCAGCAAGAGCGATGAATACCAGACCTCATGGCGGAAACTATCGTTGAACGCTTGAGTTTGGCCTAGACTTCGGCGCAAGCGCCAACATAAGCCCAAATCTAACCTTCAACACTATTTTCGAGCTCGTCAAATTACGTTTTCGGGCCGACGAAGCTCAGATTGCCAAAATGTACAATAACACGTGAATTGGATCGATAAAACAGTTGTTTTAACACTCTTTTTATTCTTCATACGCAATCGTCTTCCAAAAGCTCCATCAAGAAAATGGCATTTTCGGCAAAATTTATGCAAAATCGGCTCGTAAATGCAAGGATAACGCATATTTTTGATGCAAATTGCATAGATCCCCATATTAAATCAAAAATGAAAAGTATTTTCGCTATAACTTCAAAACCCGTAGGCCGATCGGGCTGAAACTTTCCTTGTTCATAGAAAATTGGCTTCGCTACCTCTGTGCAAATTTTCAGCTCCGTAGGTGCCCTCTGGCTCAAATTTTTGGGGGGGGTCTTTTTTTTTTGGGACACCCTGTATATTTAAAGCGGAAAAACTATCAAAAAATGTTAGAAAAATGTTTGAAAAGTCGAAAATTTGGTCATTATGGGTCCCTCCCCCCCTCCCGCGAATCCTAAAGGCTCTATAGGTTTTTGCGACCTAAAATTAAATTTTTTAATTAAAATTTGCGTAGTTTTCATGAAAAGGAATAGTGCAAAAAAAATTTAGAAACGCATCCGCTATTTATAAAAAAAATTACGCTTGTGCCGAAAAAAATTTGATCCCCCCACCCGCGAATCCTAAAGAACCAACGAATCCCCCGGAGAAATATAAAAATAAGAATTAAAACCCGAATAAATCTGTCAAATGACGGTGCTAATGCAGTTGGGTGGGGGGGGGGGGGCAGTCCGAAATTGGTAGTAAGGGGTTACGAGACGCTCCGCTTAAGCTACTTGGGTTTCGGCTGAGCGCAGGCTTAACTTAGCCTTAACTATGCCTAGCTTAGGCGTAGGCTTAAGCTTAAGCCCAAGCTAAGCTTAACTTAAGCTTTAAATTGCCTCAGGGTCAAAATAGGGTCATTTAGGGCTAAGCTTAGAGCTAAGCTTAGCTTGGCTCAAGCCAAGCTCAGGCTTTGTTTGTATGAAACTAAGCCTAGGCTTAGGCTTGGCTTAGGTTTTCCAGAGGCTTCGAGTTTAAAAAAACGGCATTTGGAGCGTCTTGTAGTCAAAATCCGGACTGCCCCCCTAAGTGCATTAGCACCAAATTACGTAATGGTAATTTCGAAAAGCCCACACGCGAATGGGCGATTCGATCCAGGGACAAGGAGGCGATTTTTCGTGAGGAAAACGCCGAGAAAACGGCGATTTTGCATCGGAAATAAGCCAGCAAAACAGAACGGAGAAAATGACACGCCGGTGCAGTCGGCAAATTTTCGGATTTAAATTTTTCCATTAAATTTCGACCAAAAATTCAAAACGTTCGGAAACGACGTAAAGCAAAACGCTAATTTTAATTCGGCTTTCAGAGCATATTTAGCTGGCGTGTACGATTGCCCGCTAACCGTGAAAAACCCAAAATTTCTCGGAAAAACGTGGAAAACAAACAGCCGCTTTTCTTAGCGTGTACCATTGGCATGCAAGTAAATGTTGGGCAGAAAATTTATTCGAATTAAACGCTGAAAAATGCATAAAGCTAAAAAATGTGTTGAATTTAGAATGGGAACGGGTCGCCGTTGCGGCGGAAAAATCCGCCGGTATGCTGCTTTTCCCATTTGGAGAATGTGGCCACCATCTCCGAGCACGACTGCTCCACCAGCAACAAAAGGATTATGGACGTTTTAAAGGGCCGCGAAAAGCATAATTTTGGGATTTTGTCGCGCACGCGGGATCGCCGTTTTGATAGGTTCTTTGGCATTATCGGGGGACCTGCGTTTCTCTTAGGATCCCATTTTTCAAATATAAACCGTTTTCTTCTACTCCGAAACGTGCAAAATTTACAAAATTTCACTAAAAAAGAGCTAAAATATAGATTTTTCGACCAAAAATGGTTCTAATAAATTCGAAAAAATAATTCTATTGTTTCGATTTAGGTTTCTGATAAATCTTGAGACATTGCTAGATTTATACAAAAAAATTAGCCTCCCCCCGATAATGGGAAAAAACCTTTTCGTAGCACCATGAATTCCGAGAGTTTCAGGACCGCCAAGCCGCGTGTGCGCTGCGTGTCGTGGTGCGGCAGACTCAGATTTTGACGTGCCGCGATACGTAACGCGTACGCTCGCCCGCCTTTTCCCCCGCCCTCTGCCCCTTTAGCTGGCCGCAGTCGGGTCCGATTTTCACGATTTAGGTATCTATCGAAAGCTCTCGAAAAGACGAGTCCAGCACGTCCCTCTGATTCTCAAAGTTCTGACATTTATCTAACATTTATTAATATTCTTAAGCAACGGGCGGATTTTCTGACGGTTTTCTGACCTAGGGTTTACTAAAAAAAACGCAGTTTAGGGATTTTCAGGCTTTTTCTGGCAGCTGAAAAGCAGCTTTTTGAAAGCCATTTGCTAAAACAACTTGGATAGCGCTTAAACCGGCTAAATTCAGTTTTTGACAGAAAAGCGCGTCCTTTCACAAGAAAAATACCAAAAATTGCGTAAAAAAAATCCCGAGATTTCGGAAACCGGGTGGCGTGCTGGGTTCGGCCTTTTAAGAGCTTTCGATAGATACCAAAATCGTAAAAATCGGTCATGACTGCGGCCGGCTAGGGGCGAGGATTTTTGGGCGCCCGGTAGATTCACGTGTCGCGGCGCTGTTAGTCCCGATTTTTGTAGACCCACCGTAATCTCGGCGCTCTTCCCTCCCATATCGGTGAGAACATGGCCCGGGGCTACAGAAGCCACGAGAATGCCCTCTTTCGACAGATCCACGGCCAGCGTCTTCATCAGCTGATTCAGGGCCGCCTCAACAACGTCGTTTTCACGCCGTTTTTATGCAAATTTTGCGTCAAATTCCCGTTTTCCAAATCATTCACGAAATCTATTCGATAGAGCTGCGAATTCTGGACCAGATGCAGCCCTTAAAAGCGCAAAATACCGACAATAGACCGGAAAAATTGGTGGGTAAAGGAAAAAAAAATTAAAATTCTAGGGAAAAGCGGTGTTTTTGACGCGATTTTTGGCGATTATCGTACCCGATCAACCTTTTTGAGAGGTGGGGTCGGTTCAGAATTTTGCGCTCTATCGAATGGACCCGGTTTTGGCTGCGAAAATCTACTGTAACCCTAGGGAAATCGCGAAAAATGGGCAATTTTCCACCTTGCTGAGCCGGTAGGCGAGATTGCCATTCCGACTTCCGCTTCCGTTATCGACGATTGAGGCCGCGCCGGAGGACATCATTATCTAAAGGATTGGCTAAAAGAGAGAGATAGAGAGAGAGAGAGAGAGAGAGACAGACACAGAGAGGGAGAGTGAGAGGGAGACCCGATTTTTGCCTTCTCACTCCCTTTAAAACGTTTTAACAACGTACGATAGCGGCGCGATGGACGCCCCAATCTTCTGAGGAAGCGGCGTTCCGGAGAAGTGGCAGGAAATACTAAGAAACCAGGTTTAAATATTTTTAGACCAATTTACCTGGGTGACGATGAGTTGGGAGGTTCCGTTCACATCCAATACACGATTCACAATATCTCGATTCGGGGTGGCATCCATCTGAAAAAAGGGCCTCAAGTTCAAGCGAGAGGGTGAGCGAGAGAGAGAGCAAGAGCGAGATAGAGAGATATTGTGCCAGACTCCAAACCACAAACCGGATACGCCTCCCAGATGCCGGCGTTGTTGATCAACAAGTTCAGCCCGTCGGCCCCGACCACTTTTTCGACCTGGAAAATGACATTAAGCTGCATATTTACATGAATTCCCGAGTCGAAAATTCCTAAATGAGCGCTGCTAGCCTGCCCAGTTTTCCGTGAATTACCTGCTGGGCGGCGGCCTTGATCGTCTCATCCTTTTGGACGTCCATCTGGACGAGGTGAAGCCGGGGGTCCGAGAGGGATTTTAGCTCCTATAAAATCACAGCGATTAATTATAGCCAAACGCCGTAAATTAAAGTAAAATTCAGCCTTTAATTCATAAAACAAAATGCCGACAATTAAACGAGTACAGCAAAAAAATGCCGATTCCAAGAATTAATACCGATGCCGACAATTATCGAGTTTCGACATTTTGAAGGCCTGGAGATTTTTGTCGGGCGTTTTCCGGTATGGTGGCGGCCAGAAAACGCGGTTTCACCCCCGAAATGGATACCTTAGCCGAGGGGAGATCGCGAGCCGTGGCGAAGACATGTTGAACACCATCGAGGCCGAGATAGGCATGGACAAGGCCCAGGCCGATACCTACAGAGAAATCGCTTATTTTCATTTATCATTTCAATTTCAATTTATCCATATTTTTTTACGATTTTGGTATCTATGAGCAACTCTCGAAAAGGCGAGTCCAAGTCTTTTTTCCCAAGACTTCTTGTTGAAATGAATCGTCGAGGTGTTGCTAACTGTGAGCTCTTTTGTACTATTCCCAAACGTAAAAACTTTACAAAGTTTGATTTTAAAAAATACAGAAATTAGCGACTTTTGAGCAAAATTTCGGCTTTTTTGAAAATTTTGTCAGCCTTTTTAGATAGTTCAGATATTTATATAGTGAAATACAGTTATATTTTTTTTATAAACATTACGAAAATACTTCCCATCCATTCTCTAGGCATTTCTAGATTAATGCAAAAATCGGCGCCGCCAAAAAATACCTCGATTCGCTCCGGTGATCAGGACGCTTTTTGGCACGTGCATTTTCGGCTGTTTCTCGAGCTGCAACAAACATTTTGAAGGTATAAAAAGCAGCGGAGAATGGCGGTGTTTGAGAAAGGAAAAATTGTCACTTTAATGGCATAAAAATTAGGAAAAATTTCTGGAACGGAAAATTGTCCAAACTGCGCGAATCTCGCGTTTACACGGCCCCCATGTTATCGCGTTATGACGGAAAAAAACGGGCTGCCGGAGTGGAGGGTGTAAACACGCCTTCCCTCGTCTCTCTCTCTCTCTCTCTCTCTCTCTCTCTCTCTCGCTCTCTCTCTCCCTCTCTCCTCTAATTGTAACCATAGCACTCAGCGCACAAAAGCTACATGTGTAAACGGTGAAAAGACGGTGAAAGTTGCCAGCAAGACGGTGAAAATTGGCTAGAAAACGCGGGAAAAGTTGAAAAAGCGATGGGAACACGGCAAGTGACATTCTCTTCACCTCAAAACACACTTTTTTTAGCAAAAACCCTCGCTTTCTAGAGGTTTCTAAGGCGCCATGGAAGGCAGAAATTTACGAAAAATTCGAAAAATATGTTCACTTTGGAAGTCTTGACCCGAAAAAACTGTTGGATCTCCATGACACGAATCCGAGAAAACACGTGACGTGACAAATGATTTTAAAAATATAAAATAACTGTTTCTTCAGTTTAACGGGCAATTGAGGCCAGAAATCCGCGCAAAATTCGAAAAAATTGGAGTCTTCTGAAATGGCCTTCCGAAACTGAATTTCAAAACCCTCAAAAAAATATCCTTTCGCCTGCCAGAAAACGTACGGCACGGATCGTACAGTCGGCCTCACCAGATTGCTCATGTTTTAAATACGAATACGACCTTCTAAAGGACCATTGAAGGCAGAAATTTACTAAAACGCGGAAAACGTTTGGCTTTTTGGGTTTTAGGATCCGGAAAAAAGCATTTTACCTTAAAGAAAAAGCATGGTTTTCCTCAAGTGATTGCTCTGGTTTTCGGCACGAATAAGATGGATGCTAAAAAGAGACAATAGGGAATGAAATAACAAATTGAATCGAATCGAATCGAAAAACAATGAAGGAGAGAGACAAATAAAGAAAGCAGCTACCTGATTTTACAAAAATCTGGCTTCTTCGAAATTACGAATTACCGGGAATATCTCGTTTTACGACGAAACAACGGGCAATTAAGCCTTTAAAAATCGTTAAAGGAGCTATCAAGTCACAAGTTCATAAAAACCGGTTTTCTCACGAAAATCTTTATCCGGTGCGTTATTTTTCTATACATAATCTAATAAAGAAAGAGGTCCCAAAAATGCGGGGAAAACATCTGGGCGAGTGATAAGATAAGCTAGAGCGAGCGAGAGAGCGAGAGAGAGAGAGAGGGAGAGAGCGAGAGAGAGGGAGAGAGAGACATCGTTATGAATAGTTACAATCACAATGTGCAGTAATTATGGCAAATCGGGAAAGGGAATTACATGACGTAATCGGATGGCGAAAAAGAGTCTAAAAGCGCAAATTCAGCCCAAAAAGCGCTTTTAAAAATTAAAGAAATCAAAAAGCTAAAAAATCGTCTCATTTTCAAGGCAGGAGCAGAATAACATGGCGTAATCGGATAGCCCTACATGCCGAAAAAAAACATAAAATAGGCAATAAAAATTCGTTAAATCGGAAATACATGTCATAATATAAGTAATAATCATGGGATTCTCAAAAATCAGACAAAACCTGTCGATTAGTGTCGCAATTGGTAGAGCGGAAGTGGAGCGTCGAAGATGGCCCGTCGACTGCATTCCACCACGGCCTCGGCCAGACGGAACACGCCCGTGTCCCTGAAACGAAAAATGGAAATTAAATTTTGCTTGTAAACATTTTTAAAAACTAGAAAACATTTTCACTGAAAATTTTCAAAAATTTATATTTCGGATTTTTAATGAAATTAATTTAATTTAAAGTTGATGAAGCCAAGTTACAAAATGCGAACCTAATACACAATAAAATTCGTCACCCCCCGCTAAAACACCAGTTTCCATAACGAATTCTCCAGAAATTCTTGGCGCTTTTGCCTTATTGGAGGGCGGGTATTTCTTCACCCCAAGACCTTGATCAAATCACGCTTGATTAAAAAAATTAGAAAACTAGGAAAGCCTTCAAAAAATGAGATTTTCCGTTTTTCATCAACATTTTGCGAAAATAAAATTACGGTTAAGGATAGCAAAAAATAGTGCGGAAGCATTTTCTTCATTTAAGAAAAGGTTCTTTCGCATTATCGGGGGGGGGGGGATTCTTTTGGTATAATCCTAAACTGCCTAATAACCTATTGAGAAGTATTTTAACAATGGTTTTGGCAAAAAAAAACTGTTTTTCAACTAGAAAAGCTGTCTCAAAACTATCAAAAACTTACCAAAAAGTCAAAATCTGTAATGGAAAACATTTTGCCCCCTCCCCCCCCCCCCCGATAACGCGAAAGCTCCAAGAAAAATATTTGTTTTTGAGCAAAAAACTTTTCAATGTTTCAATTTAAATTTCAAAAACATTACAAAAAAATGGGCACCTGGGATGCTCGAGCCCTCTGCGCATCCGTCTCCGCATCACGGCCACGAATTCACGATTCGACAGCTTGCCGTCCTAAATCGGGAAATTACGCTTCAAAAAACGTCTCAAATGCTACCATATTCTCGTCGAAAAGCGTGATGACGACGTCGACGACGTGCTCAGTCAATTCCACGTTCGTCACCTGGAATCCAAAAATAAAAGTAAATAACTTTAATAATTAAATACTAAAATGGGTGGCCAAAATAAAATGTTTCTTTAACATTAAACAGCTAACATATAAAAAATTATAATCCCATAAATCTAGCAAATTTAAATAGGTAAAATTTTTAAACCAACAAAAACGATCATTAAATTTTTTTCAATTTTTCAACATTTTAGAAAATGCGTCAAATCAATAGAAGAAAACTTGCAAAAATTTTTATATAATCAAAGGAAAAATTAAATAAAAGATAATTAAAAATACTGAATAGCTCAAAATTCATTAAATTAATATACGCACAAAATTAGTAAAAAATCGTGATTAAAAAATGAATAATTTAGAGTAGAAAATTGCGACCTTCCTGGCGACGTGCTGCAACATGTTTGCATCAATGGGGACGCCGGCCATTCGATGGAAATGGAGGGCCATGTCCACCTCTTCGATGTGGTACAACAACGCGAACAGGGACACCACCTGCAACAAATGGCACTTAATGTTAGATTTGTGGATTTTGATTCCGCAAAGATTCCCCGCTAGCCTGCCCTCCTACAATCCACGATTTTGAACGTAATTAAATGAATTAAATTTATAAAAATTCCTGTAACAATACGGGCCTAGGTCCTGAAGAATCTCTGCTAGTTCGCCCTCCATTCCCAAAAGATCCCGGCTAGTATGCCCAAAATTCCCAAAAACTCCTTGCTAGTCTGCCGCCATATTCGTCAAAAATTCTGCTAATTTGCCTCGCTAGAATTTTCTTTCCCAAATGGCCTCTGCTCGCTTGCCCCCCTAAAATAGTCGATTTTGACAGTAATTAAATGTATTAAATTTGCAAAAATCCTGCAACAAAAGGGCTAGATTCCGCAAAGATCCTCTGCTAGACTGCCCTCGAATCCCTAAGAATCTCTGCTAGGTTACCCCATCATTCCCCGCCTTTCAGAAATGCCTGTAGCAAAACGGGCCAAGACTCCGAAAGAATTTCTGCTAGGTTGGCCTCTATTCCCAAAAAATCCCTGCTAGCCTGCCCTCCTAAACCAAATTGTTTTGACCGGAATTAAATGTATTAAAATTTACAAAACTGCGTGCAACGAAAGGGCTAGATTCCGCAAGGTTCCCGGCTAGATTGCCCCCATTCCCAAAGAATCCCTGCTAGGCTGCCCCCCCCCATTCCCAAAGAATCCTTGCTAGTTTGCCTCCATTCCACCAAGATTCTCTGCTAGCTGGCTCCCGAATCCCAACGGATCCCTGCTAGCTTGCCGCCCACTCCCAAAAAATCTTTGCTAGTCTGCCCCTTATTCGCACAAAATTCTACTAATTTGCCTCGTCATAATTTTATTTCCCAAATGGTCTCTGTTGGCCTGCCTTCTTAAAAAAAGGAGTTTGGCCGAATTAAAGGTATTAAAATTAAAAAAAGCCTAGATTCCACAAAGATCCTCTGCTAGTTTGCCCTCTATTCCTAAAGAATCCCTGCTAGATTGCCCTCCATTCCACCAAGATTCTCTGCTAGCTGGCTCCCGAATCCCAACGAATCACTGCCAGCATCCCCTCCTCACCTCCTCGAACGTGATGCCGGGTCCATCTTGATATTTCTTGCGTACCCTCTTCAGCATTCCCTTCATCTTCTTCTCATCAATATTTGCATGCAGGAGGAGAAGCTGCGCAAAGCTCAGCTCCGAAATTATCTGCAAAAAAACACAATAAATTTAAATAAATAAATAACTAAAATTAAAAATAGTGGTACTGTGGCATTAACGGGGGGGGGGCACTTTCTCCGTGGGCTTGAAAGTTTCTCATAAGAGTATGGAAAGGGTTTCTAAGCTGTTTTTGAGCGCTGCGAAACGTAAAAACTACGAAAAATCATCAAAAATACAAAATAACGATTTTTCGCGGAAAACGTTGAATTTTCGAAATGTTTTTAGCCAGTTTTTCGATTTGAAAAATCGTTCAAAAGAACCTGATAACTTAAAATACCCGATTTCACATGAATAGGCATATTTGGACTCGGGGGAAAAAGTTATGGGCCCCCCGATAATGCCAAAGCACCAAATAAAACTTCTAATTGTTTGGATAAGAGTAATATTTGGCAAAAATCGAAAAAATCTACCCCAGCTTCCCCGTCGAGACAATCGCGACGCTCGAATTCCATTTTCAGGATGTCGCGGTGCAGATCGGCCTGAAAAGTGGACTTGAAAATACGAAATTCCCGGTTCTTTTGCATTATCGGGGGGGGGGGGGTACTTTTTTTCCTAAGAATTGAATTCTGCGATGAGTAATTGAAGCTAGGCCGTTGTTACTAATTCTAAACGTAACCTTTAAAACATCGTATTAAAAATACAAAAATATCGATTTTTGGACCAAAATTGGCCATTTTTGTGAAAAAACGTTTTGAAAAATTGGCAAAGCTTTTAGATAGTTTATTTAGTTAAAAAATAGTTTTAGCTGACAAAAAAACATTATGAAAATATTTCCTTTATAGATTAATACAAAAAATTTCATCTAAATTTAACCAAAAAATTTTTATTTTCTAACCAGTGGAAAAAGACCGCTTCGCGGCCGTTTTCCACTGGACCCCGTCCAGGAACCATGAATTTGAATAGCTTCTTTTTAGCCTGCGGCGCAAGAACCTTGGTCAGACCATTCTTTGGCCTGCGGCGCCAGAGCCAGTGTTGCCCTGGAATCCTTGAGCCTGCGGCGCTAGCTACCGCTTTTTCTCCCGCATTTGGCCTGCGGCGCGAGAGCGTGTTTCAGGGCCCTTTTCTTTGGCCTGCGGCGCGAGATCCTGGCCCAAGAATCTTTTCTTGGGCCTGCGGCGCTAGAGCGAAGGCCAGGCCTAAGTCTCGCACACGGAAAGCCTAGAGCCATGTTTTGTCGCTGAACTACCAAAAAGCCAAAAAGTAAATTCTCACGGGTCCGAACCCGCGACCCTCAACGCCGTAACCCCGTCCTTAATCCACTACACCACAGGGGGTGGCTGGAACGGGTAGCGGTAAAGGCCTCTTCATATCTTGGGGGCGAAACCGAGCTGTGCTAAAAGGAATGGGCCCCAGCACCTCCGACAGGCAGGCCTTCAGGCCACTTTACAAAATTGAACTTTTGAGGTGGAAGCTGTTCGAATTTTGTGAAGATAATAAGATGCGCGTGATCCTCGCCATTGAATACATAAGTGGTCAAAAATACAGGTCCATATTCGCCATGTGAATTGAGCTATGGCCCGGACACCACGACCCGTGACGCGATTTATTAAGGACCTTTCAGAAAAATCCTTATAAATACTTTATTTTACAGAATTTTGCAAAATCCGAAAAAATGTATCTGGGGAATTACTTTTCCCATCTAACTTCCAAAAATTGTGCCCTAATTCCCTCTAGGCGCCGAGAAAACTTCCGGACAACGCGGCAAAAACCCCTTTTGTTAAGGATTTTTCACTTTTTTGCTTATAAAATTGTTAAATGAAGGAATGTCGCAAAACAAAAAAATCCATCACTGACAAATGTGTTCCTCCACCGCCATGCCAAAAATCAGCTCGAAATTCGGCGTGACGGCCGAGAAATCGGCTGTACAGAAAACAGACATACTTTTCTCGCTTATAGGATAGGATATAAATTATCAAAATAAAATAGATAGTAAATAAAATGATAAATAGAACATAGGCTATTTTTGTTTTATAAATACGTATTATTTAAAATAAAATAGATTTTCAGACATGCTAGACCTGCAGAAAAAGCCCCCCCCGATAAATGGAAAGTTCCACGAAAATTCGCACACGCACCTGGAATTGCAAAAACTTGTCGGCGGAGAGCTTGTGGGTGCCGTGGGGGCCGAAGAAGTACGTCTCGAGTGCGGAATTGGGCTGGAGATGACGATGGTGTGAAGAGATGCCGGGCGTCATTTCGCGGAGGCCAATTGACGACTGCGACATCACCAGGTTCTAAAATTCGAAACGTTTCAAAAATTTTTAAATTAAATTAAAATTTAAAATTAAATAAAATATATAAATTTTAAAACTAAGTTTGCTTTAAAACCAGGGTTGTTCATTTTGCGTCCGGTCCGCGTCCGTCCGCGTCCGGGACGGGACGCGTCCCGTCCGTCTCATTAGCATAAAATTTTGCGGACGGACGCGGACGCGTCCCGGACGGACGGGACGGACGCATGGCGGACGGGGACGGGGAGCGTCCGCACGTCCGAGATGCAAATTAATTCATGGTAATCTTAAAATGAAAACCAGGAAATTCACAATAATTTTGCAGGTTTTGCGGTGAATTTGATTTTACTGGACAGTAGATTGTCATGTACAAGTAGACATGCTAAAAACCAGACCCTACCAAAGGTTTTACGCCCAAAAATGAAAAACTAGGCGCTTCATTATGATTTGAATCTGCTTTTCTCATTTGCATCGCGGACGCAGTTACTTCCGGCGTCCGCCGTCCGTCCCGTCCGTCCGCAAAAATTTATGTAAATGAGCGGACGGGGACGCGTCCGCGTCCCGGACCGTCCGCGTCCGTCCGCGAACAACCCTGTTTAAAACCCAAAAATTTTAGAGGTACTGGACTGTTAGCGGGGGGATTTTTGGGGAGGAACCAAATTTTCCCGTAAAAATATTTTTTGTTTTTATATACAAAACAGTCGCAAAAAATACGATTTCGGAAAAATTTGGACATTTTTGGCAAAAAAATGTATGAAAAATACCCAAAAAAATTCAATATTTTCGGTTTCAAAATTTATGCAAAATTTTTAAACTTTCTAGCGACAGCCAAGAGTCCAGTGCCGTACTAATTACGTCAGAAAAACCACAAAAACGTACCTTGATTTTATAGAACTCGTCGCGGTCGAGGGCCCCATCTCCGTTGATGTCAAAGATGCTGAAGGCCAGCGCGAAATCTTTTGGAGACGCTGAAAAACAACATTGATTTTCGTAGTTTGTGGTGTTCTTCACATTTTTGAAAAGTAAAAATTATACCAAATATTTTCAAATATCAAAAGTATCGACTTTTCGACCAAAAATGGCCCTTTTTGACCAAAATTTCGATTTGTTTTTGACAAGTTGTAGCTATTTTTTCCATTTGAAATATGGTTATTTTTTACGAAAAGCACTATTAAAATACTTGTTATTAATGAACCAGTCATTTCTAACCCTATACAAAAAAAATTCGTCCCCCCGATAATGAGAAAGAACCAAAATTAAAAATCCTCACTGGAAAGTAGCGTCTTCAGGAACAAGTAATCGCTGAAGGAGATGAGACCCGTCTCGCCCAGCTTGTAGAAGATCGAAGACCGATCCTGGATGTGATGGTGGTATTTCTGAAAAAAAATTAATTAATAAAAATTTTGGGGTGAATTAAACGAAACAATTAACTAAAATAGCTTCTATTCTAGCTACTACCAGCTGACCTCATCCGAGAAACGTCTCCAATCCTCCTAGAAAGTGCAAAATACCGAGTTTTCAAGGGAATAAAATCATAGTTTGATTTTTACGAATTTTCGGCAAAATTGCGGTATTGGACTGTTAGCGGGGGGGGGGGGGGGGTGGTTGGCGAGGGGAAATCAAATTTTGGCATGGGCAGGATTACTGTAAAAAACTGTACGAACTTGTCCAAATTTTCGAAAAAAAAGCTAAAGAATCCAGTTTCGGTACTGGACTATTAGCGGGGGGAATCAAATTTTGGCGTGGGCAGGATTACTGTAAAAAACTGTACGAACTTGTCCGAATTTTCGAAAAAAAGCTAAAAAACCCAATTGCGGTACTGGACCGTTAGCGGGGGTGATGCTTAATTTTATGCAACAGTGCTTAAAATTTAATTTAATTTACGGCACTTTCCGAAAAAACTCCCCCGTTTAAAACGAAAGCGCAAGAGCCAGAATCGACTCCTTCGCCCGCCTGGGTCTAGACAGCTACGCGACAGGCCAAATTACGCCTGGTATAGCAGATCCTAGCGGCGATTAAATCCATCCGTGTCGCGTACATGTCGAGACCTAGTTGAAAACCGGGGTAGAATTCGACACTTTCCGGTCCCTCTAAAGGGGCTAGCAAGTCAACATTCGTGCGTTATTTGAATTTTCGAAATTCCCGAATATTTATAACATTTACTCCGATTTTCGCGACATTGGCTAAAGTTTCGATCCGCTATGAAAGTGTTTTTAAAGGGGCGGAAGCCAGAAGCGGAATTCAAAATTCGCGCGTGCTGGGATTGAGCCTACTGGTCAAAAAACGAAAGGGTTACTGCCGAGAAGTACCAGAAAAAAAATTTTTGTTGCGAAAAAAACGTAAAAAAATTTGAGTAAAAATAAAACCTTCTTGGGGCCAAAACGCCTTTTTTTGAGTGGGCGGTGATTACATGCCGTAATGCATTGTAAGGCACCCAATCTCTCGATCTAAGTCATTCTCCCCTCACTTTGCATAATTAAAACGTCTAGAATCATCAAAATTCGATGAGGATTCCAGAAACAACCGCAGAATTTTTAAATCCACGCGTTTTCACGTCCAAACAGGAGCAAAAGATCACGCGGCGCGGTAGCGTTACGGTCGCATCTGGCTATTTGCCAGGAATCAACGCTGGGGGACGTGGGCTAGAGTTCGGAGCCCCTTTAAACGTCTTCATGGCTCACCTCAGGCCTGTAGACCTTGAACCGATCGATGCCATATTTCGGTGGTTGCATCACGCCCGGTGTGAAGGAACGGACGAAATCTTCAGGGGTCATGTAGACCTCGTAGTGGATGCCGCTCTCGTCTGAGGGCACCTAAAAACCCGGGGGATATCAGGTGGTACTGGGCTGTTAGCGGGGGGACCAAAAATGCATGGAAAATTATCAAAAACAGGTCAAAATTTGCGAATTTTCCATATTTTAGAAGGTTTTTAGAACGAGGCTAAAAGGGCGCGCGCGGTCATGGCTGAATGTTTGTCAGGACTCAAGATGCGGGTCTTCCAGACTGATTATCACCTTAAAAAGGCGTGGAAAACCACTACAAAACACTCCAAGTTCCGTACCTTCAGCGTGGCGAAATATCGGAAGACCTTGTCGGGCGTCGAATAATTCCTGATCCGATCGGTGTACTGGATGATGCGACGCTCGCGGAATCCGATTTTCTTCTTTTTATCCTGCAAAAAATTGCATAAATTACGTAGGGCTAAAACAATTATCGATCCGGCGTCGGGAGTATCGTATCGGAACAATTTTTCGACCGCTCGAAATGCCAGGAAAGTGCCATTTTTGAAAATTTAATTCGTTTTAAATTTTAAAAATTTTTAAATGAAAATATTTGGAATTTTATAATTGACTTTCAATATGCAATTTTATTAAATAAAATAAAAGCACTGCTATAAAAAATCGGGCTGAATATCGACGTTAAAAATAGCATGCCAATTATAGCAAGTATTCCTTTGGAAAATTATGCCCGGAAAAAGCCATTTTCCATCGTGATACGTGATTTTTTTGAAGCAAAAAGGGAGCAATAAGCAGCGCAAACGTTGAAATTCCGAAAAGCTGCAACTTTCACAAAGTTTTCACTCCGTGCCATTCCTCCGGACAGTAGATACGGCACCTTTCAGCAGTCTATAACATTTTATTCAACAAACAACACCTTTTTCTTGGGTTTTCTAGGTTCATCTTCATCAGCCTGGTCTTCTGCAGCGTCTTCTAGCACGACAAGGCTCGCATCGGGGCCCTGATCTAAAAGTACCAGTTTTTAACGAACGGGAGGGGTTTTGTACCGGGTTCGAGCTGCTTGGCCTCGGGGTTTGTGCGCGGCTTGAGGATACCTTCGGAGATTTCGTCGAACACTTGCACTACCCTAAAAAACCCGATCTATCATTTAATTTCCGAATTTACCGCTCAAAATCGACGACCATAAAGACGAGACCGCCGATGATGATCAACGCTCCGATTTTGTTCATCTTTCTGAAAAAAACCCAGGAAATTACCGGTTCTTTTCTGTTAACGGGGGGGGGCGGGATTTTTTCCCAGTAATTCCCCAAGGCCCTATAACAAAAAATAAGCCCTTTTTGTACAATTTTACACAGTTTTTGGACTCAAAAATCTTGTAAAAAGCGAAATAATCTCCAAAATGTTGACTTTTTGGTTAAAAATGAATGAAAAATGACCCAAAAATGGTAAAAAATTCAAAAATTCAAACATTTTTCCCCACCCCCGTTAACAGAAAAGAACCAGCCAAGAAATAACGGCAAATTTTTCATTGGCTTTCAAATATCATTTTCATTTCTATTTTTCTCACCTCAACGGCGGCCAAATATATTCGCGCGCGTGCGGGTAGATGGTCGTCGAAAAATCGGAGTAGCCCTTGCCGCTGCGCCGATCGCTGTAGTGCCATATGTCCTTTTTCACGGCCTGAAAAGACGATTTTTATTTTTTCAGAATTGACGTTTTTTCAGGGGCTATCGAATTCTCAAAGAATCGCTGCTCGTTCGTTCTGCCCAAAATTTAGCAGCCAAAACGGCTAAAAGCAATGCCTTTAGCGAAGGATTTACCCCGATCGACCTATTTTCTTTGGAAATTAAGGACATTAGAGGCTATAATAGCCCTAAAGAATCGCTGCTCGCTTGCCCCGGGCAAAATTTAGCGGCTAAAACCCGTAAAAATGCGATTTTTTTGCAGATTTTTACCCCAAACGGTCGATTCTTGTGCGCAATTTTTGAGCAAGAAGCACCAAAATTCCTCAAAAATCGCTGCTCGCTGACGCTCAGCAAACAGCCCTACTTTCTACGAAGTATCGAAGCCTACAAAACGCCAAAAACACACCGGTTTCCCGCGCACGCCGCCCAGCGCCGTGTAGGCCTTCAGCGGATCCGGTGGTGCGGTGGCGGAAACGGTCGGCTTGTCCGGTGGCTGCGTGCCGGTGCATCTAAGAATAAGGAGTAAAATATAAACTACACACCGCCTACCTGGCTACACAATAAAACTGCGGTCGGCGTAGAAGGCGTGCGCCCTGGCCGCGCAACATTGGAAAGCCTGAAAACGGTGCTTTTACTTAGTTTTTCGAACCAAAAAAACTTAGGGAAATTCGCGGAAAATGTCTTTTCCCTTTTTTTGGTGTATAAATTATCGAAAACCGGCAACTTTACGGTAAATTTTAGTCCAGGAAACACTTTATAACCCATAAAAACCGCGAAAAAAGAGACTTTTTAGTTTTTCGAGCCAAAAAACCTAAGGAAATGCCCGGCAAACACCTTTTCTATCTTTTGGGTTTCAATTCTCGAAAAACCTCGGCGCTACAGTCAATTTTAGGCCAAAAAAATATTTTCTAAGCGTTGAAAATCGATAAAAACTTACAAAAATATAGAAAAACGCCCTAAAAAGAAGCTTTTACTGAGTGTTTCTTACTAAGAAACTAAGGAGACGGCCTTTTATATTCTTTTTGAAGTTTTCATGTCTAAATTCTCGAAAAACCGCTGTGTTACAGCGAAGTTTAAGCCTATAAAATATTTTCTAAGCGTCAAAACCTCATACAAAAGGCCAAAAAGCGAATCGCGCTTTGCCAGGACGTCTTTCTATATTTTTAACAATTTTATTATTTTGTTTTTGAAGCTTTTGTGCCTAATTTATCAATAAAAGATTTTGTAAGCGCTACAACTTATAAAAAAAATAGAAAAACATCCTATAACGCAGCTTTTTACTTTGGTTTTCGTTCCACAAAAAATTTTTAGGAACACGCTTCGGTTTTGAAGTTTTCGTGCCAAAATTATCGAAAAAGACCGGGTTACGATCGATTTTAGATGCTTTTTAAGCTTTAAAAATCGATAAAAATCCAGAAAAGTTACTAAAATTTTGGAAAAAGTCCGATAAAGACATCGTTTGTCAAATAAACTATTTTTAGTCGTCAAAAACTCATAAAAATATTTTAAAAACATAGAAAAACCGCCTAATTCGATCGATAACCTTTAAAAACTTTCCGATACTTGTTTTCGCTCGCAACAATGAAAAAGAACGAGACTTCCAGGGAGAAGCCACCATTTATGTGTCGCCAAAAAACCGCAAAAATCGAAAAAGACTTTATAACAGATAGAAAAACACGAATAAATCCAGATCGGGGGTGTAAAAAACAATGTAAATTGTGTAACGGAATGGGTAAGGGGGTTGTTGAAATAGTTTTATATTTATAGGGCCGTTCCGCGTTCGAGATCCTCGCGCAGATCCTCCGTGTATTTCCCGTAGAATTGGTCGAGCTTCTTGTTGAATACCTAAAAAAGGGTATTTAAAGAATGATAAAATGAATATTACCCGATTCTTCTCGTTGATGTAGGTGACCTCTTGGTCGGGGTCGAACATGCGGCGACGATGCACTTTTTCGCGCGTTTTCTGCCTAAAATCAGCGGTTTGAAAGGATTGTGGATCTTTTGCAATATCGGGGGAGTAAAATTTTTCCTTAGCATCAAATTCTTCTAAAAAACCCAATTTTTACGCCATTTTTCTATTCCTAAACGCACTACAAACTTTAAAAATCAGTAGAAAATCAAAAACGATTAATCTTCGAGACCAAAATTTCAAATTTTTGAGATTTTTAAAGTTTTCTAATTCGGATTCTACTCCAAAAACCGCTAAATTTTTTCAAATCGACGGACAAACTTAAAAACCATGAAATAATTAAAAAATATCGAATCTTCGATCAAAAATTTAGAATTCCAAAGATTATCAATGTTTTCTATTTAGGTTCCCACCTCCAAATTTTGCCAAAAAACATAATTTTACAACGTAAAACTTTAAAAATCTTGCCAAAACTAATAGACAAACATGGGTTTCTTGATGAAAAATCGCCGTCTTCGATCAAAATTAAACGTTACGGTCAAATTATCCAAAGAATTACCCCCTCCCCCCCCCCGATAATGCAAAAGCGCCGAGAAGATTGTACATGACGCAAAACGCACATGTCCAACACGGTGGTGGCGAGTCGATCGAGGGCCGACGTGGTGGGGTAGTGGTGGCCGTCGGCGATCGTGTTCGAACCCGGGTAGAACTGCTCTTCGCCCCTGAAAAAAGAAAAATAAAATTATCTGCAGTATTTATGCCTTTTTTAGTTCAATAAAAATTAGCCATTTTCAATTACAAAAGCAACACGTCAAAAAAAGCCTAAAAAGCCGTAAATTTTCGTCATTTTAGGCCGAAAAATCGGTTTTCGAATCTAAAAAAAATGCCTGATCAAAACCTGCAAGTTTTTTGGTCACATGGGCAGTTAGAATAAGATTTAAAAACATTTAAAATGTAGAGAAAAATGCAAAAACTCGCTTACAGGGCCTCCTTCATCCGCTTGTACTCGTTGAAGTCGGGCTTGATGTTGCGCGTCAGCCGCTCGTTTTGCCGCAGCGACATCGTCTCGTAGTCTGCAAAAATGACGTAAATTTCGGCGGCACGAAAAAGCTGCACCTCCAGTGATGAGGGCGTCCTTGTTGGGGTTTTTCTTCCGCTTGAGCAGCACGTCGCGTTTGCGGACCTCTTCGACGCTGGTGCGCATCGCCTTTGCGCGCTCAAAGTCGACGCCCTCCTCCTCGCAGCGCTGAAATGGGGTAAATATTTTTATAACAGTTTTCCCAGAAACGATTTTAAAAATTTCGAAATTCGCCTTGAAACATTTCTAGAACTTTTACTTTTCCAAATATAGCTTGAAATTGGCGTGAAACGTTCAATTTTCTACTAAAAGCATGCTTCTAAATAAAAATACCGCTATTTTCACTGTTCTATTTCTTTTCGAAAAGCGGTTCTTTGGCAATATTGGGGGGGGGGGGGATTTTCCCCTATTCCATGCGCGGATTTTCCACGCAAAAAGTACCTCCAAAAACCGTGAAAATTAAGATTTTGGTCCGAAAACTTACAATTAGCGAATTTTTACGCCTCAAAATAAAAACAGATAGAAAAACTATCTGTTTTTGTCCTAGAAAACTTGGATCATAAGGCCTTTGCCCCCACCTCCGATAATGCAAAAGAACCGAGCCGAAAGCCTCAACAAGCCCGCATCCGCTTCCAAGAATTACCTGTCTTTCCTCGAGATCCTTCAACTCCCACTCCTTCTTCATCTCCTCGATCTGATGCCTCGGGTTCTTGATTTTTCGGTCCTCCTCGACGACGTCGGCCTTGTTCGCGCGGCGCGAGTCATTCTAAATGGTCATTTTTGGGTGAAAATCCACATTTTTGTAGGTACTCCTCTTTCCCGGGTTTGGTTTGAGAAAATTTCGCTATAATGCTAGTGATTAGAAAACGGGGGAAACCTTTGAAATCTGAAATTTCGATCAAAAATTTATGTTTTTTTTTTTTTGTATTCTACCGGAGATTTTTAAAGTATTACGTTATAAAATGGTGTTTTTGAGAGAATTTAGCAATCCTTAGACGAAAAAACTAAGCAAAAAACCCCTAAAAATCATCAAAATGTCAAGTTTTTGGTCAAAAATTGCGAATTTTTGGTTTTCTAATGATTTTTCAAAATTTATTGAATTTCAAAAGTTTTAAAGCATTCATTCTTTTCATAGATTGGAAAAACGCTCTAAAAAACTTTGCTAATTACCAAAAAACCCCCGCAAAACAAACGCACCCTCTTCTGGGCGAGTAACCGGATGCGCGCGTTCATCGCCTCCATGCGCTCGGCGTTTTTCAGCAAATTGGCGGCCGATGAGGGCTGCTGCTGCTGTTGTTGGTCGCTGCTCGTCTCCTCCGTGTCCGACATCGTCTGCAGGGCCCCTAAAAAGAATATATTTCCTCTCGAGGCTATCCCAATGCAAGAAAAAAAGACAAGTCAACGAGCACAAGGCAAAATACACGTATCAGGGGTGGGTGGGGGCGAGTACAAGTTCACACAGCAGATCTCCAATCGATAAGTTAAAAAGAGAACATAAGACAAGCGCAACAACGAGTAACTAGAGGCTAGAAGCCATTCTGCACAAAAAGAGACTAGAACTATCATATTATCACACGGAAAAAGGCGGCCTAAATAGAGGAAAAACGGGGCTAAACGAGTGCGACTAGACAAATCAATCGATCGGAAAGTTATTTTAGGAGAAGCTTTGCAGCTATTTTTGGCAAAATACCGATCGAAAAAGCATCAAACGCAATTTTATTAAACCTATTTTTGGCCAAAAACGAGATGAAAGAAGTCTAAAAACAATAGTTCTCTCGTATTTCTAGGGGGAAAAGCGAATTTTCGCCCTATAATGTGGAATACACCTAGTTTAATGGCGTTTCGGGTAAATTTAGCTTTATCTAAAGTGGAAAAATTATTTAGAAAAGATAGAAATATGCTAAAATTTGGAATTTTGGTCGAAAGCAGGCCTTTTTGTTTAAAAAAACGGGGTTTTTTTTGTATTTCTTCGCGAAATGTGCCAAGTTTTACGTCCAGGGATTGTAAAAACCACTGAAATATTCGGTTTCCTGCTAGAAATACTAAAAATTCATTGTTTTTAAGCCCTTTTCCGTCAAGATTTTGCTAAAAACAGCCAAAAATCCGGGGGTTTCACCTCAAAAACCACGCGAATTCCCTAGTATCAAAATCTAACGTTTCTAATCCATTTTGAGGGCAAAACTGCTGCCGCAACTGCACCCCTTCTGCGCGATCGGGTTGTCGACGATGCGAAACGACGCCTTCATCAAGTCCTCCACATAGTCCAGCGTGGCGCCTCTCAAATAGCCCAGCGACAGTTGATCGACGACCACTTCGGCGCCGTCAGCAATCTTCATCACGCGATCGTCGTCCTGCAGCGTTTTGTCGAGACGCATTTTGTATTCGAAACCGCTGCATCCGCCTCCGTCCACCTCGACGCGAAGCTTCTCCCCGTCGGCGAGGATCTGCTTCAAGCGCTCGCTGGCCCGCGCGGTCACTTTCAGCTCGTCGGCGGTCAGTTGGGGGAGAAGACGCGCACTTGATGGGGCCGCCATCTCCGCCAATGTCGTCGAAATCGGGCGGCTCGGGCCGGCGCTGAGAAGACATCGAGTAAAGGGCGAGAAGCGGCGCAGGAGCATGGCTGGAATAGAGTTATTAATAAGATTTACATGATATTATAAGCCAGTAAAGAAAATGGAGAGTCAAAAATAGACATTGAGACATTTTATAGTCTTTCAGCGTTTTTCATTTATTGCCTCATCTAACAAAAACATTTTCTAGCGTAGTTTTTAGCGCTGATCACGAATATGACTATCCCAAGTTCCAAATAGGCTCCTTAAGCTATAAAAACGGTCAAAATCTAAGAACATGGATGAAAAGCAAGAAATAAGTTTACCCTAACTTTCTGAAGTGGCTTTTAGCGTAGCTTTTGGCGCTGATCACGAATATCGCATTACCAGGTTATAAATAGGCATTTCCGAGTTAAAAATTGTAAAAATCTAAGCGAAAGGCCCTTCTGAGCCTGGCAAGATTTCCAATTCAGTTTTTTGTAAGGCGGCAAGCTAAACTACTTGTGAATCACGGCAACAAAAACGTGCAGCCTTGAATAATCGTTTCAAAGCTGTTATGAGCAAAAAAATATATAAATTAAAAATTATAAGAAAAACGCCGTCGTTTCCCGGCTTTTCGAAACGATTTGAGCGTCCATAGAAAAAAGATTCTGGGTAATTTGACCGGAAATCAAAATCTAGGCTGTTTGAAGCGACGGTTTTCACATAATCCATAGTAAAAATATATAAATTTGAAAATTATAATAAAAAACGACTTCTTCTTCCGTTTTTCGCAAGTTTTGGAGGTGTAAATACGCTGCGTCTCTGCCCCCATTCACCCTCGAGATGGTTGGCGCGACTGGGGAAAGGGCAGGCTACGGTGCCAGGACCCACTATAGGCAGCCTCTCCCCGTGAATGGCCGTTGTGGGCGTGTCCTCCTCGGCCATGGCCCAGGGCCCCAGTACTTGGCCACTCGGGCCCCGTCGGCAGTTTATTTCTTTTTGCGGGCGGTCTCCCACGTCCCCGCCGCCAGCATCAGCAGCACCGACCCAACCAACCAAAAGCACTTCCCGCTACACACCATGGCCGCCCTCAGGTGGGTTCCGAATATTTCTGAAGTTCCGCTTCTGGCGAAAAAAAGCTAAATTTGACCTGTTATACGGTATTCCTGGGCTTTCTTTCGCTGTTTAATTGGTCTTTAATGGCTTCTGAGCTTTTAGCGGACCGAAATAGCGCCTTTTCAAGCGTTTTTCGATGCCTTTCGAAATCCGAATGTTTCTGAAATTCAGATTTTTTTCGTGAAAAATGACAAATTGAATGATTCTACAGTATCCCTGGGCTATTTTCGGGTTTTTTTGAAGGGCGCGTAATGGTTCTTAACCGTTGTCAGCGGCAAATCTCGCCTTTTATCGGGTTTCCTGGCTTTGTATTAGGTGCCGAATATTTCTGAAGTTGCGGGTTTTCCGTGAAAAATGCAAAAAATTGACTAATTCTACAGTATCCCTGGTCTTTTTTGCGTATTTAATAGGTCTTCAATAGTTTCTGAGCTTTTTGGACTCAAAAAGCGCTTTTTCTAGGGGTTTTTACTGCCCCTGGAGTCGATTTTCTGGGTCTAGACAACTAAATCCCATATTTTTTGCGCTGAATTTTCCTCTAAATCTTCCAGCTGCCCTACAGTCCTTCATTCTCCGCCGGTTATACTGTAAACTTGCATACGGTGGAGCGTTTCGTAGGCGTGTTTTCTATGGAAATCCCTAAATTGACATTTTGGACCCGGAAATGGGCTTCCGTCGTCGTCAAGGCAGGTGCAAAATAGGAATCAACCAGGGGAATCGGTTTACTGGCTAGCAAATAGCCAAATTGCACAATTTTTGGGGTTAAAATTCTGTAAAAGTCGATGAATTCATGGCGTAAGCGGAAATTTTACTGGACGCCGGGCTCCAAATGACGGAATTTCCGGCAATTTACGGTATATTTAGTCTTTAAAACATTTTTAATTCATAAAATGGCTGTCAACTAGAAGATTTCCATAAAAATTCCACCTTTCCGGTCCCTTTAAACCCCAAAAACCGGATATTTTCGGGTTAGCCGCAAATCCGGGGGTGTAATTTGTAATGCAATAGGCTGTATTAATTCAGTACCGTAATCCTGCTCTGATAAAAGTGTTGATGGGTGTGTAGTGGAATATATGGATGATGTGGAGGGGGACGGAGGGGAAGACCTTTCCAATTATGCACCTGATTAGTTAGGAGAAGCCGCAGAGGGAGAGGGGAGGTTTTTCCCCCCATCCATAGTCGACTCGCTGAAAAAGGGGAGGCTATAACAAATTCTATGGATGTGAGAGAGAGAGAGAGAGAGAGAGAGAGAAAGAGAGAGAGAGAGAGAGAGAGAGAGAGAGAGAAAGAGAAAGTGAGAAGGAGAGAGAGAGAGTGAGAAGGGAGATAAGAGAGAGAGAGAGAGAGAGAGATAGAGCGAGAGAGAGAGAGAGCGAGACAGAAAAGTCGCACCATTTCCGCAAAATTCTCTGCCAGCTTGCCACCGATTTCCGTTCCAAAAACCCCTATAAAATATCGTTAAAGGGGCTCAGAAGTCAAAATTCGTGCGTGCGGGGATTGAACCTACTGGTCAAAAAACGCAAGGGTCACTGCCGAGAAGTGCCAGAAAAGTGATTTCATTGCGAAAAAACGTAAAATATTTGAGAAAATCCGAATTCTTTTTGGGGCGAAAACGACATTTTGAGAGCGCGGCGATTACCTGTCGTAATGCCTTGTAAGGCACCCAATCTCTCGATCTCGGCGATTCTCTGGTCAATTTTCATAAATTAAAGGTCTAGAATGATCAAAATTTGGTGAAGATTCCAAAAATAGCATCAAATTTTTTAAATTCTAGCGTTTTCGCGTCCAAACAGGGGCAAAAGACCATGCGGCGCGGTCGCGTTGCGGTCGCATCTGGCTATTTGCCAGAAATCAGAGCAGGGGGCCGTGGACCAGATTTCGGAGCCCCTTTAAAGAGCAGTTTTTCATGCTATAAAATTTCCTAAAAGTTCTTTGCTAGCCGGCCACCTATTTTCGCTCCGAAAGACCTTGTAAAATCTCCATAAAATTGAATGATAAATTTCCATTTTTGCGGTTTAGAAAATTCTTTAAAATCCTCTGCTAACTTTACACTTTAAAAAGCAATTTTTTGGGCCATTCCTAAAGTTTCTCTGCCAGCCTACCAGCTTTAGTTTTCGTTTACATTTTCAGTTCCTGGATGGTCTCTGCTAGCCTACTAAATGCAAAGTCGCGTTGGGCTGATTTTAGCGGTGAGAACAATCGGTTTTGATTCCTAAATGGTCCCTGCTAGCTTACCCAGGCCCGGAGGTGATTTTTGACCTTTCTGCATTGCAGTTTACAAAAATGCGTTTCCTAAATGGTCCCTGCTAGCTTGCCAGTCGCATCAGACCTCAGAAACCAGTCCATTTTTGGCAGCGTTCCCTTCCTTTTTTCGGTAGTGGCTAATAGAAAAGAAAGAGTTGACCATCGTCCCCTCCCTCTCCCCATTCGTCGTCTCACGCAAATGAGACCCGGGGGAATGGCGGATGGAAGGAATTGAGAAGGCAGAGAAGAAACCGACCAAAAGTAGTGGGGGGGGGACCCATCCTCTGGAAAAAGTGGGTCCCGCCACGAATGAGAACTCCTCTCTTTTTGTAATAAATTTCGAAAAAGTTGGTTGCTTAACGGGGGGATAACTAGGTAAAGAATAATTGTTAGTTTACCTTCCTGCTAATCCCCCCCCCCGCTAAGGCAACAGAACCTCTCCCTCCACGACGGGGATTTCTCTCTTTTTCAAAAAAAAAATTCTAGAAAAATGGTATTGGTTCCTTAGCGGGGGGGGGGGCAAATGCCCTTCCTTTATTTCTATCCTGTATTTCAATAAAATAGCGTCTTTCTAATTTTTTTAGCCCCCCCCCCCCCGCTAACTCACCAGCACCCAAGAAGTGGGTCCGACGAGGAAAAACTCGCCTGTTTTGGCATAATTTTAGGAAATGGTCTGGTGCTTTAACGGGGGGGGGGGGGGGGTATTTTGGAAAAGGGTAGACCTGGAAAAAATTGTCATTTTAGTGTTTCTCGTAGTTTTCCGCGAATAAAAAGTTTTTAATGCCGTATTTTATAGGGTTTTTTGGCAGGGATTCGTCAAAACTTGCATTTTTAAAGCTTTTTAAGCAAAAATCGGAACTTTTTGCATTTTTGAAAATTGTGTAATTTTTTGGAGCTTTTTATAGCCAAAAAATGGATAAAAGTTTTTAACACGGTTTATATTTAGTTAGAGTGTCGTGGAAAATGTGGAAAATGTCGTCCCCCCGCTAACGCACCAGCACCAAAAAAGTGGGGTCCCGTCACGGACAGCTCCTCCCTTTTTGGAATAAATTCTGGAAAAAGAAAAGTGGGCGAAGGGACATCCGTTACACCGACAATTTCATTAGAAGAGGACGGCAGGCAGAGGGGGGAAAGACACGTGTTTTCTGCACTCCCCTCCCCCCGGGCCATTCCCTTATTCAATTCCACCACACTTTTTGGGGGGTTCCAAAAAGTGGTGGAGTCGATGAGAATCGATGGAATGGCGAACAGTTTTGCGAAATTTGAACCCGAACTGGATCAAAGCAGCCTAGCAGTGTCCATTTAGGAATCGAACTTTGCTAAACTGACGAGCCGATGAGCGGAAGCCCGGATTTTCGAAGCCTAGCAGGCTAGCAGAGGCCATTTGGGAATCGAAATTCACTAAACTGACGTGCAGAACAGCGGAAGCCCGGATTTTTGAGGCTTGGCAAGCTAGCGGCAACCATTAAGGAAGCGAATTCCGCTATACTGGATGGCAGATTGATGAAAAATCGTATTTTTGAGTCTAAAGTCGTAAAGTCGAAAGCTAGCAGAGATCATTTAGGAATCGAAATTGGCTAAACCAAACGGCAGATTGATGGAATTTCGTATTTATGGAGCGTGGCAAGCTAGCAGAGATTCCTTAGGAACACCGAAATCAATTTTTTACATATAAAACCAATTTTTCAACACGGAAACCAATTTTTTGGAATTTTCCACAAATTTCTCTGCTCGATTGCCCCTTCCAGATTCCGAGACAGTCATCATTTTCCCTTCTCGGTTCTGCGTTTAAAAGAAGTGATGTGGAATGGCATCCATCTCAATCCACGGTCGCTCCTTTTTTTTCCTCGTTCTTCCGGCCCATTTCCGGTGGGCGAGTTGCCCTCTTTTCCCCTTCTTTCCTTCTTTCGTTTCCTCTGAATATTCCACCGCCAAATTGCCAGGCGACCGACACCGTGGACACGTGGTCCGAAAACGAAAAATGCAAGAAAAACCGAAAACTACAAAATTCTTTAAATTCGGGGGTTTTTGGGTACTGTTCCGTTAGCGCGGGGTCCTAAGTAATCTCGTGAGGTCTTATCACAAAATAACAACAATTTTTATAAAATTTGACATAGTTTTGATTGTCAAAAACTATAAAATCTTCGAAAATTTGACCATTTTATAAAAATGCATGAAAAATGAACAAAAAAGAGCAAAATTTCAATTTTTCAAGGCGTTTGACTAACTTTTTAGCGATTAAAAACTACTAAAAAGTCCATAAAATACATTTTGGAGTATTAACCGGTCGGGGGAAAATAGAAATTAAAAATTCCGCAGCACTCCCGCTAAAAGTCCAGTGCCGTTTGCGGCTAATTGTTTGTTTGTCTGTCTCTCTCTCTCTCTCTCTCTCTCCACCCAAATTCCCTTGATTTACATGGCATAATCGATTCTTGCCCGTCAGTTTCCATGAAAACACTCAGAAAATCGCTGACCGTCCGCGAACTTGGGTATTTTGCATGCATATCCGGGTGCGAGAGAGCGAGAGGGAGAGAGAGAGAGAGCGAGAGAGAGTGAGGAGGGTGAGAGAGAGAGCCAGAGAGAAATTGAATGTCGACTGCAGCCATTGGGAGCCATGTGTCCGTTGTTGTGAGTCCCTCTCTAAAACGGGGGGTATATATGGAGAGGAAGTGGCCGAAAAGGCCCGTCTTTTTCCAATATCACCATGTTCATATCCGTGGAAAATGCTATTCAACGGCCGCCCGACAAATACTTTCCGGGGCTGGCCAGTGGACGGGAGAGGGGCCATTTCGACTGAAAAGCTCGGGTGAAAACATGGGAAATTTTGGGGTTAAAGGGACCGTGAGGCGAGAGAATTGTAACCGGAATGTAACCGGAATAACTAGCTCCAATTTCATGGCAAAAAGTTTTTTAGATTGGGGTAAGGGGCAGAAGGCCAGAACCACGCGACCGTGGTAGCAAGGCTGCAACAATTTTGAGCTACAGGCCCGTGAGATCGCTCATTCGAAAGAGCATCTTTTTCTGACCCAGCATGTCGCCTGTGGTCATTCAGTAGCTACTTTACAAGATTTTTAGAGGGATTTAAAATCGAATGCTTTTCGGCTAGTTTGCGAGAAAAATCGCTGTGACTTTTTGAAGCGGGCTCCTTAGTGGATTTGGAAAAGAGATTTGGAATCGGCAAAAAATGCTGCGCAAGATAGGGTTGTTTCGATGCAGTTGTCGATAACTAGTCGTAGGAGTTTGATTCTGTCGCTTTCTAGCGCCCTTAAAGGGATCAGGAAGGCCCAGAAAAAATTAGCATAAAACGCGGTTTAGTTCTATAATGCATAAATTTCCTCTGCTCCCTCCTGCCCAGCCCCACTCTCTGCCCATTTCCAGTTGGCTAGTTGCGAATTATAGATGTGCCCTGATCTGCTGAGCCTTCCATATCCCTTTAGCTCTGCACAAAACGAGATTTCTTTCGCTACGATCCCAGAATCTGAAGAAAACTCATCGATCTCACCTCTATTTGTCCGCAAATCGCGAGAAATCGACCCAGAACCGGATTTCACATTTTTTTCCGGAAATTCCCTCAAGAATTCCTCTATTCTGGGATGCATACAATCTTGCTCACTAATCTCCGTGCACCTCAAAGTGTTGCACACACACCTCAAAACTCCCCCCGAAAAGTTTCGATTTTGAGGGGGCCATGCCTCGGGCCATTGAGTCCAACTCACTCGGTGGGCCCCGAAAAAGGCCCCGCCGATTATGTGGGTGTGCATTTGGTGGGTAGAGAGAGAGAGAGAGAGAGAGAGAGTGAGAGAGAGAGAGTGAGAGAGAGAGTGAGAGAGGGAGCTATCGGGGGAACAGGTGAATAAAGGGCCCTTTAGCGGCCTTAGGGCCCACATCGAACGGCCCAGGGGGGACCAATAGGGCCCAAATAGAGGGCCCAAATAGGGCCCCACCAGCCGAACAACTCTCTTTCCGGGGGAGGGCCATCAAAAGCCATTTTGTGCCGCCCGGGGCGCGCGATTCATTCAGCCCTAAGGGCACAGCGGATGCTGACGGAATATCGCGAAGGATTGGGGAGCATGAATTGAAAGGGTGTTCACCGGGGGCCCAACGAGTTGAAATTGGAGGGAATTTGGGTTGAGGAAAGGTTGGAAATTGTGAAAAAGCACTGGAAAATGGCTCTCCCTCCATCTCTCTCTCTCTCTCGCTCTCTCTTTCTCTCTCTCTCGCGGCTAAATCTACAGGCAATAATTCATTGGGCCAAAAACCTTCCAGTCCCTTTAAAGAACCCAGAAAGCGCAAAAATCGACCCCCTCATCCCCTGGGGTCTCGACAAATCCCGGAAACCGCTAAAATCTGTCTCCATAAAAAGATTTTACGCGTAATTTGGTGTGTAGCGTGGCTGTTGAGACCAAGTCGAAGGCAAGGGTCGATGTTTGCGCTTCTGCTGTCTTAAATTGAAGTACGGGGACGAATGGGTCGGATATTCCTAAAAAAACACAAAAATGTTCTAATTTTTGCGATTTTCAGACGCCTGCGTGCCTCCCTGGCTCGAATGTTCAGCTCTTCCCCGTCGAATTCGGCACGGTTATCTCCATCGAGAATCTTTTTCAGGAGGTGAGGACTATGAATGGAAAATGGCGGCCCATTCCGTATGGCTCCTACTGACGTAGAGCGTACGGAGGTGTCGAGCGTAGTCTTTTAGCCGTTCGACCCCGTTTAGATTCTTAAAAAGCCCCGAAAAGCGGAAAATTTGCCATGACTGCGCTACATTCCTAACGACGCCGGATGCAAGGTGTCGTAGCGCGTAGCCTGACGGGTCACAAGTGTCAATGTGCTGCGAATTCACCAAAAGTCCGTTCAATTGCTATTGGCACGGAGCGTACGGAGGTGTAGAACGTACTTCAAGCCAAAAACCACCAAAAGCCGAAAATTAGCTTAGACTACGTTCGACTTTTATTGACGTAATGCGTACAGAGGCGTGAAACGTACTCATTGAGTTTTCAGTCTCTCTTTGAGATCCAAATCCACGAAAAATTCCTAAAAATGCGGGTTAACGACGCGAGTTTCCTATCGACGCGCGGTGCGCGGAGGTGTAACACGTACTTTAAGCATGAAAACTCACAAAATTGTAAGTTCGCCATGACTACGCTCTGCTACAATTGACGCAGGGCGTACGGAGGTGTGCAAGTTCTCTATGGGTTTCAACCACGCCCTTAAAACCCATTTTCCAGGTCAAAAGTCGACTCGTACTCCTCGTTGGCTCAGACTCCCGATTCGAGCCGTAGCGTTTCTTTCGCCGACTCGATCACGTGGCCATATATTGATGATGATGAAAACTCCTCCATCAGCCGTTAAAATCCGCCATTTCCTACGGTAACCCCTCCCAAACAATTCCGACTGTACATACTGTAGTTTACTCCCTGTTTCTCTGCGTTTCTCGCACTATCTCTCTATTCTTTTCTCTCTCTCTCTCCCTCACTATATCTCTTCCCCCTCCAATCTCTAGTCTAGTGCGGGCCACAGCAATGCGCAAAATACGGTATTTTATAGTCAAAAAATCATATTTATTTTTTTCGACTTACCCTGATCTTTTTTTGTCTTACAAAACCACCAACTGGCAGACATTTTTCCCTTTTAAACCTAAAAACCCTAAAAATTCCCATCATTACGCGCCATTCCTATTGACGATGAGGTGTACTCAGGTGTGGAACGCACTAACAACTATCAAAAGGGTTTAACCAACTTTAAAAATGAATAAAGTTGATAAAATCAAAAGTTAAATCGTCGATCTAAATTTAATTTTTTCCGGGATTAAATGGTATTTTTTTTAAAAGCTGTGATGATCTCTAAAACCGGAAATGTATGTTCCACACCCCCTTACATCGCTCAGTTTTAATTGATTTTTACTACGGTAGTTTCCGCGATTTTCCGGCGTTTTCCGGTGTACTGTACTATGCCGCCAATTCAGCCCCCGTTCGGGTCCCGCAGCGGCTGACCATCACCATGAGCTTTTCCCCCGATTTTTCGTCATTTTCTACTGTAATTTCCTACCGTACTCACCCAGCTTTCCCCCAATGATCTCCACCCCGTTTTTCGCGAGCTTGTTGTTGATGAGTTATACTGTGAAATAAATGTCAAACTACAGCCTACAAAAAGATCCCGCACTACAAAATCACAAAAATTTCCTGAAAATGCATTTAGACGCTGGGTTACCGTACCCGCCATTCCAAAAAACACAGAAAATTTATATATCTGGATTTGAAAGCGTGGCCGCGCCGCGACACGCATCGCACGTCTAAAATCAGGGTCGCAAAAATCTGGATTGAAATTTTCCGAATCCCGAGATCGAAGAATGCTCGATTCTTCGAAATCCCACTGATCAAAATTCGAGGTTATATGATCTCGATGTTGCGCTTTACGAACCTACCGCCTTTCGGGTCTGGTCCTGCCTTTAAACGGCCTTTAAAGGGCACGTTCAGGGACGTTTTTTTGGAAAAAAGCTTTTGCCGCGGCCGGGGGTCGAACCCGGACCCCCCGCTCGGGAGGCGCGGATGGATACCAGTCAGCCACAGCTACAACCTGGCGAGGGGGCGAGGGGCGCCCCACGCCGCAAAGGAGGGGAATGGCCTGTCACAGCACGGGCAGGCCGTGCGCGCGGTCCCTACGTCCATAGGGTGTATACGTTGGACAGAGTATACGGCCCCTCCCTGAACGTGCACTTTAAAGTGCGCCCCAGTTACCGTAACTCTGGCCTCAAAAATCCGATTGCCCTGGTTACCGTACCACGAAGCAAATAAAATGTGCCAAAATGCGCATATGCATGCTGACACTCTCCCTTTAAAATGCATGCCTCTAAGTTGCGCCCCAGTTAACGTACCCAACCGTTTTTCGAAATTTTCGAAAGCATAAAAGTTCATGAAATCCCAAGTGTCACTGCCCCTTGAAAACCGCTCGTCTTAAAGTGCACCCGGGTTACCGTAACCCTGGCCTTAAAAGTCCGAAGAAAGGACGATTTTCCTTGAACTGCCCCGAAAATCAACATTGCCCTAATTACCGTATTCCGAAGCGAAAAAATCTATCAAGTGCGCCTATCCAAGCTGTCACCCTTCCTTAAAAAGGCATGCACCTAAAGTGCACCGCGGTTACCGTAACCCTGGGCGTCAAAAAACGGGACGCTGGGGGAATGGGCGCTAATCCTCAACATTTCCGCTGGGGGGACACTTTGTTTATAGGAATGGCGCGGAATGGGGGGACGCATGGATTTGCTGCAGGTCCACGTGGTTTTGCCCCAAAGAAACAGAAACCACCGCCAAGGGCGGAAACGATTCCGTTGGGCGCCAAAAGACGCCGGAAAATGACAAAAAGGGAGAGAAACGGAAAATGGGGAGTTTATTCTTCGACTGGGAGTTGTTGAACATCAACAAATAGCACGTCTTCCGTCCGGAACGAGCCACGGGTGTCGATGCGGAGGGGCAGCGACTGGAAAACGGATTTTTTTTTAGATTTTTCGGGCCTTCTATGGCCCTTTAGGAGCCGATTACGACATCAAAATTCATGTAAGACCAGCTATTGGCATGTCGTAATTGTCTTTAAGTGGAAAATAATCGAGAAACCCGGTTTTCTGCGTGGAAATGGGCCTTCAACGACCCTTTAACAACGGATTACGACATGTAAATCCCTAAATTTATCGTGACTGGCCCTTTAGGAAATGATTACGACACTAAATTCAGCTCAATCGACGATTTTCAAGTCGTAATTGTTTTTTATAAGACAAAAACCAAGAAAATTGGCCTTAAAAGCCTCTTCAGGAACCGATTACGCTACGAAAGTCACTCAAAATAGTTAATTTTCAAGTCGTAATCATTTTTATTGGTAAAAATCAAGAAAATGGACCTTCAATATCCCTTTAGGAACCGATTGAGGCATTGAGACCCTTTGCGAATTCTTGATTTACATGTCGGCTCAAGTTTCAAATAGCCTAAAATTAAAAAAAAACCATTTTTTCTTCTTCATGAATTCATGCTTCCGTGGTCCTTTATTAACCAATTACGGCACAAAAATAGCCTTTTTTTTAACCGATAAAACCTCTAAAAATTTTTAAAAGCTTGTATTTGGGGTTTTTTAGGGCGCAACTGCATGTAAAAACTAATTTTTCAATTTTTCCTGCCCTCAGTTTTCCGTTACGAATCGATTACGACAGGTAATCCCAGATTTAAAAAAAATTGGCTACCAAAAATGTAAAACAAACATTTGGCGATCCGTCGGCAATCGAAAACTCGAATCGTCGAATGAGGTGGACGAGGGCGGAACGCATTTGGAATTGACCCACACGCATTCCTGAACAGGTTTAGCGACGTTAAAGGGACCGGAAAGTCGTGGTTATTGTCATTTTTGATTTTAGGTGGCTAGCCAAGCCAGAAATTTGGCGTACCCGGACCCTTTTTGTCCTGAAAAACGGGCTCCTATACTTTCCCTTCAGGTACGTTACAACGCGCTACAGTACGCTTCGAGTACGCAACACTCCGAGGCACGGGATACGGTAATCTGGAGAATAAGGTCATTTAAAAGCCTTGGAAACCTGAGGTTACTTGAAAAACTTGTCGTTTCCGTGGAAAAAACCAGTTTTGATGTATTTTTGGGGCTCCAAGCCTGGTACTATAATTACGTACGTTACAGTACGCCACGGTACGCTTCGAGTACGAGACATTCCGGCGTTACGGAATACAGTAAGCTCGAGATGACCATGGTTTTTTGGGATACCGTCGCTGCCGAGAGACTACGCTACGGTACGCTACAGTACGCTGGAGTACGCAACACTACGAAATTACGGGACACCGTAATCTGGAGATACGGTACTTTTAACTTACCAACGCAATTCCTCGGGCCATGGCCGAATGGGAGGAAGGTGAGCGGGTCTCGCTTTGCTTTTTCTTCCGGGTCCCACCTGGAAATGCATGAAAAGAGAGAGCGAGAGAGAGAGATAGAGAGAGAGAGTGAGAGAGAGCGAGAGAGCACGAGAGAGAGCAGGAGAGAGAGGGAGAGATAGAAAGAGTGAGAGAGAGATACCTTTCGGGTCTAAACTCCTCCGGCTCTTCATAGAATAGTGGATCGTGATGAATATTGTAGACAGGAATCGAGAATACAGATCCCTTCGGCATCACAATCCCTCCACTCAACTCGACTGTTTTTGTGCATTGGCGGTTTAGCCTGAAAAATACGTTATTTTCAAGGGACTCGGAAGCCACATATTTAGCCACGCCCCTTTTTGCGTACTGGCAGATTTCCGAAATCGCGAATTTTTGGTTAAATTATCGTAATTTTCTATTCTTTAATGTTTTTGAAAGTATCTTGATCGAAATTAAACCAGATTTTAATTTTGCATTTTTCCGCCTGAAAATCCCTTTACAATCGTATTTTTTCTAAAGATACCGCAATTAAACTTCTGAGCCGTAATAATTTTTTCGAAAAACCTTGTGATTTTCTTGCCTTGTTCCCTTTAATCTAAAATGTATTTTTTTTCACCTTTTCACTTTTGTTTAAAGCTTTCGAGACCCTGATAATGGCAATAATTTTGTTTAGATATCTACATAGTAAATTTTCATTAAGTTCTTAATTTTGTGAGATTTTAAAATTGCCGATTTACTGAATTTTGTAAAATTTTGTAAATTTTTATGCGTGTTTTTGCCTGCCTATCCCCTTTAAACCCAACCCGCAGGTGTCAACGCCCACTTTTTATGGCCCGCAGCCATCTGGGGGACCATTTTTTGGGCCGTTTTGAATGGTGCGTGCAGAGGAGCCGGGCGTAGCCCCACCCGATGGATTTTGGGGGTGGTAGAGGCGGTCATTTTGGCGCGTTCTCTCTCTCTCTCTCTCTCTCTCTCTCTCTCTCTCTCTCTCGCCCCCTCCCGGCTGCTGACCGGTCAAATCTCCTCCACGGCTCACTTTTTCTCGCGCCGCGCTAGAGGGGGGCTTGATTCGAATCGTTTGAATCGCCGGCGTTTCCCGCTAACTACCATCGATTCCGCGATAGTCCTATTGACGCGTGAGCGGAAATTGGTGTATTGTGGAACCTGGACTTTATTAGATTTTTGGGCTTTTTTGCCGGCTTTTCCGCTCCATTACGCGCCTATTGACGCGTTGCGGACTAAAGCGGAACCAGAATTTCGACAGCAAAATTCAATGAGTCACACCGATCCATGGAAAAGCCGGGGTTTTGAACGGCCGCCTCGATTTTTCGCGCTTCCAGCTCGTTTTCAGGATGTATTTTCGATAGTTCCCGGCCTAAAACTGCAAAATTATTGCCGTTTCCCGTTGCAATTGGTGTTTGACAATAGCTCATTAAAAGTTTTTTAAACTAGAAAAATGTAATTACAAGTTTGAGGCAAACAATGTTGATTTAAAGTTTTCTAAAACGTAACAATCAACAAGAAATTCTTCTAAATATTTTATCGATACAGTTGCCGCTAAATTTCGCATTTTAGGCGCTGGTAAAAGCTCTCCGCGCAATGAATATTTCACGAGGGATGTGGCGCGAAAAGCCGGTCTAAAGAGCGTAAAATTAGCGTAACGCTGCCGGATTTTGTAATAAAATTATTAAAATCGGTTAAATGATTGAATAATCTAAAGTGCTTTGTATTTTAAGGCTATGAATTACTATTTAAAAACACTTTACACTCAAATTTAGCTATTTTAGAGGTATCATCTTCTGATTTACTGCTTCCACAATAAAAACTTCGGGCACCGTGAAGCTTTTTTAGAGGGATTACGCCAGTTAACTCTAAAAAAACGGAAAAATTACGTAATTGCTGCGCGCCAAAATCCGGTTGCTTTGCACGGTGCAATCAGTCGGCTATAGCCGGCCTTGATCCGTCCCCTACAGGCTACTTCTTCCGCTTCTTCCCCTCTTCTTGCTGTTCCATTTGATGTTGACACTTTCCCTGTCCTTCCATTTCCTCCTCGTCCGTTCCATCGGCTTCTCCCTCCCCTCCCACCCCCGAAAATCCGCGCTTGCGCCCGCCCGCGGGCGATACTATCGACCGGAAATCCGTTCAAAATTTCTCTGTCCCTTTTCATAGCGTAACTGAAGCGAAATTTCAAAATATGCTCGAAGATTGGTTCGAACCTGCGAGAATTTCGAAATTTCGGCGTTTCATTTCATTCTGGGGAGGGGAAAAGCCGGTTTCAAGCTCTCGTTAGACTCTAGAAACCGTAAAACGTGGAAAATACCAAATTTTTACTCATTTCCCCTGGGGAAAGCATTTCAAGCTTTTTAGATCCTAGAAAACGGAAAACGCGGAAAATACATGCAGTTTTAGATGATTTCCGGTGGAAAAAGCCGGTTCCTAAGGTTGAAAATCGCCTAGGAGATGTAAAAATTGCAAAATTTCGCCGTTTCCTTTGATTTCCGGTAGGGGAAAAGCCGGTTTCTAAGCATTTTCAATTCAAAGTTACTTCAAAAGATAAAAATGCCCAGTTTCAGTTCATTTCCGATGGAGGACAACCAAATTGGCAAGCCTTAAGGCCCTAGAAAATGTAAAAATTTACAATACTAACTGGTAATGCTGATTTGTTTTTGTCACATATCACTTTTATTTTTTAAATTAAATTTTTCGGATTTTTGTGACAAAAATTCCGACAGGCTCCGCTTGCTCAGCCTTTCGATCCCGTGGATGCGCTACCGTAGCGGGCTTTGGCATTTTCGGGGAGGGGAGTTTCGATTTTTCTCATTTTCGCCTTTTGCGTCATTTTTCATTCTTTGCGTTTTATTCGTCTTATTAGTTTTTTCCTTTCATTTTTCCATTTCGTTTGCTCATCGTGTCTTTTTTCTTGTTTAGCAAGCGGAAATTGCTTTATTGCTGCATCGGAACACGTGTTTTTGAGCTTTCTTGCCTTCATGCGCTTCCGGCGGTCAATTTTGCAGCACCATTTCGCCTCTTCATTAGCGTTCTTAGCTCCCTGCGCCTCCGCCTTCCAATTTTTCATCACCAAATTCCCCGTTTTCTTCTTTTGAACTATTCTTACTTTTACTACTCTTACTCTTACTACTTTTTCATACATTCTTTAACTATCTCTTTTCAGGCGTGAACGGGTGAGATGGTGCAGAACGTGTACGTCTCGGCGGTGACCCCGGACAACATCTCGCGGACGGAGCTGCTCGCATGGGTCAACGACTCGCTGCAGGTACTTTTTTTGGGATTATCCTGCCGGTGCACTTTCTTTTTTGGCAGTAGCCTTTGAAAATTATCTTGAATACGGATTGAAGTTTTCGATCTTACATCTTTTGACACTTGAAGCCGAAACTGCGGCAATTTCTTGGCGGTTTTTTCGAAAAAATGTGTTCCCGGTTGCTTGTCTTGATTTCCTCTACCAATTTTACTTTTTTAGAGCAGCTTCTCGAAGATTGAAGAGATGTCGACGGGGACCGGGTACTGCCTCTTCACGGACATGCTCTTCAACGGGCAGATCCCGCTCAAGCGAGTGAAGTGGAACAGCAAGAACGAGGTCGATCACATCAACAACTGGAAGGTGCTGCAGACGGCGTGGAAGAACATTGGAATTGACAAGGTATCGTTTTCACTTTTTACTCTGCCATGGGCTTTTGCTTCGAATTGACGAAGGAAACCTTGTTATGGCTTTCTTCTCTTCAAAACCCCCTCGTTTTCAGCCAGTGCCCGTCGAGCGACTCCTGAAGGCCAAGTTCCAAGACAACTTCGAGTTCCTGCAGTGGTTCAAGAAGTTCTTCGACGCCAACTACTCCGGAGAGGGGTACGACCCGGTGGCCGCTCGCGGAGGAGAGGTATCAATCACAATTCGGCTTTTCAAACTTTTTCTAGGCTTTGCCCCTTGGCGGGAAGGCACCGATGAACCGAGGAGTCGCCCCGCGCCCGGCTGCCGCACCTCGACCTGCCCCTGCTGCTGCTCGACCGGCCGCCGTCCCTCGCGCCGCCCCGGCTGCCGTCACCAGACAACGTAAGCTTTTGAAAACTTTTGTTTTGAAACTTGTTTTTTTTAGCCCTTGCCCCGGTGGCCCAGAAGGTGGTCGTAAACAAGACGGGCGCCGAGCACAAGCTGATCGAGGAACAGAAGGAGCGCATCGAGCAGCTCGAAGAGCAGGCCAGCCAGTACGTCGACAGCATCGAGCAGCTCGAGGCGGAGCGCAATTACTACTTCGAGCGGCTGCGACAGGTATCAATTTTTTCGGATTGTCGAACGATAACTTCTTGTGCTGGTATCCAATTTTAAATTCTCATTTATAAACGTAAAAATTACAGCTTTTGATCACAAAATTAAAACCGGCCATTTTTCGATCAAAATACGAGTTTTTATTTTTGAAAGTTTTTAGATTGCTTTTCTATTGGAAAGATCATTAAATTTTAATTAGAGTTCGGCTATATACCTGTTATAACGTTCTTTTTTTAGGTGGAAGAACTGGTGACGGCGATCCCGGAGGAGCAGCAAGACGAGACGCTCAAGAAGATCCTCAAGGTCATCTACTCCGACGGTGAAGAAGAAGCGGCCGCGCCAGAAGGGCAGCAACAACAAGACGCCACCTTCGAGGACCAAGTCAAGAAGCCGAACGGGGACCACCATCATCACGAAAAAGTGCAAGAGCAGCCCGTCGTGCACCAGCAAGCCCATCAAGCCGCCGTGCCGCAAGCCGCTGTTGAAGAAGACGATGAAACTTTCTAGAAGCCTCCACCCCCCGCCAAATTGCTTGTGTCTTTTCCGGTTTGTGATGTTCCCGGCTACACTTATGTCTTGAGCTTTTCCCCCGCTCCTCCTTGGCCGCTCTAACTTATTGTGTTGAATGCACGACCCCTGTAACCCATGCCCCGTTCGCTTTTCTGTACTAATTTTAGTCACGTAAATTTCCGGTAACCGTTGCTTTCTCTGCCCCCATAAGTACCCTTTTCCTCTCACCCTCTAATCCCATATTACACACACGCGGCTCTGTGTCTATAATCTTTCACTCATTGTCGAATACATGAAAATACAGATTTTTCGCGCCTAGTTTGTGAAGATTTGAAAATACACGTGAAGCAATGGAGATACATCTAGAGATTTGGATTCGTGCGACGCGTGGCCCTTGGATTTTTGCGTTTTCGAAGTTTTGCGAGTGGATGAGAGTGCGCCTCGCTTTTTCTGGATTGGGAAGTGAAAGCTTTGCGCGTTTTTATTCTTTTGAAGTCTGGGCGTTTGACGCATCGACGCCGATCTTGCGAAAAGATTTTCGGCTAGCTCTGTTTCTTACCGTTTTCCGTAGGCTGCAAAAGCTCCGCGCTTGCTTCAAGAAGAAGCTGCCGGGTTGTTTGAAAAGAAGGCGCCACGATTGGTTAGATTTGAGCGAAATTTCGAGCGTTGGTGCTGCGAGTAGAGAACAGCGGGACAAGCTAATTTCTGCCTTTTCAGGACCATGTCAATCTTCCGCTTAGCTTATTGATTGATTTTCTTTTTCTGCTAGGAATTTTGCTTTTTATTTAAATAGTAGCCTGATTTTTCAAGAAACTGCCCGATTTTTTAGGGTGTTAGGCGTGCCGAAACCCTCTACGTTTTGGGATTGCCCAGAGCGCCGTGGCAATCGGTTTCGAGCTTTTCTCTTGGTCTGGGATTTCCGGCTAGTTCTTCTTCTCCGCCTTTTGGCGTAGCCATCAAAAACATTGCACGTTTAGTTTTGTAAGAATATGTCCGTTTCGGGAGCGCGCTCAATAGGCAATAATTCCGGGTTTTCAGGCGTGTTAGCACGTTGATAGTTTATCTCATCGTTTCTAGCCGTAATTAAAGCGGTTTCTTTTGGTTGTTTGAAATGATCTGGGCTTTTAGGAACTTTTCATTCTTTCCAACGACTGGCCTTCGATTTTGATAGTGGTACCCTTGATAGATTTATCAGGGTTGCGAGGAGCTGCTAGATAAGCTTTTTTCATTGTTCGAAACAGGGCCAAGGATTTTTGAAGCTTTTTCTTGCTTCTAGCACTTTTTGAGTTCTTGATCTTGATTAGTTTTATAACTTTAATGGATTTACCGGGATATCAAGGGTAACTAGATGCATTTTTAGAGCTAGAAATAGCTAGTCTATTTAGGGAACTGGCTACAAAGTTTTTTAGAAATTTTTACCCACCGAACGACGGACGGGAAGAGCCGCTGCGTTTCCTGGATGCACTGCTCGAGGGTGGGCAGCTGGCCGAGTGTCGTGTAGTCCGGTTCTTTCTAGAAGGATTTATCAGTTTCTTTTATGATATTTAGCGTTTGCAGTCTAATAGCTTTAGACTTGTTTTAGCTGCATTTTTTGAGCCTAACCTCTCCAACAAGTCGTCGAATCTCCTCCCTGACTCTTTGTTGCCATTCCGGGTGCATGGCCAGCATGTAGATGGTTAGGTGGAGGTTGATCGGGCCCGTCTCGAAGCCCGCCAAGATGAACATGAACGCCTGAAAAGTAGAAATTTAAGTTTTTGGGGAGATTTTGCGCGTCGATTTCGATTCTGTGACTGGTTTTAGAGATTTGTAGCCTTTTACAGTGGGTTTTCGAGTTCTAGGCTTTTACTTAAAAGTTTTCAGTTTCTTTAATAGTTTTTTGACTTCGGGAAGTAGATAAAAAATTATGTTAGCTTCCGAATGGGCCCGAAAAGGTTTTTTTCCAGTGGAATTTTATGTCTCAATCACCAGCTTTTCGCGAAAGTTTACGACAGTGTTTTTTTCAGGTTTTGCAAGCTTTTTCAACGTAATTATGGTTTGTATAGAGTGGTTTTCACCACGTGTTGTCAAATTTTAGTAACGTAAATCACTCGTAAGCTTTTAAAGCTGCTTTTAAGAGTTTTAGTGAAGCTATTTTTCGGGGCCGATCGGCTTTCTAAGGGGGGTTTTTTATGTTCTTGGCAAGTTTTCCAGCAGATTTTACAGGTTTCTAATCGAAAGGTAGTAGTGTGCCAAATTACCAACCAAGAAAAGGCCAGCAGACCGCTTTTCAACCAAGGTTTACTTATTCTGACCACTCGCAAGCTTTTGAAGATGATGATCTGGTGTTTTTTAAAGCTGCGGGCGTCGCTTTCTGAGTTTTGTGAGTTTTTCGACGCGGTATAAGCGTCTTTTTGCAGGTTAATGCCTAATTTTAGACGTGAATAGCTCGTAAAATTCGTCGATTTTGAGCTATCCGAGAGGAAATACGGCAAAAAGTTTTTTTTAGTTCGAACCAGGGTTGAAAAGCCGCTACGCGGCTTTTCACCCCTGGCCTTTGCGCGGGGATCTTAAGACGTTGGGCACTTTGCATAATTCTAGCGAATTAGTGCTAAACTCTCAACCTTAATAATCACAAAAGCGACCGACTGTGAGCGTGACAAAATCCAAAATAAGGCTCCTAGCGCCTCGTATGCAAATGAGGGCATTTCCATATGTATTAAAAACACTAAAATAAGGTAAAAATCATCATTTTCTTAAAAATCTGATAAGCATGCAGTAATCTACGCCCTCGAATACCCCTAAATACCTTTCGACTGGGCCCGAAAACCCTCCTCCCTTCGCGATATCTTGGTAACCCGGTTTTTTTCGAGTCTTTTATGCAAAGTGTCCACAGACACACACACAGACACTACTTTTTTATATATAGTAGGATAGCCGCTAAAAATCTATATTAGCTTCCCATAGGACAGAAAAGGTTTTTCCGGTGGAATTCCAGGTCTAGATGGCCAGCTTTTCGCGAAAGTATACGATCATTTTTCAGGTTTAGCGAGCTTTTTCGACGCCATTGGAATTTGTATAGAGGGTTTTTCACTACGTTTTGGCCGATTTTAGGAACCCAAATCTCTCGTAAGCTTTTAAAGCTGATTTTAAGAGTTTTAGTGAAGCTATCGTCATATTTTTAGGGCCGATCGGCTTTCTAAGGGGTTTTAAAGTTTTTAGCACTTCCGGCAGTTTTTACAGGTTCTAATCGAATGGCGGAAGTGTGCCGAATTACATGCAAGGGAAACGGCCAGCACACACCTTTTCAATCAAATTGAGCCGCTGGCGGGCTTTTCCGGTGCAGTATAGGTCTTTGAGGAAGTTATCGGCTTGGTTGGAAAGCTCTACTTTTAGGCGTATTTTTGCAAGATTTTCAGTGCTAGAACGTTCCGGTGTCAACGATGAGCCAAGAAAAAGGCGCAAGCAAGGTCTTAGCGACTTAACGCCTAATTTTAGACATGAAAAGCTCGTAAAACTCGTGGAATGTGAGCCATTCGAGCGAAAAATGCTAAGAAATTCGCACGTTCCAGGATTTTTCGCTTTTTCTACGAGTGGTTCATATTATGCCTTTGAGATACGAGCTACAAACTGGCTGTACGCGCTGTATTTTGGGAATTTACCGACCTGCCCGAAAACGTGTTGTTTCAGGATTTTGCGGTCGGTTTTGAGGGCAGAAAGGTCGAACTCGATCTCGTGATCGATCTCTCGCTGCGAATTCTTGTCTTCTTTCATCGAGGCGAGCATCAATTGGAAGAAGTCTTTGTATTCCTAAAACAGGGGGATTACTTTAGGGCATGAAATCTTCCGCAGCAAGTTTCAGATTAGGTTTTTTTTGATGAATTCAGCATTTAGAGAAGTAGCGTTGCGCGTCGAAAAGGAAAAATCTTTCGAGAAACAAAGTAAAATTCAGCTTTTTCCATCCCTTTAATGAAGGTATCTAGTGATTACTTACATATTGCTCCGTGTTATCCAATCTGCTGTCATATAGATGGTCAAGGATTTGCACGAAATACTTGTTGGTGTCGTTGTTGAGGATCGAGTAGCCGGTCACCCTTTTCAGCAGCCAGCAAAGTGTCGGGAATAAGGCTGAAGACTTTGGAGTTTGTAGTTTATAGTTTGTAACCCCTTTTACTGCACTCCAAATCTAATCGGCGGTTCTTGTACAATATCGGGGGCTAACGTTTTTCTTAGTGTCCAATATTTCTAATTCAAAACGGTTTTTACTTTTTCTAAACGTAAAAACTTTATAAATTTTGATTGAAAATTACAAAAAAAAGTTTTTCGGCTAAAAAGCCGATCTTCAATCAAAAATCAAAAATCTCGAATTTTTTTAGTGTTTAGAATTTTTTATCTGAAATCTTAAAAAACTATTCTATTCCATTAGGTTACTAAGCATTTCTTGCGGTTGTTTAGAAATTAGCGGCCCCCGATAATGCAAAAGCTCCCTAATTTCTGCCCTGTAGCTTCTCTTTCACCCACTGATTGCCACGATACGCGGCGACCGAAAGTCGAATTCCGAGTATTTCTTGGCGTACTGCATGAAGGCCGAGGTCGCGTCGAATTGGACGTCTATAGAAGGACGAGAATTTTGCCTTGAACGGCCCTTTAAACTGACTGAAATCCCTTCCAAACGCCGCCCTGGATGTCATGTCCAGCATTAGGCGCACCATCGTGCTGGAAATTGAGATTTTTCGGGATTTTCAGACAGGACCTACTCTCGAATCGGGATCTTTTCCCTTCGTCTTGCGTAGCCTTCGAAAATGCCGACACAGGTTCGGGAGCAGACATTTAAGAGGGGGATCATCTGAAACGAATGATTTCGCTCTCTCTCTCTCTATCTCTCACTCGCTTGAACTCTCTGTCTTTCTCTTTCTCTCTCTCTCTCTCTCTCTCTCTCTCTCTCTCTCTCTCTGTCTCTCACATTCACTCTCTTTTTTAAATTTTATGTCGTAATCGATTAAAAGTAGCTTCCCGGCCTCTTTAAAAGAGTGAACCAAAGAGCGAGAGAGAGAGAGAGTGAGCGAGAGCGGGAGAACGAGAGAGAGAGAGACAGTGTGAGAGTGAGCGAGAGAGAACGAGAGAGAACGAGAGAGAGAGAGAGGAGTGTGAAAGAGAGAAATTTTTTATCTTACCTGCCGAATCTTCCCGGTGCTGAATGCCGGGGCCACCGTGTTTCGCACTGAATTTTGAGTTTTTACGGGGATTTGTGGCTAAATTTCTGCTTTTTTACGCCTTACCTGAGCTCCACACATCCCCTTTGAGTGTGACGAGAGAATTGGCTAGCAGGGAATGGGGATCGTCTGGATCATTATTGAGAATGCTCTAAAAATCCCAAATAGTCCCTGCTAGCCTGCCCCAAAAACGTACAATTCGGTCTGAAAAGCAGTCGAATTTCTTGACGAGCACCTCGCGCAGAAGATCCAGCTTTGTTGAGGTCAGCTCGGGGACGTTGAACAGGAAACTTCTGGAGACAAGAAATTCGGAAAATCGAGAAAACAGACCCATAAATATTGCCATACAACCGTTGTCTTCTCTCATCCAACGCGTGCAGGCCATCGAAGAATTCGAGGGCATTTCCGAAGAAAAGTGAGGGTGGAGGACCCGGAATTCCGCGACGACGCCAGAATTGCTTGTTGTCGTGTAGCCACCTGGAGCATTGGGGTTTAAAGGAGCCGGGAAGGCAACGCTATGGATTTTGTACGCAAAGATTTGCATCTGCATTGCATTTGCCGATTTGCATGACGCAATCGATTACGACGTCTTATCGAAGGTAAGGAGTAAAGTGAGGGAGCGGCAGGCCTCCTCAGGCTTTCTTGGGCCGAATTGCATTTCCGCGCCTGCCGACGGCTGGCGGAAGCCTAAGGATTTACGCAGGCTTTTTATGCAATGCGCAAAAACATGTTAATCTGGTTACTGCATCTAAAACGTTCGTATCAATAACAAATTAAAAGGATGTCGAAGGTGGGAAAAATATAGGCAGGATGTCAGGAGAGGCAATTGCATCCCCCGCCGGTTCGAACCGACTCTTGACTTTTGTGTATCCGCGTGCTATTAACGTATCGTGCCGTAAGATTTGTCAAAAACAGTACCCTGACTTTGTAGAATATTCTTGGACCCAATACAGCTCTTCGACCCCCCGGAAGTTTAAAAAAATCCTTATTTGTTCGGCAAAACTTCGAATATTCTACGACTTTACATATAATTTCCAGATAAAGCCTGACTAATTAGAGGTCAGTCGTACTTTGCATAGGCCTAGGCGATGCAAATTAGAAAAGCCTGAGGAAGCCTAGGCAAGCCTAGGCCTCCCTCACTCTAGTAAGGAGCGTCAAAATTCCTAGCATTCCATTGCGCGAAAAACCCGTTTTCTGCCTTGCCGGTCCCTTTAAAGGTACCGGGAAGGCATAGCGGTGAGGCCACGCCCTAATTTGAAGCTTCTAAAGGAGCTGAAAAGGTTAACTTTCATCCGATTACGGAAGGAAAATTGGAGAAAGGGTCAGAGAAAGAGAGAGAGAGAGAGAGAGAGAGAGAGAGAGCGAGAAAAGCGGGAGAGAGAGAGAACGATTCTAACCTTACCATAAATATGCCACAACCAGAATACAGCTAACAATTGCTGCCTGAATTAATCCGTAGAATTTCGCAACGGTGAACACGATGGAGATGATGACAAGGATGATCTCCCCGACTCCGAGTTGCATTTTTAGAATTTTCTAAATTGGAGGGTTTTTGAGTATGATAACCCAGAAATTTAGAAATTATCGGAAAATAAACAAACCCTTCGTGTGCGGGAGACGATTTTCTGAGAAACCGGGACGTGAAACGGGCAAAAAAGGGTAGAGAAGGTGCCCTTTGAAATCCGTTCTCGTCTCTCTCTCTCTCTCTCTCTCTCTCTCTCTCTCTCTCTCTCTCTCTTTCTCGCTCTCTCGGTATTTTTTCGACTGTGTGATTGATCGGGGCCAATTTGCACTTTTTTGCCCAGGATTTCAGCCAATTTCATCGATGCCAAAAATGCGAAAAATCTTCGCAAAAAGGGACTTTCCAAAAAAACGCAAATGGGATTTTGCGAATTTGAAATATGGAGTCTTTATTCATATTTTATTATAAATTGTAGTACAGGATCGATTACAGTAACTACACGACAATTGAAATACTAGAAAAATTCAGAAATTTAAATTACTCAAAAAATCCAAAAATTCAGATTTTTCAAATTTGGAAAAATCACAAAATAAAATTAAAGTAGAAAATGCAGTAGGAAATACATAGCTAGAAAGATACAGCGCGTTTCAGACAAAAATACGGAAACAATTGTGGTCCTCCCCGGGGAATTGTGTCTCCATATTCACCGTGCCCAGCTCGAACCATTTTGTGATCTGAAACAGTAAAAAAAATACTATAAAGGGCTTTGAAAGGATTCATAAACCAGCTAAAATAATATTTTTTATGTTTTAAAGCGTCAAAAATGTTATTTAAAAGTTTGAAGGTTAGAAAATTCCGAAAAATTCCTTAAATTTTGCCGAAAAGCTTTGAATGCCGAAAGATGCAATTAAATTCTCACCTTCCGTCCGTGATTAATATATTTTCTCGGGATAATGAACGTCGTCTCGCGCTTGCAAATCTAAACCAAAACAAACTCATGAATTTTGTCGGTTTTCCGCGAATTTCCTTTTGACGCTTGGTGAACTGTAGGTGGTTTTTATTTCTTATTTGATAGAGAACTTCGAACTTTTAAGCTACCGTACCCGCTGGAATCTTGCTTTACGGGCTATTGAAAATCGTAGAAATTCGAAATTTTCCAACTCGCCGCGACTTTGCTCGTGACGCTTGGGGTACTGTAGGTCGTTTTGCATTTTATTCAATAGCGTTGGCAAAACTCTATAAAAGACAAAATTTTTAGCTACCGGACCCAGTGGAATCTGGTTTAACAGACGTTTAACGATAAGTATTCAATTTTCCAACTCTCCACGAATTTCCTCTTGACGGCCAGGGGTACTGTAGCTGATTTAGCTCGTTTTTTGGATAAAGCAAAATGAGTTCCACCAAATACAAAATTTTTCAGTCACCGCAACAACGGGATTCTTATTTTACAGGCTATTGAAAATGGTAGAAAATGTGCATTTTTCCAACTTCCGCGACGCTCCTCTTGACGGCCAGGGGTACTGTGGCTGATTTTTATAGTTTTGTGGATAGAGAAAAACGAGCTCTATACGCTCCAAAAATTTCGGCTACCGTACCGCTCCGCAAACCGATTTTAGGGTCTCTAAAAGTCATCAAAAATCTAAAAAAAATTCGATTTCAGCGAAAATGTGACAATTCAATTTTGTTAATTGAGCTTTTCTTTGACTTACCCATCGATAATTGCATTTGTGCAGTACGGTAATCCTCGGCTCAATTGCCGTAAATTCCACCTCGCTTCCATTAATGCGGAATTCCCCCTTCGGATTCGTCTTCACCTCGGCCATTTTGTCGTCGAATTCCGGGCCTGAAGTGTGCGGAAATTTAATTAGCCTTATTATTGTTACAGCAAAACATAAAATTTCAATTATGGACGTCTGCGGCCCTTGAAAGGGGTTCCGAAATCTGCTCCACGCGCCTCAGCGTTGATTGCTGGCACATAGCCAGCTGCGACCGCAACGCGATCGCGCCACATGATCTTTTGCCCCCGTTTGGGCGTGAAAAGGCTTGAATTTTACAATTCTAAAGATATTTCTGGAATCCTCATCGAATTTTGATCATTCTGGACTGTTTAATTATGAAAATTGATAAGAGAATCACTGAGAACGAGAGATTGGGTGTCTTACAACGCATTACGACATGTAATCGCCGCCGACTCAAAATGTCGTTTTCGTCCCGAGAACTTTTCAGTTTTATTCAAATATTTTACGTTTTGTCGCAACGAAATAACTTTTCTGGTACTTTTCCGCAGTAACCGGTTCGTTTCTTGACCAGTGGGTTCAATCCCCGCATGCATGAATTTTGACTTTCTAGGCCCTTTAAAACGGCTATAATGATCAAAATTCGAGGGGGATCCCGGGAACAGCGTCAGCATTTTGAAATGCAAGCATTTTCACGTCCAAACTGGGGCAAAAGATGATGCGACGCGGTCGCGTTGCGGTCGTATCTGGCTATTAGCTGGCATATAATCAACGCGGGGGGACGTGGACCACATTTCTGAGTCCCTTTAGAAGGGCAGGCGCCTCGTGCGTTGCGTGTCGCGGCGCGGAAAAACGATAGCCAGGACCGACTGGTGCCTTTAAAAGGTCAGTGACATGGCCGGAAAGCCCAAACTGACCGGAATCCTGTTCATTGAGAATAATTGTCGCTCCGGCGAGTGGTTTCTGTCCACACATTAATGTCCCGCGAACAGCCATCGTTTGACGGCGGATTGATGTCGTTGGATTTATTAGCAAGCAGAAAATCGACACTAATAGACACGCAGGGAATTTCATCGTGAATTTGGGGGTCTATGGATGCCAGAATGGCCAATCCGCCAGCCAGGAAGATGTCAAAAAAAATGACGGAATTGGGAAGGAGAATGGGGGCCAATCAAATGTGTCAGGGGGAACACAATTTCATTTTTTTCGCGCCGATACCCACCCCAAGAGGGGTTTCATTTTCTTTGGGGTGAGCAGATGAAAATGCCGGAATCGGGCTCCCGAACCCCGAATTGAAAAAATGCCGACAGCCAGCATGCCGATTAAGAAATTTCGAAAATATCGACAATAAAATACCGACGGCCAAAATGCCGACAATGCAGCCCGATGCATTTAAGGGGAAATGCCGACACCCAAAAATGCCGACATCGAAATGCCGATTACAGATGTGGAAAATCAAGGAAAGAAAAGCGAAAGACCGACAACCGAAATGTCGAAAGTCGAAGAAACACAGATAATTGGAAATGCCGACACCCAAAAATGTCGGCAACCTGAAATCTAACTTAAAAAAAATGGCTAAATGTCGCCAATCAAAACCGCGACGGCCAAGACCGGATACGCGCGAGGAATGGGGCAAAAATGCCGACAAGCCGAAGTACCGACTGCTGCGAATATTATGCGACATGGATATGTCGAAAATACCACTTCGAGAAATGCCGACAGCTACGGCTACGGTATCCAATCTTGGAAGGTGTCGGTATTTTTCTGAGCCGTGTGTTGCATGTCGGCATTTATCGGGCCGGAAATGAGTTCGTAGGCAGTTAGCAACAATTCTTCCCAGAGAAACCCCAGCTCTGTTTAATTTTCTGATTTAAGATGTTCATTTTTCTAAAATATCGATTTTTTTCGATTTTTTCGACTTCTAAAATGCTGTCTGTCGGCATTTATGGGCTCCGGAAACTGATCGGCTCGCAGCGACGATTTGCGTGAAAATCTGGCGCTTTGTTCGAATCGAATTTCGAAGTTTATGGTCACCGGGTTAGATTTTGACGTTCCCCAAGGCTCTCTGCCAGTTTGCCTGCTGCCCCAAACAATTTGATACATTTTATTAAAAAAGTACGATAATCTAAATATTGAATGACAAAATGACTAGACATTGGGACGAGATAGGTAGGGAAATAGGGCTCAGAATGTCGTCTCCTGTTGCAGATCCACGACCACGTGTCCGTCAACTGTCGGCGTCAACAGCTTAAAAACAGCATAATTACGATTTATATAGCTAAAGATTTTCAAAAATTTATTTTAGCCATAAGATTTAGCTAAAATAAAATGAATATTATTGCCGATCGCTTAAAAATATTCTATTAATCGCAACAAATTCGATTGAAATCTAACTTCAAAATTAATTTTTATTTTTATTTTGGGTTATTTAAATTGATAAATTATATTAAATAAATATTAATAGTATTTCAATTTTCTTAAAAATCATTTATCAATCCCACATGATTCATTTGAATTCAAGCTGATTTAAGGTAAATTTAGTTAAATCAATTCAATAATTAACTTCAGTTAAATGAACTTTTACGTAAATATTTTTGTTTTATGTGAATTTTCTAAGAAAAAAAATTGTCCACCTGATTGACCTCTTCGAGTCGTTGATGAACAGTTGGAATTGAGTGGATCTTTCGCTCCAAATCCTTCTTTTCCTCTTCTAGGGATAGGCGCTCTTCCGCACCGCTGAAAATACAAAAATAGACAACTAAAGGAGCTGGAAAGTAAGAAAATAGGCCACGCCTCTTTGGAACCGATCACGGCATGAAATTCTGGCCAGTTTTAGCGTTTTAAAGGAACCGGGAAGTCAAAAATAGGCCACGCCCCCTTGTAATCGATTACGGCATAATATTCTAGCCGATTCTGGGGGCTTTAAAGGAACGTAGAAGGCATCGATGGAGGCCCCGCCCCTTCAAATCAATTACGGCACGAAATTCCGGCCAGTTATAGCGTTTTAAAGGGATCGGGAAGTCAAAAATAGACCACGCCCCCTTGTAATCGATTACGGCATAATATGCTAGCCGATTCTGGGGGCTTTAAAGGAACGTAGAAGGCATCGATGGAGGCCACGCCCCCTTCAAATCAATTACGGCATGAAATTCGAGCCAAGTTTTAACAGTTTAAAGGGACCAAGAAGTCAAAAATCGGCCATGCCCCTTTGGAACCGCTTACGACATAAAATTCAAGCCAATTCCGGGACTTTAAAGGAACGTAAAAGGAATAGATCGAGGCGACGCTCCCTATTCGCCCCTTTAAAGGGACCGGGCCGTGAAAAAATGTTTCCGATTACGCGATGAAAATTGTCATCTAGCGTACCTCAATTCGTTGAGCACATACTCTCCGGTTCCGTCATATTGCAGGATGTGCGTGTGGAATTTCCTGGAAATGAAAATCATTTGAATTCACCTTTAATTAACAACCCAATTACATTAAATTGAATTAACGAAATAAAATGAATTTTTTATTAAAATTTTAATTTAGTCAAAAAACCTAATTTTTTGCCAAAGAATTGAATTTAAAACCGCCTCCAATAATTTTTAGCGTATATAAAAACGTCGAAAAATTGAAATAAAAATGTTTAAAATTTTTTCGATATAAAAATTGAAACAAAAATTGTAAAAACAAACCAGAGAGAGGGTCGATGGGTTACGGTAAGTAGCGAAATTCCATGATCTTTTATCGCTTGATAGATGGCACCCTCGACATCGATTGAAACGGCTGATGTACATTCATCAAGGAGGGCCCATTGAGGTCTGGAAATAACAATGCGTAATCGATTACCCTCGCCCTCTCTCTCACTCTCTATCTCTCTCTCTCTCTCGCTCTCTCTCTGTCTCTCAGTCGCTCTTTCTCTCTCTTTCTCTCTCTCTTTCTCTCTCTCTCTCTCTCTCTCTCTCTCTCTCTCTTTCTTTCTCGCACAAACTGTATGTCTCTATCTCGCTCTGTCTCGCCCCCCTCTCTCTCCCTCTCTCTCTCTCCCTCTCTCTCACACCATCTCTCTCTCTCTCTCTCTCTCCTACCTATGATAGAATATCCTCGCCAATCCCATCCTCTGCTTTTCCCCTCCAGACAATACATCCATCCAGTCATTTCGAGCATTCCACCCTGAAAATATGACATTTTTGGAGCTTTTCTCTTTCGAGGGGGGAGGGGTGAGATCCAAATCTCCCTGAATGGAACCTTACCTCCTTCCCGCTGAACAACATGATTCAAATGTACAATATGTAGAATGGCTTCGAGATCTCCATCGGTAATTCCCTTCCTTCTCATTTGCCATGCCGTATCCGGATAGATCACCTGGAAGAAACGTGTTTTAAGGGTCCGGAAAGGCATTGCAATGGATCTCTATGATCTTTTACTTGCCCATTAAAGATTTTCCGTTTTTTAAAGAGAAAAGAAAACGCGGGCTTCGAGGTGGCTAAATGGTAGTGCGCTCGGCTGCCGCGCACAGGGTCCGAGTTCGATCCCTGTCGCAGCAGAATTTTTTCTTTTGGTTAGAAGCTTGGGCTCGGGCTCTTCTTTTAAGGATGCTAATGGCATTCAGCATTTAGACAATTTGGGCCCTATTTAGGGTTTTTTGGCATTCGCGGGCGGGGAGTCCGTACCTGATCCCGCAGCGTCCCAAGCGTCATATACGGCCGTTGCGGGATGTAATACATGTCGTGTTTCTTTGGCCGTCGGAGGTGCCCTCTAAAAATTTGATTTTGCAAGTTAAATCCAAGAGATCGATCAAATACGGCAGTATGTTGGAGCCCGGGTTCGACCCCCGGCCGCGACAAGCTTTTTGCTTTTTGCCCCTGAGGTATTTTCTGATGATTTTTTGATCGTAATCGGTAAACTGGCATACAATAGGCCTATTTACATATTCAAAGAGTTGGAAATGGATCGAATGTGGCGAAAACCTAGGGTCCTGGGTTCGATTCCCGGCCGCGACAAACTTTTTGCTTTTTGCTAGCATTTTTGCGCCTTTTGCGATTTGATTAAGCAAACTGACATACAGTAACCCGATTTCCCTTTTTAAAATGATAGAAAATGCCAACAAGTCTTCGGGCTCGGGTTCGACTCCCGGCCGGGGCAAGATTTTTGCTTTTTGCTCAAAAGCCACTTTTTTAGAAATTTTTAATTCGATTGCCTAAACCGGGAATACAGTAACTTGCTTTTCAGGTTTAAAACGGTCAAAATCAGCCAAATCTGGACCCTCGGGTTCGACCCCCGGCCGCGACACGAACTTTTTGCTTTTGGCCCAAAGCCACTTTGTGCTATTTTTTCGATCCTGTTCCCGAAACTGTCTGACAGCACACGCATTCCGACCTGTACAATGGCCACAGCCCTCCCAATACTCGAAATAGCGATGATTTCCCGCATCCGTTGGGCCCAGTGATGAGGAGATGCATCGAACGAGGCAATTGAAGGCTCATTTCTCTCACAACGACATCTCCATTTGGGGTGACAATTGGCACTCGATCCAAAATGATAGAGCCGTCCGTCGTTTCCGAGATTTCACCTGCAAAAGGGGCGTGGCTTAGGGTTTGAAGGGACGGTGACAGGTAGCTCAGAGTTTTCGCTTTAAAGAAATCGAAAATTGTGCCTTTTAACGAGGTTTTTTTTTGCTTATCGGTTGAACTGCCCACCAGGGCATTGCTGCGTCAAAAATTGTGATAGTGGGGCTTAAAAGGGAGGTGGTCTAAAGGCAATGGCAAAGGAAATGGGCCAAGTGGGCGTGGCCTAAAAGGGGGCGTGGCTTAAAGGAAGCGTGACAGGTGGATTTTCACCCTAAAATCTAGCTTAACGTGGCGCGTTGCGTGTCGCGCTGTGGAAAAACTCATCGGAGGCATGCCTTGCCGGCCCCTTTAAAATGGGCGTGGCCCAGGGTTTAAAGGAAGAGTGACAGATAGAATTTTTTAAACAAACAATTCTGTGATTGCTTACCAAGAATCCTGGTGGTG